CATTTAACTAACAACAACTACCAGCTGTGGAAACATCTTCTGCTACGAGCATGTCGGCCACATTATTCCCCTGAGTAAGAACGCTCGTTTCCACGCTCAAGGATATCCATCCAAGGCCTGCGACCATTGCTTCAACGACTACAAGCGTGTGCTTGCCGCGAAACGATCCGACTCTTTAAGTTCCAGCACAAGTAGTAGCTCTACTCTTAGCAATAACAATCACCCCAGTAGCCCGATTGTCGGAATCAAGTCCATCAGTGGTCACCGCGGAATTGAGAGCGGACTTGGCGCCAAAGTCGGAAGCTATGTCGGTAGCGTACCTCGCGACTGGAGCTGGAGCACATTCTAGACAAATGTCGTAAAGAAGGGGTACACACTTTCAACAAGTTTCGTCGGCGTTGTGGGCAAACGGAGGAGTTTGTTTTTACTTGCTTTTTTTTCCTCTTCTGTTTATTGGGTTGGTTTTCTGCTGCAATTATACCCTGGGAGTATCGCTTGTTTTGTTTGTCCAAGTTTCTTTTTTCTCTCGACATATTTCCCTAACCAAACCATCACATCATTTGCATTACTCGTTATACTTCATCCAAGAAGAAGGTAGCGTGCCCTTAATGTGAGGAGTAGGATCTATGATGCTTTCATCAGTTTGACTACTTCCTCCACAACGATTTTCCTATACTCCATCTTGTTATCATTGGTGTTATCTCGGCTATCTGTTTTCTGTTCTTTTCCTTATTGACGAGTTGTACGCTTTTTTATCGTGTGTGGTCCGATAAGATAAATGGTTGTCTCTTTTTGGGGGCGGGGAGGCTGGGCTTGGTTCTTTGATATTACGATTATAGAAATATCTGTTTTTTTCTTCTTCGTTATTTTACTTTTCTACTTTGAGCAAGCATTTTATTCGTTAATGTCTTTGTGTGCATCATTGATCATCATCATATTTGGATTCTCCCAGGATTCTATCATTTCCTTTCTTCCACCTCTCTCTCCCTCTTCATGTCTCACTCGAGATTGCATGTTCATACTCTTCTATCTACATACTCATGACATGACTGGAACGTTGGTAACTTATTTATTTGTTGCTCTTTCTCTTTTGATCACGGTTACAAAATACTTGTGCGTGATTTGGTCTTGTTATTGTTATTTTGCAAATTACATGGTGGAGGGGCATCAATGGTTTTCTTGTTTTTCTAGGTACCTATGTAGTTTCTATCTATTGGGAGAGTGTGAGGTAGCATAGCATGTCATGGGGAAGGGAATTATCATGTATCTAGAAGATAATTGGAGTTTTCAATTTTTTGTTGGCGACCCTTATCTTTCAAAAAGTCGAGTCAGCCAAAACCTCGCGGGGATTAGTCGTGCAAGTGCACATTATCTTGCCCGGTGCGCGCACCACATCTCAATCCTGAAACCTCACCTAGAGGAGATCAAGGCTGAGGGCTGTTGCTGCTGATGCTGCTATCTTACTGGCAACACAAGGCTGTCTTTGGCACTTGTCTCAAATGTCTCACTCACGTCTATGACGTCTATGTGCATGCCAGTGATGATAGGCCCGCAGGAATGAGGAACCGATCCCGGTGGGACGGATGAATCATTGCGTTTCTTGGCCATGGGTTGGTTACTGCGGTACTTAGGGGGGGTTATTCCGGGTTCATCCCCCGAGATGCTGTGGTTGGTTGGAAAGCTGGTGTAGTTATTCCGGGTTCATCCCCGAGATTCAGTGGATTATTAGGATGCTGTGACCCGGCCGGCCGGCCCCGCGGTGCTGTGCGCCCGCCCAGGGAGGTTCGTGTGGGTGGGGCGGGGAGGTTAGTGTGTACCTTAGAAAGAGGGGGGGGGGGGGTGCTCTGAGCTGAGTGTGTGCCATGACCTAACAAATATAGCTACCTAGCAGCTTACAGTCACTTCCGGAGTAATAATTACAAGCTGTGGAATTCCTTCTTTAACGTGACATGTCCCATATCCATCTTTTGCAGCTGCAGCTGCAGCTATAGTCATTGCTCTAGTATGGTTGGTATATGGACTTTGCTGGGCGAGCTGATATGGGCTGTGAATTTTGAGGACTGCGTAACAGTAACAGCAAAACTCCCGGGGAGGAACCGATAGTTGGGGGTCAAGAATCGGGGACCAAATATGGGGATTAAGCCCGGAAGAGAGGGAGGGCGGCTGCCTTGCATTCGTGACACTGGTAATAATGCTATTGCTAGTAAGTAATAAGCTCGTGAGGATGGTAGGGAGGATCGAGAGTTAGAGGGAAGGTGCTTACTTTGGTGGCACTGAAACTGAGAACATTGGAGGGAGCGGGAATCCAGTACCTATGTTAATGCTAACCTATTCATTGCGAAAAATCAAGTCTAGAGGAAATCTAGGAAGACCGGGAACGAGTCTTGTTTGTACTCTACTGCTGACTAAATTAAGGGTGGGTTTCGAGAAACTGATGAAGGGCGGTGCTGGTGTGATATGATGAATAGAAGAGAACGAACCTCAGCTGAGGATAAATGGATGGCTGGCTGGGTAGAGGAAGACTTAAGAAATGTGTACTCTATAATTGCACAGCAAACCAAGATCTCGGGATTATAGAATCAACCAACACTAGTTGCAGAAATGGGGTGATGTCGAAAGAAGGTTACGGACGGGAGCGGAGAGATATACAGCATGCACTCTACCAAACAGTAGTAATTGGTACATAACACCCGAGTGATACCAAATGATCCATTCACCCGTGCCCGCGCCCGATGATATCCGCTCCGCCCTTTCACGGATTCCCCCGACGCAATCCTTGTTTTCCCGCGTGCCCAGAGGGGATAACAACGGTCGATATCACCTTTTTCTTTCGGCGATTAATATGGATGAGGCCTGTTGAGCAGTACTTAATTGTGGTTTTCGCTAATCTTGCTGTCATGATATATGCCTGTAGATATCTGTACCTAGAGTACGTACTCTACATAACTCGGATCGGTCCGTCGGCGCGACAGCGATTATGGATGGGCACTCATGAGTTGGATATATGTGATGTATATAGGATCGTCGGCTGTCATGTCAACTCAATCAGGCCAGTCTCGTCAACTCTCACACCATCTGAGACCTGTTATGTGCATACTTACCTGTCAGTTAGAGTGCCTGTCAGACCATCTCGTCTCTATTCCCATACCAAGTTGTAGAAAAATGGTACTGACCTCTAATGAACAAGAACAAGCTCACCGTTCGATATCGTAACATAACATACACTAGCGTAGGGTGTTTACTTTTCCGAATACCTCTTCTCCCTGGTTTCCCTCGGTAATTGTAATCGCACGACAGAGTTCCTTTACCCGACACAGCCTAGCTTCCCTCTGCGTACATCCTTCCCCCGCAAAATCCCCCCCGGATTTGGCTAAACCCAACTCGGTCGTTTGACACCCTCCAGATCGTTGGCTGTGAAGGTGAATCGTGATATGGGGCCTCAGCCGCCCGCGTGCCCTGCCTCAAATGTGGGATCATAGATAAATAAATAAATGTCCATGCCCCCCTTCCCACCCCGCCGGCCTTTCGCCTCTTGCTCCTCCCTCCGCCTGACGTACAATACCCGTGTTCTGTGTACAGTTCTTCAGCTTAGCAGCTGTCCTTATCCGTATTCTTATCCGTCTTCACGAACAATACGTACAATCCCATCACGAGTCACTGGAATAACAACCCACGTATCGAATCTGTATCCATAACTTATAAACAACCAAATTCGGGTAAACTAGAAACACGAAACAAGAATGTCTATCCTAGACTCTGAATCCTTCGAAAGCTACTTTACCACTGATGCGGACTCCTCTCCCTCCACCTCCCCCTGCAACATCGCAAAAGGCCGCTACGACACCTGTTTCTTCAAGTCCTATTCTGAGAGTGTGTCCTTCTTTCTCCCCACGGTCTCATACCCCGCTAAAAATACCCCAAATAGAGTACCAAAGAGGCGAATCGCACAGCACTGAGAAATGCGAAACTCTATTCAACGAATATAAATCATGTCTAAGCGTAACCACCCCACAATACCCCTCCAATTCCTGATGACTGAAGCTGACAGGGGCTGCTGCAGAAAACACTAAAATCACCGCCGTCGCCACCACCGCCGCAGATTACAAGGGTTCGAGAGACGGATCCATGGAAACGGATGACGTCGAGTAAATAGAGCAAGAGGGGGATGGAGGGCGTCACGGACCTACTGGAATTTGTTTTAATTGGCCATTTTTTCTGCGTGTTTTTTTCTTTCCGGCCTTGCTGTCTATTTGGGGTGGGGTTTGCTTTGTTCTGTGGTATTCAGCGGGAGTTAACTGAGTTTTCGTCGTCGCATCGGCGGGGGAACCTGACAACCTGCATTTTTCCTTTTGTTGTCACGGGTTCTGTATATATATCTACTGGAGTTTCTGGAAAACAAAATCTTTCTATGTTTATTTCTAATCTTACTTGTAATAAAGAAATAGGAATATACACCATCTCTTATCATACCACTGGTTTGTTGGCCCCTGTTCCAGATGGGAGAATAAGAAAAAGAAAGGGTGTTTTGTCCAGGGGTTGAGGAGAGTAATTTGTAGAGTACGTACTTACACACATATATGTAGATACCAAGAAAAGCCTCCAGGTCTCACTTTATGTTATGTATTCCAAATAGCCCTACATCTCATGCCACCCCCTTCCCTGCGCATGAAGGATCTATGCGTGGCGTATGTATAACATACATGTATGCGTGATTTGTGTCTAGGGGCGAGGTGGGTTGAAATCATGGTGGATCACTCGAGTGGTTGATGGGGCGGGTTTTTTTTTAGTTTATATCGAGGGACGGGGGATGATAACCTAGGGTGGTAATGATAACCAGGGCACACGGCTCTAGGTGCCTGTCAATGTTTATGGCTAGAGCGGGTTTAGAAGATACGAGTGAGATCCCATGATTGAGAATTCCCAGGGTTGATTGGACTTGAAAAGCAGGCTTTATTTTACATATATCCAATCCACAGCCAGACATCGTACGCTAATTCCGTCTACTGGGTATTAGTTCTACGACCTATAACCAATACTCCATCCTGGCTGTCGATAGATTGTGAGAGTTCAGCCCACCCATCAGCGCTACCTACCGGGTCAGCTTCGACCTCATTCCAGCGAGTCTCACTAAAGATCATTCTAATTTCAACCCTCGAAAGTCTAGCCAGAGTTTCTTTCTTCTCTATCAGATACTCTGTTAAGCTTCCATCCTGTGGTGGAAGAATTGATGCGACCTTTTTAGAACGTTTGTCTGGGGAGGATGAGACGTCATGGCTGGAGCGTCGCAGGCTTTCTACAAGTTCTAGGACACTTTTCATCGGTTCTGCTTGCGAGAATTCAATATCTGGGAAATTGCCGACGCTGGGGAAGGTTGAAAGCATGATTGAGGTGCCGTCTACTTCTGCCCTGTTCCTGGGGTCGAGTTCTTGCCAGAGGCCTTCGGTGATGAAGGGCATGAAAGGATGGGTGAGACGTAGTGTGACGTCGAGCGCATGGAACGTCATTCCCATGGCGATCTCTCGTCTCTGTAAAGATGGGTAATTAGTATCTACTAGTGAGATCATCAGTTGTGGAGAACTAATGGAGACACGCACATTTCCATCTCCCAATTCCTCCTTAACAAACTCCAGGTATACGTCACATAGCACGTCGAATGTGAATGCTCTAATCGCCTCTGTAGCTTTGTAGAGTTTTCTTTCTTCAAATGCCGTGTTGCAGACTCCCACGAGCTCTCGTAGGTAGTAAAGCATATACCAATCATGGAGTCTCGTCTTTTTCTTATCTAGTCCCTCTATCCAGGATTTTATCGTGGTAGAGGTTCTACTACTTCCTTCAATCGCAGTCCCAAAAGCTTTATCGGAGGGCTTCCGGGAGTTATGGAAAAACTTGAATGCATTATCAATTTTAATCCCCAACCTCCGGAATGTATCAATATGCCTTAGTTCCATGTTGATCTGTCGTGATTGTCTAGTGTAGTCAATTAAAGCCATCCTTAAGGGATCCGACCCGCTTTCCGTGATTCCTTGTTGGAAGGTTTTCTGGGCTTCCTTGATTTTGTTTCTGACAAGAGTTTGAGCAACCTTTGCTTGCTTTTCTCCAGCTTTGGTGTTCAATGATTTTCCAAGTTCTATCTCTTCTTTACTATCCGCCTCGATCTCTTGTATGATCCTGTCTATTGTCCGCCCCTCAACGACAGCGAGTGGGTCAAGAACATTCCCAACGGATTTGGACATTTTTCGGCCTTTGGCATCGCAGACCAGGGGATGAAGTAATATCTCCCCGAAAGGCAACTTTCCAGAAAACCATGTACCTAAGAAGAGTTTATGTATTTTGAGCCTTGGTTCTGATGATAGAGGTGATGGTCAAAAAAGTGGGTGAACCTACAAAGCATGACCATTCTTGCCAACCAGAAGAATAGTATGTCTCCACCGCTTTCAATGAAGTTCAAGGGATAGTTTTTCTTCCATTCTTGGTGGCCCTCTGCCATTTCGTTTCCGCGCCACCCAGCTGTACTCAGAGGCAACAGCCCAGACGAAAACCACGTATCCAGCACATCTGAATCTTGTTCAAGAACACATCCTCTACGCCTTTCATCCTCAGTAAGCTGGCTTTTTGCCTCTGCTTCGCTGGCAGCAATAATCCATCTCTCCTTAGACTTCCCTGGCTCTAGCACCCGATAAGCGGGGATCCTATGTCCCCACCAAATTTGCCGTGACAGGCACCAATCCTGAATACCCTCCAACCAGCGTCTCCATTCATCTGAGTAAGGAGTCTCGGGTCTGATTATTAAGCCCTGGGATACCGATTGTGCTAGAGCTTTTTCGGCTAACGGTTTTGTGGAAAGATACCATTGTGGCTGGAGAAGAGGTTCGATTACGCATCCAGATCTCTCGCACTTTCCTACGCGCATATCGTGATCTTTCCTTCCGCGATATACACCTGCATCCTCAAGGAGCCGAACGATTGATTTACGGGCATATAGACGGTCAACTCCAACCAGGGAAGAAATACCACTAGAAGGAAGATAATGGCCCGTGGAAGAGAATACGGGGACCAGGGGAATTTCGACTCTTTTACCTTGGGTTTTATTGGAGGGTGGAACATAAGACAAAGAGTGACGTTGCCAGAATGCATAATCGTTGATATCGTGACATGGTGTAATTTTGACTGCTCCAGTCCCGAAGGAGGGGTCCACCAGTTCTGCGTCGGGGACGATAGGCAAAGTCACACCTGGGAGGAGGGGATGGCAGACACGTTTGTAGTGAAGATGCTGAGTAGAGTGATCGTTAATTGATGATGGGGTCAAGGCAAGGTGGAAAAGAAGAAAGAGCGCATGCCTTGTATCTCTCATCATCGGGATGTACTGCTACTGCCCGGTCACCCGGAATCGTTTCTGGCCTTGTGGTAGAAACCACGATTTCCCCACTACCATCTTCTAATGGAAATGCAAAAGAGTGAAGAATACCAAATTCCACTCTGCCACGATGCAATTAGTAAAGTCATGGTATACTACTTAAAACAACAACATACCCGTCGATCTTTGTCCCTTTCGAAACATCCTCACCGATAACTTCGATATCAGATATGGCAGTCTGCAAGCCCACACTCCAATTTACCATCCTCGTATCTCTATAGATTAACCCTTCTTCATACAGTCTAACAAAAGCATTTGTAACTGCCTCGCTCAGCCCTTTATCTAATGTATAATACTCGGCCGACCCGGTGGTCGAGGTACCTAATCTCGACATTTGACCCAGAATTCTACCACCATACTCATCCCTCCATTTTTCAACCTCTTTAACAAAATTCTCTCTTCCTAGATCATTCCTTGATAATCCGCGCTTCTTTTTGAGCATGCGTTCAACAACAGACTGTGTCGCAATACCAGCATGGTCTGTTCCTGGTGCCCAATGCACAGGATGAGAATTCATACGATAATATCTAGCAAGAGCATCCTGGATTGAAAGCATCAATGCATGACCGATATGGAGCTGACCGGTAACATTAGGAGGGGGTAGAAGCATTCGAATTTTATCTTTGGACTCGCCCGAAGACGTTTGGGGCTCGAAAAGCGAGCGGGATGTCCAATAAGAGTACCATCCATTTTCAATAGATTTCTAAAGGAAAGCGAATGGCATATTAGAAAACTAAAATTGTAGTTAATTTGGGATACGAAGCTTACTGGGTCAAATCTCTCTGACGGATTTCTCCGTGGTTTTGGTGAATTGCTATTGTTTGCAAGAGAAGCCAATGTCCGTTTCGAAGGTATGTTTTTGACCAAAGGAGCCAGGGTGAATCTAGTGAAAGCAATTCCTCTTAAGGATACTGCTCTCCCCATCGAGAGCTGCATATTTTTGGGGCTGTTTTCCGACTATGGAACTGACGTTGTTTTGCGCTTTGCGCTTGATCCGGGTAATGTGTGATCTTTCTTAGTTTATGCGGGTACATACATGTAGTCCGCGTCTAGCTAGCGCTACCCAGAACGACATTCTGCATCATACACATGTCAGATTTGGCGCGGTTAACTTTGAATACCAATCCCCTATTCTTATATTGTGCTAGTAGTATCATTTGTAGTACTATGGTGCACTGCATGTGATATATTAACACGTCCATCCCTTTTTTTTCTTTTCTATATGGTCTGAGACTAGCTCAATAGTACAGCTATTTTGTCTATTTTTGATTACTAATTCGATTAGGTTTTTACTTGTGCGATTTCAAATCGAATACATCTGCCAGCAAACAACAACGAAGAAGATTCTCGGCCAAGGATTAAAGAATCTGAAAACCTCTTCAAGTGTGAATTCTCTTTTAGACGCAACCTATGATAGAGTAATCGAAAACATCAATCAGAAATCGAAAGCACGCAAAGATTTGTCGATTACGATATTTACTTGGCTCGTATCAGCCAAACGGCTACTAAAAATTGATGAGCTTCGAGTGGCGCTTTCCATCGATGAGGGGAAAGATACGAATTAGATTTACCAGAGGGAGAAATGATCCTCGAAGTCTGCTCTGGACTTGTAACGATTGATGGTGAAAGAAATGTTCGGCTGGTGCACTTGACTGTTCAGGAATATCTCCAGAGAAAGTCGATCATACACCAAGATCTGGGGCTCATGAAGATTACCATAACTTGCTTCCTTTGATGGTTTTGGTAACGAGTTTTGGTAACGAATCCGGTCACCAACATCATCGCGTATGGCGCTCTCGCATGTTAAAAACGAACCAGGAGAGGTACTTGTTTAGAAGACAAATACGGGTCCTGGAGATATCTGGAAACACACCTTTGCCTTATCGCTTCATGAGATACGCCTCCACTTACTTATATCTGCATATTGAGTATTGTGAGGAAATAAAGCTATTGGAGGTTCTATGGGGGTTTCTAAAACGCCAGAATAATATTGACAGGTTTCTCGCTATCTCAGAAGAATATACCGACTTTTTCGTATAGAAAAACATATCCAGTACTCACTCGTTAATTAGAAGGTCGGAAGTCGTTGCAACCAAATCCTCACACAAAATTCCGACCTTTTAATTAACGCGCGAGTACTTGATGATGGAATCCATGCGCTGCATATAGCATCAGCTCTGGGGAATACCCTTGGAGCCCAAAAAGTATTAGCCCAAAAAGTATTAAATTATGCTTTAAATCCTCGTGGAGACTTAACTGTAACTACGAGCTGTTTGGGAAAGGCACTACTATTTTTCCAGGAATGAGAGGGTGGCTAAGCTTCTGCTCGAGAACGGCACTGATGTACAGGCCGCCCCGAAGCCGAATACAGATGGATGTACACCAATATATACATGTCTATACGGTGAGTATAGTAGAGATCCAGGTTGCAGTTTAATCCGAACCCCTCCTAAAAATATAAGGGAAAGGAAAAAAAGGAGGTCATAGTTCTCTAACGCTGTAACAGATCCAGATGCGCGGGCTCTAGTTACAACGTTCGTGGCGGCATGTGATCTGAGAGACGTTAAAACCGAGCGGTCTACGGTCGAGCGCGAGGCGTAATTTGGACTATTGAAATTCTGAGGACGAAGAATAAGTTAGCAGGGGTTCGAAAGGGGGGGGCGGGGCGAATGTCAATCTCTTGTGAATCAGTTTCTTTGTATGTTTTGTATGCGTGCAGTCTCATTATAAAAAAAGCTATGTATAAAGCAATTTGACAATCACCACGTCTTATCTGGAAATATATGCGAGTGATATCTGATGAATTAAGTCTAAAATCGAGTCTGCCAAAGCAAAAACAAACCACAGGCATCCATTATATCCTATTAGGTTTGTAGGGTATATTTAGTGCGTATCCAAATGATCAAAGACTTGATCGTGCTATTTTATGCCGCAGTGAGTCTAGATGCCGATTCGGAACGTTAAGGGCAAACGATCGATGGAAAAATGAATGACCCGATAAAATGAGCTGTTGATATTTTATTGATGCATGCATTTAGGGTTACACATTACTTAAAACTCAAGGCGGGACTACATGTATTTCCCCAGGTTCAGGATAATTATTAACCATAACAACCTCAATTAACCAGTCCTCGCCAGCTTCAACCTCTACACTGATCTACACAATTTTTATAGATTACAGTTTTTATTTAAAATGCGATACGACTTTAGGACTAGTTAATTTCTACACCCAAACCCGTCAATAAAAGAGTAAGACTTTATTTTTCTGTCCGTATCTTTTCGGAAAGAATTAAATAAACAAAAGTAAAGCGTATAAAAAAGAAAAGAAAAGATACAAATTTGACCCTTCACGATTTTTTCACACAGTCGGGTCGTCATATACGAAATTGATATCCCTCACACTCCTCATAGGGGTCATTACAAACAGTGAATCACCCTCTGGCCTCTCTGTCCACATTATCATAATTAATATATAGGAGAGAATTGAATAGAGAGGGGGGGGGGTCGAACCGTTCTTGGTGTTACCAGTAAGCATCGATTGGATGCTCACGCAGACACTTTCGACATTTTGTACGGGGCTCCAGCCGTGACCGGTGGATAGGAGATCGAGACATATTATGCCATTGGAATAGACATGTGGATGCATTGGTATTTCTGGGACTGTCAGCAAAATAGAACAATCACAATGAAAGTGTATCGCGGAGGAGTTAAGAAGCTAGTAGCGATGATAGTTACAATAGTGCCAGTAGGACATGTCAGGGAAACATATTCTCACTGTCACTTTTGGCTATCACGCCACAGATATCCTAGTACTAAGCAATAACAGTAGTACACGTTACTGCTATCCACTACCAGCACCCATAACTCCGTAACTACAACCGCAAGAATGAAAGATCTAGTCTCACCCCTATCCGCCGTTCTTACGAACATAACTTCTGGCGGCTCGATCGGATAGTTTTTGCCAAATTTGAACCTTAAACGGAACGTTTTCCCGTAATAGATCGGGTTTTGGTCCAGCACTTCAAGGTCCATTTCCCATGTTGACAGGTCGTCGGCGGCGGCTATGTGGATTCCTATTGTTTGCGCTTAGTATATGGAGCTGTAGAGTTGTAGAGCTGTCAAGGAGCAGGAAATGGAAGGAGTATCCGGGAAAAGAGGGGGAGGGGGTACCAGCGGGGAGTTCTTTCTGCATCTATAGTGAAACCGTTAGCAGATAGAGTGAGGGAAGGAAATCCAAGGAGGCGGAGAGTGGGGGCAAATACGTTGAGCAACTCGCGCTTGAGGCGCTTGGAGAACGTGGGTACCGGCCCCATAGTGAGAGTCGGACGCTTGTAGGGTAGATGGTTGTATGAGAGGGTATTGTTTAGTAGCTGGCAGATACTCTGAAGTCTGAGCAAATGATTGTAACAGCGACGGAGACGGAGTAGAAGCAGAAATAGAAGCACGCGGGGTGGGGTATAGTATAGATGCACGTGATAAGGACAAGCTTTGGGTTGAGGCTCTTGTGGCAGCTTTAGCCTTTACAATGTAGGAAGTAAATTTTACATACAGGTATGTACCTTGTACATACACGTTATAGTCTTGTCAGCCTGGCTAGGCATTGCGGGCTACAGGGCAGAACGAAGCCTCTCGGGCATAAAGGCGGTTTCCCTTATGCACGCCATCGTATTATTCTCTGAATAAGTGTTGTAGCTACATGTATGGCCTGCATTCCTGTATGTAGGTACATGTACCTACTGTAGAGTAGAGAGTGCTCTATGTGGACCTGTCTTTATGCCCGAGGCTGTTCCGTAAGGTGGAAGAAGCCTTGCAACAGAAGTTGATGTAGGTACGGCCCGTATTCGCTGAAGAGAATGGGTGGGCAGAAAGCCGTTGGAAGTTGCCAGGGGATACGGGGTAAGGTAAGGTGTGCGGCGTGCCATGCACAGACAGATTGACACTAAACCACGTCGAGATACACCAAGCAAGAAGCAAAAAAACACTGACGACGACTTTGTTAAGTTTACCTTTGGTGCAGATGATTAGTAGATAACCGAGTAATGGTGTTATGATGTATTTAGACTAGAACATAAGATCAATAAAGGGCGGATTTGAATGAATAAATAACACCGACAACATCGGTATGATACAGCACACACACACAGACTGCGCCGCAGATCCCGAGACCGGGGGAGAAGCCAATAAACACCACAATCCCCGCTGATGCACGAGCCCTCAAAGGCCCAATCTAAGACCTGCCTTTTATATATATAGCAAAAATCATGAGCTGTAATTTAGAGTAAACTCTCTTTCCCTCCCTGCCTCCTCCTACATACATTAGGTGCTACTCTCAACAACAACCGCCGCAAACAGATCCATCACCATTTTTCTTTATACCATGATGTCTCGAGGTCGCGAGAGACATGATAGTGGATCTTCTCGGGGGCATGTGCGTTCGCAATCTTCATTCAGACTCTCATTGAACGCGGGGATGGAGCTGGTTGCTTCGGTGTTCCATCGCTTGAATGGGCAGCCAGCGAGCTATGATAAGAAGTGAGAAAAATCCTTGTCTGCACTTTGGTATACACGTTTGAATCTACCATTGCTAATGGCCTGTGCTGTAGATCTCAATACAAAATGGGCCGTACACTGGTTCGTGATCACAGCTCCTTTAAATAACAACAGTGCATCCGCTAACAAGTAATAGGGTGCGGGAACCTACGGGATAGTACGAGAGGCAGAATCCCCATCTGGGAAGGTCGCAGTAAAAATTATTTTGAAGAAGAGCGTAAAGGGGAACGAAGAAATGGTGCAGGATGAATTGAAGTTATTGAAGCGTTTGGATCACCCAAATATTGTCTCTTTCAAGGATACATTTGAATCAAGGGTTTGTGTTTTCTTTCTCCGTTTACTAGATCCGGGATTCTCTTAATTCCTGATTATTACCTGGGGTTGGGTGTGTGGTCTTGGATCATAGTCTATGAGCTCGATCTCGTACTAACAACCCTTTAGGACAAATACTATATCGTCACACAGCTCGCAACCGGCGGTGAACTCTTCGATCGCATTTGTGAAAAAGGAAAGTTCACCGAGAAAGATGCCACCGTAGTTGTTCTCTCTATCCTCACCGCCGTAAACTACCTCCATTCCAACAACATCGTACACCGTGACCTCAAGCCCGAGAATCTTCTCTACCTCACCCCATCCCCGGACTCTTCCCTAGTGCTTGCCGACTTCGGGATTGCAAAAATGCTTGATACCGATACAACTGTTCTCACATCCATGGCTGGCTCGTTTGGATACGCTGCACCAGAGGTAATGATGAAGAAGGGCCACGGTAAGGCGGTAGACCTGTGGAGTCTAGGTGTCATCACATATACCCTGTTGTGTGGGTATTCGCCTTTTAGAAGTGAGAATATGGAGGAACTAGTAGAGGAGTGTAACAAGGGAAGAATTATATTTCATGAGAGATACTGGAGGGGAGTTAGTAAAGATGCAAAACTGTTCATTGGATCCTTACTTCAGACAAATCCGGACGATAGACCTTCTAGTGCTGTTAGTCCCCTTTTGCCGAAAGAAACGCGGTTTGTTACTAATTCTTATAATAGGAGGCGTTGAAACACACATGGCTCAAGGGTGAGACTGCGTCCGACAAAGATATCCTCCCCGAGATCAAATCCTATATGGCCAAAGCACGTCTCCGTCGTGGTGTTGAAATGGTAAAATTGGCGAACCGTATCGAGGCTCTGAGGCTTCGTGAAGACGATCAGGAAGCTGGCGAGACGAGTGATATACCATCCAATACTGTGCAGGCAGCCTGTGAGGGAATCACCTCGGCTACTGCGAGAGTACCGCCGCCGCAAGAGGAGGAGGAGGAGCTGAAGGGTGCGAGAAGGCTGTCGAGAGCGGCGAGAACCGCGATATTTAGGGAAGTTGTGTTGGCAAAGGTGAGGGAAATGAAGGCGGAGGAGGAGATAAAGGCTGTTGAAGAGGGGAAGGCGGGAGCAAGTAAATAAGGCTGCGTCATTTTCTTCTTCTTTTCTTTCATTTCGCATTCTTGCATTTTGTGGTTGCGGGCTTCGTATGGAATTTTATCTTCTCTGGTGGTTCTTTCTAGATTGGTGTTTACCCTCGTTTGTTGGTTAGATATATTGGGTCCATTTTATATGTGCTTTCTTTGCTGGCTTGGGTGGGTGTATCTGGCTCTCTCTTCCTTCCTGTTGGTATTCTTTGCGTTCCGTACCATACTTTCTTGATTTATCAAATACATACATTTTTTTGTGTCTTGTGGTTTACGGGTTATTTTATTGAAGGGGAGCTTAAGTCTCGGCGACAGACGCATAAATGTGGTCTAAATTCAATGATTTTATTTAAACCCGCCAAGAAGCTAGAGTGCAGAATAGTACATAGCTAAAACTATGGCTAAACTAGATCCGGTCAAAGTAATATATCAGTACAATTGTACCACGTGACTTGTCAATAACGCTTTAAGAAGACACATACATGTATGTTACATGTATACCTTATAATGATGAGCACTTGGATACATGTAATATCCTGATTTGTATCCACTCGGAGATCCCACAATATCACGTTCGGCAGCTGGCGTGGAGGGAGCTTAATGCCATCGGAATACATAGTTACTCAGTACTTATATGTACATGTATGTACTTATTGGCCTTTTGATTTCATTCCATTTCCTTTAGCTATGGCTATAGTACTAGTCTCAATCTCGACTAGTTGTTTCAGAAGTCTAAAATGGTATAGCTGCATTATGATCCTAGAAAGCTCTCAAGGAATACACACGTGCATAGCCTTATAGTAGATTGGGATTTGAGGAAGGATCCTTGTCCACCTATAAGCATAAGGATAAACCGGATATTATAATCACTAAGCACTCACATATCATCACTCGTCTCTGTGGCTTTCCACTAACCCGAGCTTGAATTCTCCATATTGGGGCGGTACGCTTACATACGGTAGCGCGCGCTTTTCATTAATCTTGTCGCGGGTCATCTTTGTGATTTATGACTTAGCAATTGTCCAAGACTTCGGTGTCGGCCCCCAAATCGAGTGAGGCTGAGCCTGCTTACAGCGCCGTATATACCTACTCGGGGTGAGACAAGCGGGGCGTTGCTAGGCTCGGAAATTAAGATTAAGCTTTTTTTCTTTTTGCTACTATTTTCAGTGGGTATTGCAATTGTTTTCTTGACGTGCTGTGGCCGAATTCAAGATTACATAGGTATACACGCAATCAATTGTACCTAGGCCTTCATAATATTACTACATGTAGTAGCTATGGACTATAGTGTCCTGAGTACATGTATTATTATATAACAGATCACTAAAGCCTGGAATATTCATGAATCGATTACGACCACCTAGGGTAACAAGTACAGGCTCCCCCTCAGCAGTACTCGTAAGTTCATAGCGTTTCCGAACACGACCAATATTGCATGACATACAAAAAGGTGGATTTAGCGCTTTTTATATGGTATGCAATTGCAGTCGTGTTCGGAAACGTCATGAATTTACGAGTAGACACAGGCACAGGATCTATTTAGGGTAACAGTGTTACCAAGCAAACATTCGGAGTAACACCAGCCAGTTAGTTACCCGGTCCGATGGGGCGGAACACAACTCTTCCGTGCGGCACCGTTCATGTAGGAGCGAATCACAACCATGAACTCACATGTCGTATGAATGCTGTCCGTCCCCCTAGATTCATCCACTCCTCCTGCTACTCATGCAACGTCACTTTTACGCAGGAATAGAGTAGATTATCAACGCCCTACTATGGTGCGGTGAAACCTGCATGATGTATGATCTATCCGTTGGTTGTGCTTCTGGTCGATGGCGTCCTCGAGGGATACGATATAAAAATGCCCCTTCCTCGCCTCCCCACCCGGCCATCCGCGAGAGCGGAGCAGGGCCCGTTGAGCGAGCGAGCTGGAATATATAATCTTCGAGGATTCTCGGTAACACGTGCTTACTAGATTCTCCTTTTCTTTTCTTTTCTGCTTTTGCGAATTATCTTACAATTATTACTCTTACCTTATACCTATACTTCTACATCCTACATACCTAATCTACAAACCTCACTCACATAATATAATTTATATAAAAATACCCCAAAAGCCATTACGACCAGCAAGAATGAGCACGGCAGTCCACGCCGGAAGTAGCCATACTGGCACCTCACCGATTGTTCCTCGGAGCCCCTCACTTCTATCGCCACCATCTTCAAATCCACCTTCAGCAGAAGCATCTCCACAGCTAAAACCCCTTCCACCAATTCCCACAGACGACTCCAGTGGAGAAGAAGAGACTACATACAATGACGTGATCCGTCCAGGGGAAATCAACGTCCAGGAGATCGACGCTGAGTCCATTATTGCTCCTGTAATATCACGAAGCCAGTCCACTGCACTATATAGAAATGCCCTCTCGCCTACTAGGACCACCGCTCCCACTGGCTTATTCCAGCCAGGAAGCGCACAGGATAAACGCACGCAAACCTATGGAAGAGTGTATCCCAATTTCGTGGCAAGGGAAAAGACACAAGTGCAAGCAGCTCAGGGGAAGAAGTCAAGGCCATTTTTTCAGGTCCCATCACTGCAGATGCCAAATGTGAGCCTACCGAACGTTAGCTTGCCATCCTTTAGTGGGGTAAACACTCGTCTGCGCTCCAAAACGTTATTCAACCCCCGTTCTGGGGCATCAGGGGCCACAGGAGGGGGAGGTATAAACTCTTCGTTCTTTGCGGACAGGGCTTCGGCATTTTTTGGCCGTCCAGAAACAACGACGGCCACGGCGACTACTAATGAAGAATTGGCAAACCAGAAGAAGCCTAGACCGCCTGCACATAGGCGATCATCTTCACATCCGTCCGTACTCATGGATCCACTCTCCCGAAACCCATCAGCTACATCATCACTAGGCGATGATTCAAAGTTCTTGCATATCCACGCTCCGGCCAACGCACGATTCAAGGCCATCCTAGATGGGCTCCCGAACTTTCCAAATTTCCCACAGCTACCACAATTAGCGCAGTTCAATCCGTTCACTGACTCAGTGCCCGAGACTGCACCTAAGAACACTGCTGTTTCCCCAGCATTAGAAGCCTTGGATAATGTCACTGGTGATGTAGTAATTATGGGCGGATATAGGGGATCGATCCTCCGAGACAAAACAGCCGGAAACAGGCGTGTCTGGGTCCCGTTGAAAGTGGGTTTTAACCTCCGCAAGATAAACCTCGAAGTCGGCTTAGACCCAGAGGACGAGGAGAATATGAAAGACAAGATCGCTCCTTCGGGAATGCTTACGCATATCGGTCCTGTTGATATATCTAAGAAGCTCTTGAAACGCCTCCGCTCGAATGCAGATGCCCACGGACGTAGAGTACATGAGTGGGGATATGATTGGCGATTGTCTCCGGAACTTCTGTCCAAGCGGTTGATTACCTTTTTGGAGGGACTAGAGTGTAATTCTGGAAACCCCGAGGGAGGTGAAAAGAGGAAAGGGGCATTGGTAATTGCTCATTCACTCGGGGGGTTGATTACCAGGCATGCCATGAACCAGCGGCCAGACTTGTTCTCGGGTGTGGTTTTTGCGGGGACACCGCAGACTTGTGTCAATATCCTGGGACCACTGAGAAATGGGGACGCAGTGTTGATGAATTCAAAGGTTTTTACCGCACAGGTGAGAACCCGTCTCTTTACTCTTCTTTATAAAATGTGTCTAACCTGGTGACTGCGTGGATAGGTGAACTTTACTCTCCGTACATCCTACGCCTTCCTGCCTGAAAGCGGAGAATGCTTCGTTGACCGCAACACCGACAAACCCCTTCCACTCGACTTCTTCAACATCAAAACCTGGCAAGACTACTGCCTGTCCCCCTGTGTCTCCACGTTTACCCCATACCCTGCGCCCTCAACCAGCACCTCTGTTCTCGGGACTTTATCTGCCTTCACCTCCACTGCCGACCTAAGTAAAGACCGCAGCATAGCCCCACAGACGTCCTCCACCCCGTCAACAGGAGCCGACCAACACCCCACTCTCCCACTCTCTCGTACAATACCGTATCTCGAGCGTACTCTATCCGAAACACTCCGCTTCAGGAAGGCGCTGGAGTATAACCCAGAGAAGGGAGCGTTGTATCCGCCACAAGCAGTGCTATACTCGAAAACGTCGCCGACAGTGAGAGGTGCGAAAGTGGATGGGTTGGAGGGAATTAAGAGGGCAGATGCATATGTAGATTTGTTATTTGGCGCCGGGGATGGTGTCTGCTTAGCGAAAAAAGCGATGCTCCCCGAAGGGTATAGATGTGCGAAGAGGGTGGCCGTAGACAGGGGTCACATTGGATTGTTGGGAGATTTGGAGGGAGTTGGAAAGTGTGTGGATGCTTTGGTGAAGGAAAGAGGATGGTAATCAAAAAAGGTTCTAGTTGTTGACAATTAAAAAGAGGGAGTACATAGATAGGGTCTTGGGTTTGGCGTTTTTTTGTTTTGTTTTGTTTTGTCGTAAAAAGTAGATATCAAGAGTACAAAACAATAGTTAGGTATTTTGTGATGCAAATCACGCAATTCATGATCATCCAATTCCTAGAAGCCTTTCTAGGAGAGGCATCTGTCCCCGGTTAACTCCTTCCTCCCCCACGGGCATATTTTCCATCCATAGCATACTCCAACTGCATACTCCGAAAACCTACCCACCTATCATTACCGGCCAGAGTGATACTCCATGATGCACACCACAAACGACCCACGTGGATGCCAAGAAACGCCTTATTTGTATTCCCGTGACCTGCAGGCAATGCCAACGTCAACAAAGCTAGGGCCACTGTAGATACATATATCCTGGCATCTTTCCAACTTTCCCACATCCGAAGATACCACACTACAACCTCCAGAGATAACCACCTTAAAATCCCAAAATGACAACCTTCGTCCCGCCCCCGCCATACAGTCCTCAGGAGCTGAAATCCCTATATCCAGATAGCCTTGAATTGCACCTTGTACAGCTTATATTCCGCCATGGTGAAAGAACACCTGTGGGTGCGAGGTTTCAGGAAACGGGGTTGTCGCCTTGTGAGTCAATCTTAATACCATAGGTTAAACTTGGGCCAATTGGGGATTGAACTGATTGCATGGGATTTTAGTGTGGCCGTATTGTAGCTCTGCAGCAAGATTTAAGGCGGCCGTAGTAGAGAACACTGGCGAGTGGAGCGAGCTTGCTTTTAAAAGAAGAACCGAGACTGTCGGGGATAAAGGGCAGGCAGTTGTCAGTGGTGCCAGTACTGGTACGGAGGATTCAATCTGGTGAGTCTGAACAAGTTGAAAGGAAACGTGGACCAACTAATTGGTTGTTTACAGCTCATTTGGTGAACTCACCGACCTCGGAAGACAGACCACCCTCGCACTTGGTCAACGCGCCAGAAACCTCTACATCAACCAACTCGGCTTCCTCCCTCCCAGTCCTGGCCCCCAATCCAGCCACTACCTCCGCGCTACTCCCGTCCCAAGAGCTCTAGAGTCGCTCCAACAAGTCTACACCGGCTTGTACCCCACTTCGACATGGGGTCCTACTCCCGAGATACCTATAATCTACCAGCGCTCCTTCTCGCAGGAGAATCTATTCCCCAATGAAGCCAACTGCCGGCGCTTCCTCATGCTGACTCGCGAGTTTGCCTCTCTCGCGGCCCAAAAATGGAATGACTCACCGGAGATGCAGTATCTACAAAGCCGTATCGGTAAGTGGGTTGAAGGCGGCGTCAAAGTCGACGGAAAGCCGCGGCTGTCTGGAATTATGGATACCATAAACGCAACGCTCGCGCATGGCCCTGCGACGAAGCTTCCGGGTGAGTTCTATGAGCCTGAGGTGCTGGCTGCGATGGACAAAATCAATGTCGATGAATGGTACCGTGGGTACTCGCAATCCTCGGAGTACCGACGTTTAGGCATGGGTAGTCTTCTGGGAGATGTAGTGGACCAGATGGGAAGGTCTGCTAAAGAGGATGCAGACAAGGAGGGAAGACTGAAGGTTGCTTTAATGGGCTGCCATGATACTACACTGGCAGGACTGCTGGCGTCGTTAGGCGCTTTCGACAATAAGTGGCCTCCCTTCACCAGTAGTATCGCCTTCGAGATGTTTAGGAAGAAGGAGGTTAGTCAGGGGCGGGGGTTGTGGGCAAGATTAATGGGTGGTGGTAGGGCGAAGGACGAGGATTATTATGTGAGGCTGAGGTATAATGAAGTTCCTGTTGTCGTCAAGGGGTGTAAGAAGCCCGGAAACCATCTAGAGGGTGATGAGAGCTTTTGTACCCTTGTAAGTTTACCTATGAATTTCGTATTTTCTTATTGATAAATTAATGCTAACAACTCATGGGTTATAGGCGGCGTTTAAAGAGATTGTAGCAAAGATGAGGCCAAAGGATTGGCAGAAGGAGTGCCTAATGAACATGGATAAAAAGGGCATCCCACCAGTCGAGGAGGTGGAATAAATAGTATCTTAGCATCTTCCTTTATTCGTTGTTCCTTCCTTCCTTTCTCTTGTTTGTTGGCTAGAATTTCATAGACTTAAATAGGTCCCTTGGTCATGCATGAGATATCACTCGACCATGTTTATCATATTTTTATGCTTGACTGCCTCTAGAATGTTAAAAAGCAAATTAGCATGTGGTGTAATTCTCAAGGAGAATAAAAAAAGATACCATCATTTCTAAAACCTAGGCAACAAACTACCTGCGCCTTCTACGCCGGGGTTACTTCGGACGTATGTATATATATGCGTCCAATCACTGCCCCAACACATTCGAACTAACTCCATGTCTTCTTTCAAATTCCCTTTTTATGGACCTTGAAAGATACCCCGAGAAAGATCAATGCAACACATGGTATTCCAAGTTTTCCCATTGCGTCTCCCTGGGCGATTAGACTCGATGCTTGCACCATTGCCAGCCAGGTAGAATACGTCGAATTCTTAGAAAATCCTGTGGCAATGATGAGAATAATAGACCGAGAGGCGACTTGCGGAGAATCAATTTTCATCATGTCCACTGAGCTGGCCTCTGGTAGTGAACTTAAGCGGCGGTACACCGATACTCTCCGAAAACAACTGTGAGACAATTTATAAACAAAAACTATAGAGGTTCCACGGGTATTAACTACGATAAGAAGTATTATGACCAGGTAAAGAAGCAAGGACTTACGTGATTACAATAACCTCCAAGAGTGCCATCACCGTTTCGGCTTTCTCTCTTTGCTCAACTGCTGGGCTTGAGTCGATAACCCTTTCTTTCCCTTTCCGGGTAGAGCCACCAATGGTAAGACCCAACGATCCTGGATATTATAGTGTGATATCTTTTGCTCCGATTTCAGACGGACGATCCGAATCATATACTGTGCCTTGAATTTTTTTTCTTTTAGAGGAACCAAATCTATGGAGCTCTCTCCCAGACAACGTCCAACTTGCAGCATTCAAAAACTAGTTTTCGAAAGGATAAATGTTATTCTCCCAAGGTCTCAACAGCGTTTCATGCAAGTGATAGCGCCAATTTTCGTGTCATTTAACTTGTGCTTTTGAAGGTCGACCTCAAGTACGCATATCGATTGATGAGAAGCATTCTTTCTCGTTTACTTAAATCTTACCATGCTCTATACACCACTGTGTTCGGACGATAATCAGCCCTAAGTGAGCGTACAATTCTACAACTCGGAGCTCGAAACAGAATGACACTTTGCCAGCTATAGTTGAGATATCAGTCTATTGAACTCCTTTTAGTGGCGAGGGTAACACTCCGAGCCCAAAATACCCAATTGGGGTTGATCTACCAACGCTGCAACATTAACGTTGAAGGTCACATCTCGTTTTTCTGCCTTGACCCCAACTTCTATTTAAAGTACCGCTCTGTTCTTTTCCGATGTGTTGATTAGTTAACCGATTGCCAAGAGACGATCATGTTGTTCCCTTATAGCTTCGTACTAGTATTAGGATTATCATGATATTATTATGTATGCAAGTGTGTGCCGCACTGTAGTAGGAAGTCTGATGCGCGCGTGCCTGCTGTTACTCAGTGCTGTAGGTATATTTTTCCCTCCTAAACTAGGAACTTAGAACTGTGCTATCCATCCTTCTAGAAGGTAAAATAATTTCAAAGCCGTGAGGCATTTCTTTCATAAGAACTCTGTTGTAGTTGACAGACTTTCCATGGTGATATTCGTATTATAACAACAACGTGTGCCATGCGAGTGCCGCCGGCCCCGGGAGTTTTTAATCTTTTTTCTCTCTCCCATAACCCTGCTAAAGAATTTTCTTTCTCCTTTTCTTTGTTCCCCCATGACCTCGATTTGGACCTTTATCGATAGGCTCATTTGCCCCCGTACCGAGGATTAAAGTAGAGTAAGGCTGTTGCTAGCTAGCATAACTAACCATGATTAAATCCCTGCAAACAACACTTCGGGATCCCCGTCGTTCGAAATAAAACCAATGACGTATAATTCCTCCTAGCCCCGGAACAACGACGTGAACGTGCACCTCTAGTGGGAGGAAGGGAAAAAGAGGATACTTTACATCCGCATCTGTTGCCGTTTCCCGAGAGAGAGTTCTGAATAATGGACCACCTGCTTGATGATGATGATGCTGTTGTAACGGTAGTTGTGTGCTAGCGATCGTGGTGTAGTGCTCTCAAATTGGCTTTTTAGAGTACGTACATAGATGTCTTTCTTTGTCTCCACCTCCGTCCGGAGTGTGTCTGAACCTCGTCCGGTTCCTTCATGTATTAGGTAGGTACTCTTTTCTGCCAGTATCCGGGACCTTGCACTAAGCTGAGACTCTAGTGTGAGGTGGGTGGATTGGAAAAAAAAAAAAAAAAGTGCCGAACCCACGAACGTTGCAGCGGAATAAACTTTTCAACCCTCGGAAGAAATGTGAGATTCAGCAACAGTAACATCGTCAGCCCAGCAAAGAAGAAAAGGAAAAAGGGATAAAGCCGGGTCGATGATGTAACTATATGTATTTAATTGGCACTCTAAGTATATAGTAGTGGTACCTGCCCCAGCCAGGACAGGTCTGTATGTACATAACTACATAACAATTTCAAGAGTCATAGGTGATGCACCGGACGACGATGACTGATTTGGCTGGTTTTTGCCCAAGGCCACGGGACCTCATTCACTTATGACTGTGTACCTGGTATGGAACAAATCTTTGGACTTTGAGATCCGACGTCGTCTGTGTCAAGCAGTTACCCGGACATCGCACAACGTCAAATGTTTGCTTTGCTTTTTATGACATCATTGTCAGGAGATTGGAAATCTGGTTCTGTTTCTCTGTAGCTTCCCGAGTCCCCCGTTAACGAGCGTAGGAAACGACCTTTTTTGCTTCTTCTTTTCTTCCTCGAATTCGAGTGCAATGTATGAGATGTTTCAAGATGAGACGACGTGTTATGGGGTTAAGTGACATCGTTAATTAATTAATGGTGTTGATGTCAAGGGCAGCAGATCCTAGCTTGGGCCAGTTAATCACAAGAGATGAGAGAACAGAGATGTCACGGCTAATGTGATTCAAGCTTTCCCAGTGAGATTATTTATTTTTTTCAAGCCTTTTCTTAGTAATATGTAACGATTTTCCCATTCCACCCGACGCTGAAAGAAAAGGAAAGGGGGGGAAAATATCAAAAATAAACAAGACAATAGCCAACCTACAAGTTACAAGTTACAAATTGTTTTTATACACCAATAGGAAAAATCTTCCGCCCCAGCTACGCCGCAGACTGGGCAAAACCAGACCCAAATACGTGGAATTGACAAGCTCTCTGATGCAAGATGCCTAACAAAAATGCAAATGACGCCCCGTAACAATGAAAAAGAAACTTATATCCAAACATTGAAAGGAGAAAACCACGCGAAAAAAGAAACCACATCTTAAAACAGAAACCATCTTCCATCCTCTCTTCACACCGTCCCCCTTCGTATCAATCTGGGACTCTCCTACAAGATGGTTATCGTGTCATCATCAGAACTCTAAAATGCCTGAAACAATTTCTCGCCCAGAGTGAAAGGCCCGTAGTCTTGAAATCAACTGACGAGTTAGGAATCCCGAAACGAAACAGGACGAAGAGTCCAACATCTCATTAGGGGCTCAATCTGAGAGTAATCAAATCGGCGAGTAAAACGAAGAAAAAAGACCAAACCCTTTCATAAACCAAACTAAACAGTGGAAAAGAGCCAAAAAGCCAAAAAGCCAAAAAGCCAAAAGAGATAAAATAGGGAAAAAAGAGAAACGCGAAAGCAAACACTTTACACCCCAAAACACCATATATCAAAACATAGATCAAGGCGGTTCGAGAAAACCAATGGAAAAAGGAAGGTGGAAAAAAATACAAGAATGATGCCCGAAGTAGTCAATAGCAATAGCCGTCCTATCGAAAATAGAACTAGAAAAAAACCAGATTAAATGCGGGTATAAAATATGCATGCCCAAAGCCCCCATGAATATGACAAAGGAAACAATAAAAAAATGAATGATATCGAATGGCCAGTTCCATTAGTCGAAAATATTCAAGAGAAGGCCTGATCATCGAATAAAACAGCGCCTGTGAGGGCGGATTTTCCGCTATAAAATGTTACGATCTCACTCGGAGATTGTGGCGGGAATTGTAATCAAAAGAATCCTCCTCCTTGCCATTGGACTGGGAACGGGTATTCTGGGGTTCTCCAGATATCCCAGATACGCTTCCTAACCCTCCTCTGCTACCACCTCCACGTGTTTCTTGTCGAATATAAGACTTCGTTACTTGTGACGCGGAAGATAATGCACGCCTTGGCAGAACGTGGCTCGGCGAGAAGTATTCCCAGTCAACTGGATCCCATGACCTCTTGCCAGCCAATGGAAACCCATATCGATCATCCATCGTTCCATCTATGCCCTCTTCCTCTTCGGGAATTGGCTCATCGTCAACCCATCCAACAGTGTATCCATCCTTATCCCCAAACAATAGCATTGGTTTCTTGTCAACATCTTTTTCAGGACTCCGACTCCTTCTATCGATTCCAGAATTACCCCATGGTTGGGGACTTGTAGACGCAGTACTTGAAGTGGTAGCGGCGTTACCTGTTGGCGGTGCTGTGAGAATCCACCTCGCCCATGTGGTCCCAGAAAGATGATCCATCGGAACTGTAACTGCCCTAGGTTGCGACCATGTTGCACTCCAAAGATAAACGACACCCTGCGATTTTGATTGTTCTCCGGCAGTGCTGTCGGGAGTGCACTGGATCATCAAAAGGTCTGGTATAGTAGGATGCCAACTAATAGACTTGATAGGGTTCATTTGGACCAAAACTGCATATGGTCTAAGTAATTTTAGGGACCAGATCCAAACTGTTGTTGGCATACTGTCATTTCGGGTTGCAATAAGATTCCCATCAGGCTTATTAAAAGCAATTGTAGAGATGCCATTCTTAGGCTGAGTGTCTCCTGGGTTAGGTGTAATCATTGGCAGCGTCGTGGGTTGTTGAACTTGGGCGTAATGACGTTCCTTTGGAGACTTGATACATTCAGACCATACAGTTACTCCTGGGAGTCGGATAGTTCTCGTATGATTCATCTCAATTACCTATTTACCCCACACATGTTAGCCCAATTGCAAATTTTCCCAAACGGAATTTCCCGAGCGATTATGTACCGGAGAAAAAGTATAGTTGCTCAAGAATGCCAATCGTCCATCATAACTTCCAATCGTCAAAAAATCCCCGCCTGGACTCCACTCCACGCTCTTGACGCCCAAACCCTCACATGGCTTCTCATAGGTCCTGTAAAGATGTCCGTCCGCAGTGTATACCAAAACCTTATATCCAGAAGCGGCAGAGTCCCATACCGCAATCCAACGCCCACATGGAGACCATTTTAGGCCTTGGGCATCCAAGGTAGGAAGCTGAAAGCTTGACGCCAGTTTATAGGTAGTGTGTTGATGAACACTGATAACGTCGTGTGTTGCCGAGCGCGTAAGCAGGGCATAGTGAGAGGTGCAGGGGCGATAGCCATAACCTAATGTTATACTTGGTTAATATCGAGGGGCGTAGGATGGATGTCGTAAACGACTGTACTCACCCTTTGTCGGAAACTTTGGGTTAAGAATCTCGATTTGTTTTGATGTATTCAGATTCCACACAGTTACCTTGAGCTTTTCCTTGCAATGCATGTTAGTTTAAGGTCACTTTGGTGAGAAAGCCATCAAATACCCCCCATGCCCGATAAGTCTTACCTGAAATTCTGAAAATACAACCACTTCGTCCGCATTTCTGCCAAACTCGACATTCTTAATTCCCCCGAATCCTTGGTTGATACAAACGGTCCATTTCTCATCGTCGACATCGTATACATGTATTGATTGCTCGTCTGCTACCAGAATTCTTTGCCGTCCTCCACCTTCTGACTCTGACTTATCAATCCCGCTTCTTCTTTTCCCTATCAATGGAATACCATGCCATGCTGGCGATGAGAAGGATCCGTCCAAGTAGGGAGACCATCTGACAAAGTTTATTCGTGATGCAAACTCGGGATTTAGATTTATTACCCGCTTTACCTGGAGAGTGGTTGTTGATCGAAGAATGAGTTTGGGGTGAACGATCGATGCTATTAAAGAACCATTTGGCGCAGGTTGGGCGCCATTAAAACCTTCAGTTCACCCAACGTATTAGCAGGCAATTTCATCAAGAACCAAATGAGGGGCAAACATCGGATGAAGGATATAAGGAAAAGGATGCCTACCACGAAACACTGTCGAAAACTCCATACTTTGCTCGTTCAGAGCAGATGTTCTTTCTTCCTGAGTTGTCTGTGGTTTTGTTGTGTTGCTTGTAGGGTGTGTGGGTGTGCAAAGAGAGGAAGGGGTCAGAGTAGACTGACTCCCACTGCTGGGTGTCTGGCCGACGACGAAACGTGGTCACGCTTGCCTTGACTGCTAACTGTATCCTAAAAGCGAAATGATATGTGGTAGATTGACGTAGGTACCAGTCGATGGATCAGTGGCCTTTTTTCTCTCTCTCTTGGTATTTGCAGCGCAAACGGGGAGTGACCCTGAACAATCTTGGGCGTATTGAGGAGAAAACTGAAGTCGCAAAAGGCCCGGCAAGGGCAAGAGTAGAACGGACAGAGACGGGGAGGGAAACCGATCAAAAGACAAAACACCGATTCCAAGAAGGAGACGGAGAGAGAGGGGGAGCGGTGGTAGATGGTGGAGGGCGAGATAATTGGGATTGGGGGCCAATGGGGGGGAGGGGGGAGGGGGGGACCGGCAGTAGTGACTCTACGCTAGGAGGTGTCTGTGTTTGCCTACTGCCTGTTTTTTTTGTTTTTTTTATCCTAGCCTTTTCTCTTGGTCTGGCTTGTAATTCACTTTTTTTTCCCTCCCTTCTTGTGTGTGAATATTATCGACGCTATGCTATTTTACTCTTTAGTAGCGTCGAGCACTGTGGGTGTGGTTGGTGGGTGTAGTGGAGCTGGCAGGAGGAGGAAGGCGTAAGGGAGAAGCGGATGAGAAGGTATTGGAAGTGATTGACGATTGACGGTCACAGCAGGTAGAAGACTGGTAGGTTAGGTAGCAGGAGTAACAATAGGTACTCTGGCGCAGTGGTATGGGTAGACAGATAGAATCCCTAATATGGGAACGGTGGGTCAAACACAGCCAGCCGCAGCAATCAAGAGTATGAAGAAGCCTGTTGTAGCAAGGTTGGCGCGTCCCGAGATACACGGGGGGACAGTTGACGATGAACGGACAAAGACACACTCATTCCTCGAAAAATAATTATGGCTGTAAGGGTTGGGCGGGCCAGATGGCTTTGCTTTACTTGGGGAGGAGCAGGAGGTGGTGGGTGGAAAGGTCTGGTGAGTATGGAATGGATCTTGCCAGTAGACAACGGCTGGTATGGATCTGCTATGGTGACGAAAGATGAAGGCAGGGGTTGGTTACTCTGAGTTGAGTTGAGTCTCTACATGTAGGTCTTGAGGCCTTCTAGGTACATTGTATCTAGAGCACCTTACCCACCTGTGTCCCTACATACATGCTCCTAGCTCACTCCCGGGAGGTAGGCCATGCGCTTGCTTCCCTGGTCCGCTGTTGTGTCGATGTCTCACGCTTCTGTTCAGACTTCCCCAACGCAATTTCGCAGTTTCAGCCGAAGCAGATAACGTCACTCCCGTCAAGGGTCCACTCACACTTCCAGCCACGCATCGGAAGCACCCCTATACCAGCGGCTCTTATGCTCTCCTCACATTTGCCAAGAAATATCGATCCACGCAACCCTTCCACGAAAACAAGAAGTCCTAACACCAGCCGGTCCGTTCTCAGCTATTTCAGGTTGAAAAATCACCTGTTACCAAACACATTTCCACACCCCCATCCTACACCTCATTCTCGATATACTCTACTGTAGCGCCGGGTTAAGGTAATCTTGTTTTATGAACTCTTGAATTGAAAGAAAAAAGAAAAAATGGACGCGTAGGTACGGTACAGCGTTCGCGATTATCATAAACATCAAGGAAAAACTCACATTCCGTTCGTTCGCCATCGATTCGCATGTCTAATCCAATATCTTCCCTCTAAAAAAAATACATTTTGACCATATTCGGCTGAGCAAAGAAATGTCGACTTGATCTCCAGGATCATCAATCACTCTCTCTCACGAAAAGCCGGTCCTTTACTCAGCCATACGAGACTCAATGGGGGCCGTTCTCGTGATCAGAGGCAGCCTCAACAAATTTGCGAACAGGAACAGTACAACAACCAACGAGAAAGAGAAGGCGGAGATGTGAGATGGATGATACGAATAAACGACTGGCGAATACAGGTTTCATCAGCCTCGAGACAAGTATATCATGTGTACCTACTGGTAAGTACTCTACTCTCTGTTTTGTACCAACCCCACTGCCACACTTAGTCCCCTCAACTTCGCGGTTGTCATCCAATAGACCCCCCCCTAGGCCCTGGTCACTCTTCTCCCCCACAAATGAATCCTCCAAGGCAACCGTTGCTTGGTAACTCTGCACAGACGTCATCGCCACGACCTCATGCACGACAATACCCTTCCTTCTACCATCCCTCCCTCCTCTTGTCCAAGGCCGACGGCTTCACGGAATCCGATCAATTTTTTCTTATTCATCGCTCCAATCCCCGCCCAGAACAGCCACCCCGTCCCTAACTTATGAGTTCCTCACCGACAGTTCTTTTCTTCCGGATATCTACCGGCTTGGCGGAATTCGGGACTGAGGCTTTGGCTTTCAAAGGCCGATGATCGTCACTACAAGAGGCGTTTAATAATACAGCACATAATAATAACAATAATAATAATGAAAATAATACATTGGCTCCCAAATCTCCTCTTTCTGTAACAATTATCGCCAACAGAACCAAAATGATTTTTAAAAAAACTTTCCTCCGCCCTATGCACGTACGGCACCGATCTTCATTGCCTCGACTGTAACCTGGAAAAGATCCTCTCCCTTGCGATTAGACATGACCTCACTGTCCTCATTTTAAGGATTTTGCGACCTAGGTCATCCCGTTTGCTATTTGTAGAGTAGCGATGCATGGTCCTCACAGGAGGGATCCTACAGAACATCCACCCCTCTCCGCGGCTGGTGCGCTGAAAAGAACCCCGCTTTAAATACTGATAAACAGCGCGCGCGGTTGGGATCGTTCGTCCATCCATCCATCCATCAAAGGCTACAGCAATCGGTGGACAAGGCGTATGTGGGGTTTATCAGTTAACCACCTACAGACACTCGCTATCTCTACACTGTCTGGACAAAATATCGCAATATTCCTTGCCAGTTGCACGTTACTCGCGGCTATCGTGTAACTGCTGCCGTTCAACATCTCGATAAACTAGGAGAGGAAAAAGCGGATGGCCTAAACCATCACTTAAAGAAGTTTCCTTGGACCCTTTTGTTTTTTCCACGTGCGCTAGCACCAGTAGAAAAATTCAAAATTAAAAGTGGAGAGAGTGTGCCAAGAAGAGTAAAGAGAGAAAGAGAAAGACCCTGAACAAAACCGTGCTCAAATTGGTCGGGATTTTCGAGGAAACTGCCGCGGATTCTGAATAGTGTGCTCACCGTGCATGAGATTCGATATTGCATGACCCTTCCATCTCTTCACTGTCCCCTATGTGGAGGTTCAACAACACCTCAACAACAAAAAAAAAAAAAAAAAAAAAAAAAAAAAAAAAAGAGCATGCCCTAGGAGTTCTGTCCGTGTGTGTCGCGTGCATCCAATCATCCATCACATTTGGTGTAGGGAAACGACATTTGTTGTAGGGAAACGAAATTGTGCGCGATCTCCTTGACGTCAACGGCGGAAACTAAGGAAAATAAAGAAAAAGGAACATGAGAACAACAATCAAAAAACAAAAGGGACTACCTACACAGATAAGTTTCTCTGATTCAAAACGTTTCTACAGGAGAGAGATCTTTGGTTGTCGGACAAATGAGGCTAAGCATACAAAACCAGGCGACCGCACAAGGCTCACCCCTGCTACTCTATGTCGGCCGATAGGACACGAGCGCGAGCTCCAAAAAAAAATAAAAAGTGGCACCACTTTTTCCCTTGACGGTGGAGACCGGGATTAAGCGAAGCTCAATTGGACCATGAATGCCTCTAAACAGGATGACCAGAAGAATTGCCTCTTGTTGATTCGACGAAAACAAGATTATCACGAGTCACAAAAGAGGGGAATAATAAACAGACAGCGAAAATCATACCCGCTGGAGGAAGGCCGCTCGCCATACCTGAGGGTCCGGAGCCAACAACTTCCTGAATTTTTCGATCAAGAGAACTAACATACCTCGAGTCTCGGGGTTTTAAGCTCACTTGTGGCTTCGCAGCCTGGGGAATATGAAACCAAACAAATGCTTGAAACGCTGAGATCTTGCTTATGGGCTGTTATAAACCCTTCAGATGAGAAACGTGTGTCGGTATGTGCAGCAGCCGAAGGTGGGCGATTGAAACAGGTCGAACCATAGTCCAGACAAAAAGTCACATTGATATTAAGTCAACAAATGGGAATAAGTCAACAAATTGGAATGCCTATGCATCTATCACCACTCCTAGCCTATCAGCACATGGGATTCTAATAATGTGTGACTGCTGTCAGGCCCTTTTACTGGTGCAACCCGCGTCGAGACAAGCTCCCAAACCTTCAACTTGATATGTATCACTAAACAACTCTTTCCTATGATATGGTGCTGTACCTACTTTTTAGTCAAGGGAAGAACAAATTCTCCAGGCGCTTCCTGAGATGGCTGCACCTTGTGACTGGCATCACTGCGACTCTCCCGTGAGCTCACATATGCGCCCTCTTCTTAAACGTCGGCAACAGAAGTTAATCCCTTCCAGTGGACTGGGAAATTTGCACCATCAGTCACTCCGCGACAGCAAGCGTCTAGAAATGCTGATCCCAATTCCCAAGGGCCATTTGTATCCATTTATAGCGAAGCATCAGACGATGTTATATGAATTTCGCAATTGACGAGGGCAGACACCCGACCTAATAACACAAGCTCACACGTCTGTGTAGAGTAGGCTGAAATTGGTGTTTGCCATTGTCTTTGATAACACATATCGGCCCTCAGAATGCGAAATGAGAGCTCGTAATCTACATCTTACAAATCAGGGACGCAATTGTGCAATAAAGTTTTGAGTGTCTAGAAACTCCCTGCTCACCCACTCGTTTCAGTCAATCAATGATGACATTCCAATCATCACGCTCCGCACATGTGGAAGTGCAGTATTTTATCTTAACTCGTTAGCTGGCGATTTCAACGACGGAAATGATCATTGGCTGTGGCTAAATTTCAGTAGAGATTTATTCCCTCATTTTATAGAATCTGCCCAAATACGGCACTGTTATTTATGCAAGGGCGTACTTGAGGAAATTCTAATCAGCACTTCATATCACCACCACCACGTCCCAGGAACGCCCAACTTATTGGACCGTACCAAAATCAATCGAATCTTCCATTGCCGCCGCTCCGAGAACGGGAAGCACGGCCGTGGTGACGATCCGGAGGCAGCAGCAGCAATTGTTTTAATGCGCCCGAGATTGTGGGGCACAAGGCATGGGGAGCCAGAAAAAAAAAGGAAACCCGATTTCGTGATAGAGTGACTGGGTAGAAGAAGCATCAAAGGCTCGTGAAACTCCCCCCGCGCGGGGGTCCACGGCAAATTGTTATCTGGTCGCACAAGTCAACACAGGGTACATAGAGGTTGGGATACACTACATGATGTTCTATGCATGGGTGGATAACTTATCACAAAACACTCCTTCCTCTCCCCATGCCAATGATCTGCCTTCATGCATGATGCGGTCATCCAATAATTGTCTCTTGGGGATCTCCCTCTCGTTTATCCACTCACCCCTGTGGGGTCTGTGGTTCGAAATCTAGACCAAGGAATACGTTACATCTGTACTTTCGAGCACCAGTACCTACACAGGCGCGTGTGTACATGCACTCTCGTGTGTACCTACTCAGGCCAGACAACCGTGTGTGAAAAATGGGCGGCCTGGACTCTTCATCTTCCTAAGCACATACCTGCACCCTCTCCAACTACCCGCAAGCACCGCTTATTCTGGTCTATGGGCGGATCACCCTGCAAAAACGATCCCGCTTCGTGGGATCCATAAACGCCAAACCGGCTGTGGCGCTAATAACGCAGGTCAAACGCTTAAATCTCAAGCGGACTGACGGCTTTAATGACGACGATGTCCCAAGGCCCAAGTGTCTTCTTTTCCTTTCTTTTCTTTTTCCTCCCCTGAAAAGAAAGAAAGAAAAACAGATCCTTGCATAGGGTTGAGTACAATGCTTGGCGGATAGCTAAGCGATGCCTAGCCTCAGGGAGAAGAGCAGCACCACATCCTCCGGTCAAATCAAACATCAAGAGTCCGTCCGTCCCTAGTGTACCTACTCTACATAAGAGTTAACAAGCCGGCCATACAGACCCACTCGTAAATTCATGACGTTTCTGAACACGACTGCTACTGCATAACATACAAAAAAGCGCTAAATCCACCTTTTTGTATATCATGCAATATTGGTCGTGTTCGGAAACGCTATGAAATTACGAGTAGAGCTCCTGTCCTCGCACTTCGCGGGGGTTCCCTTGCCCAGATCTCAACGGTAAAGATGTGCTCGTACCAACCATCGGCCCAGGTCAATGACACGGAGACACGGAGATGTTCATTCAAATGGATAACTCGGTCGTATATTCCATGTTTGATATGGCTCAAAATACAAATACTATATGTCGTGATCTGATACATAACTCAATCTTGGAAAAAGATATTCAGGAACAGATTGGTTAAAAAAAGTTTCACAAGATATCAAATTCACCAACGCACAGGACAAATGGTTGATTATTCATAGATGGGTCGCGTGCGGAACCAAAAGGGAACGGGAAAACAACTCAACTACATGCACTAAATGCTAACCCGCGAAGTTTGGTCCTGGTATGCCAAATTTCGGCCATCCTGCCCGCCTTCCATGGATGCTTCGACGCTTGTGCGCGTGGCAGGTCAGAACTCTTCTAACTTCTCTGGTAAGTGGTGTACCTACATATTAATCCTCTGGCGTGAAAATCGGTATTTTTTGCCCAAAACTGACGAGAGTCTTCTCACGGACATCCGTTTCACATCGACGATTGGAAGGGTAATTCACTAATTGGAAAAGTCGACCGGACTCCTCATTCTCATTCTCCACAGTTTTCGGAATAAACACCCTAGTACCGTTATGTAATTGTTCATAAAAGTTGTCACTGCGTAGGGCACCACAGCATCCTGACCCAAATAATCTTTCGCCAATGACACTTTCAATGTTACACATACTTGACATACATAGTGCAGCTTGAGGAGCAAACGGTTACCATGGTACCCGCATCAAATACCCTGGGCAAAAAAAAAATTGCACCTCACAAGTTCATGGGACGTGTCAGACTGTCAATCAATTGCGTGACCTTAATCACGGAAAAACTTTTGTTCAAAAGCAACCCTACCCATCCAGGTGATGCTGTAGCCTGTACCCCTCATCACACAACTGGGATTCAACCTTAGTGAACCTAACTACATATTTAACTGGAGGGCTGCACGAGGGGGGACTACTGCTTGGCGAGTTTGGAGATTTCCCTACTTCCTAACGGCCGGTCCTATAATTTTGATAGTTTGGCGAACTACAAGTGCTTTTTATTTTTTTGTTTTGATAGCTTTAATAACACGAAATATGCGAGTACTCTACGAGCTCTACGGTTTGCATTGCGTAGCCATACCTACTTGGTATGTATGTACATACTCTACGTACCGGTACATGGAAGCGTTCAATCTACTCTACACGCTCTAGAGTTATCCCAAGATCCCTTACTCTGGAATTCACCCACGTGGCTACACAAAGCAGCACTGTAGGTACATATAATGTGTGCTATAAGAAGAAAGAAAGTTTTGATTTCAAATAGAGCCGCATGGACACTCTATAATTTGTTTTAGGGGCCAATGACCAACATAGGTGCCAAGGGAAGTTGGCAAAAACGCGTCAGAAAAGAAAAAAAGAACTCAGAAGACGTTGATCATGATGATTTTTTACTGCGATTACCCCACCTAATGCGCGACTTTTGTGGCCGTCTATTGTGCATACCGATACCGGCCACCGTGCTTGTGATGAGATCGACGACACACTGCGACTTCGACGCTTAGGATCATATGATGAGACAGTCCGTCTGAAATATGTACCGGGCGTTGAGGGTAAATACGAAGAATCTGATAAGAGAATCTTGCTGTGAAATAGGTGTGTTTATCTTATCAGATTCTCCGTATTTATGGTTAACCCCAGTACTCTCTGCCTACATAGGACTATCTACCGTATAGTAGGGAAGTGGAAATGTCCGTAGGCGCGGCGGAGAAGAGACGTACAGTAGTTAGGTAAGGCAGGTAAAGTAGCTGGTATGTAAGGTTCGCTGTCTAACTAACTACGCCGTTGCAGGAAGGTCGGAGTGAGGGTTTTCTGATAATGCAGCCGCAACCCACAGGCAAGTCCTTGCCCCTCATGCAGGGCATATATAACTGCATACATAGTGTAGCATGAGGTAGGGCACCTAGATTCTCTACTCGAATGCTTTACTTGCTACTCGTAGTTTTTTGACGTTTCCGGACGCGACCACTATTGCATGCCATACAAAAGATAGCCTTGGCGGGTTTTTTCTGTGTATGCAATAGCAGTTGCGTCCGGAAACGCTGTGAAATTGCGAGTACACATACCCTCTGCAGAAAACCTTGTCGGGCTCTGTCGGAGCTCACAAACTGCAAACTGCAGCCACTACAATGTACGTTGCGCGCGTTCTGGTTGGACGCGACAAGAGATCCACGATCGAAACCCGAGTGCAGTTCAGTTATATATTTTTAATTCGCTCTGCTTCCTCTAAACTCTAGTGCGCGCTCGCCGCGAGTCATAGTTGTACCTGATACCTACGAATGATTTTGTTGCACTTCTTACCTTGAGGTGGAGGAGTTAGGAGGCGCACCAGCCCGCCAATCGCGGCTTTTCGGCCCTGCATAACTTCCTAGGGCTTAGCTGGACAGGACGTTGCAACCCACTTTCCTGTATCAACGAACGACGACGGCGAACATGATCTGGGAAACAAGCTTGCTCACTCACTCACGACCGGAAATATTGCTCCACTGTGGCGTCTGGGGGATCCCTGGTAACGTGCGTATGGCGGACCTTGAGTGCGCGCGCACGCCAGAGTATCACGAGGCGGAGCCCTGGGAAACCGGAAGAGACAGAGTTAATAAAGAAAACTCGACTCCACAAATCTCCCAAAAATGGGTGCGCGTGCTGGTGAGCCCCTACGTAGGTGGACAGATAGAAAGCAAGATACTCGACCCGCCACTTCCAGATTAGAGTCATTTACAGCTACATGTAGTTACCCACCAGGTATTCTAGCTACGCAGGTATAATATACATAGCCGGATGGGATCAAATCGTGTAGAACCATATCACCAGATTTGGCTCATTGGAGATTTTTGGCCGTACCGGGTTTGAAAACCTTGAACTCTTTATCCTTAAGTTTTCAAATCTTGAGCAGTTGTAGCCCAGGCTCACATTCAACCGCGCTGGCACACTGGCACATACATACATACTCCGGGTTATGCAGGCCGATCAGACATCTGAGGGCAGCACCTGCACCGCATGGCCGGCCATGCGGGATCGTAAAGCTAGATCGGTGGTGGCGTCTGGTTTCCCGGATATCTGCTTCCTGAGGTTCTGCATGATCCTTCTTCTTACAGGAGAGCGGAACCATCTAGACATCATAAACCTATTTTCCCCAGACCCCCTTATGCAATCGCTACGTGCGTTTTGGAACACGTCACTTTTCGAAATGATTGCAGGTACCCTAGGTACTCTACCTAACTTGCCTAGCTATGGTTAATAAAACGGACCCACCTTGACTTGGGCAGTCTTGTATCAGGAAGCATCGATTGCGTTAAAAATACGCGGCGGGAGGCATCATCTAGATATATTATTATCCAGAGACGAAACTCTGATCGTACAAGAAGCCGAGACAATTAAACTGTGAACCATATCGGAGACAGGAGGGATAGATACTTAGGGGCGGTCAGCCTTTTCTTTCCTTACGTCCGAACACGAAACGTTCGTCAGTAATCCACGGTTCGCGGCTTGCATGGCCGAGTGATTTTCTATGAATCAGCCCGCGCATAGATTCTCAATCAGCCACAACAAATTCTCCGAGCTATCATGAGACTGGGCTTACAAACACTTCAATACCTACTCGGGTTCGATTTATTCCAGCCAAATTAAGTTATTCGGCAGTCAAGAATACAAAGGGACGTGGCCTGACTATGAAAAGAGAGCCGCGTCTCTCCGACCCTCCCTGATTTTTTTTTAAAAAAAAACAATTTCGAGCCTTAAGGGTCCCTAAAAAGCGGCTATTTCGACGATCTCTAGATCGGTCGATTTAGCTGTATACAGCCTTGGTAATATATGTTTGATAGGTCGTAGGCTATGTTATAGACACGGGAATGTCCGCATCCCAAACTGTGCGCATGTCGGTTTATTGGAACACGGCACACGTGATATATGGTGCTCCCAACGGTATAAGTTTGTTTCTCTGTGTGCGAATTTGGGCTCTAGTTTGATATTTACATTACACACTTGCTAATTCTCTGCAGTGCATGTCAAGACAAAACAACACAGACTGTTAAGACTACGCATATTATCGTTTCAGGCCGCAAGATGCATACGGCTCAGAAGCTTTGGTATTAGCCAAATGAAACGAACCACAGTGCTTTATGGAATTTCCGGGGTGCATAGGAGCTGAGTGGATGATCAGCAGGTAAAGTAGCTATTCTGTAGCTAGCTTCATATATAGCTTCAATCTTTGAGTATTCCGAGTAAGTAAGCTAGGCCAAGTTTCCTTACTTGAGGCCTTTTTTCCTTTATCACCTTACTCAACAGATAAGCCTAATGCAGTTCATTACTTCCTGTAGGTCGCTGTATATCGGAATTGTGAGATTACTCCCTAGGCGGGCTAAGAAATACCGGCAACAAAAACAAGCTCTGGTGGGCAAAATAGCTAGCTCACTCAGCTGCCCGCCCCCTCACCACTTATCACCCCCACTTTGGATATATACCCCCCTCCACGCCCCGGGAACAGAAACGATACAAGACAAAAGCACCGGCCACAAGTATCTCCTAATGATTAGAAAAGGAGGGCGTGCTGGCTATATATGCACGTGCCGAGACACAGAATGCGCGCAAGGCCGGTGTTACGGCTCTCTCCCCGTCGGTCATCGACGGTACCTGAAGATCTGTTTACCAATTAATGGACCACATGGCTAGTAAGAGCTTAGTAGGATATATTCATAACTGTTTGAATGCCGGCCAGCTGTCATCCCAAATCTTGGGAAGCGAGACTCACGCCATAATTGCAAAAGTGGGATATCCCAGTTTTTATGCTGCATAATGATAATATAGTATGTTCTAGTTAGTTAGTCCCACCCTCATTTCTTTAATCCTGAGAAAAGCTCACACAACTAGTCGAAATTTCTAGATGGGTATATGAAAAAAGTGCAGTTAGCTGCATGGGGCAGTTGGGTTTAATATCAATTCCAGTTAGCCACATACCTACATGTACTTACGTATATTACTAACTCGACAATGGGAGCTGTATGTAGTAATCATTTCGTTCTGCGCCGGGACATTCCAGTCATGAGACTTTCTTGTGATAATCCCGATCACGGAGCCCAGTACAGTACGTACGGCGTCTAGGTACTGTCTGGATATTGTATGGACGCCTGCAATAATTAATAGTGATGTCAGCTCACGGACGGCTCATGGAGGTGAGAAAAACTCGTGTGCAAGCTGGTCCGCATCTCGCGTGTGTGCAACCATATTGTGCCGTCGCATCAAATCACCCCGTCCCACGTAACGTAGCATCATTCACATCATCGTGATTATCATCATCATCATCATCATCATCATCATCATCATCATCATCACCATCGCCGTGAACATCAAAGGCAGGAGCCGAGGTGGAAAGAAGAAAATTTCCATGAGATAGATGGAGATATATTATTATTGAACCCGATATTTTTTCTGGTTCCATATATCCTTCTTATTCATCTAACCGGTACCACCCATCTGCGTCCTGGTGGTTTGATTAGCGCTGGTGCTGATTAGGTGGGTAATTCAGTCGAGTCTACCAATTAATCCACCGGTGGTACCAAGATGTTGGGCCTCATATCCGCTTTAGCAAATCAGAGACAAGACACACACTCAGACATATATAAGCTCGGGCGGGATATTCAACCTCAATTGCCGGAGACGGAGATCGAAGTCATGGGTACCGTGGGGAAAGGGAGGGGGAGAGACCTGGAAGTCGTCGCGACACATGGGGCCGGACCTAGATGTTTTGAAGGAGGATCCCGCGCAATGGCTGACCTTTAGCGCTCGCTGGGTCTTACCGGGCTGGAGCCGGCGGTAAAAAAGCCAACAGGTTCCTGTTGTGTCTTCAATGCACTTGTTGTTGCTGTTGTATATATATTGGTCCCTTTATATTGCGGGAGGGAGGGCGTTTGCCTGTGGGGTGTCTAGGGGGGAAAGCTCTGGTGCGCCAGATTGACGTTAAAATGCGGGAAACGGTTTTTGGGGAGCGGAATGGGTTGTAAACCATGGTTCGTTGTTTTCTATCAAAAATCAAAATCAAAATCAAAAAAGAAAAGAAAAAAAACTATGTTTTCCCGGCAGAATCATTCAGATAACCAACGGACCCCCCACGGAAACTCGAGCTGCGGTATCTCAATATAGACCGGTAACTTGTGTACCATATCGAGACAGGGGGCGCAACACTAGAGGAAGAGAAAGAAACATCAACCTAGTTGATTCCTTACCTCATGTTCAACGGACACCGTTTCAGCCATATTGATATGGGTAAATATACTATGGTACCACTGGGAGTACATCATCACTGTACTAGCTAGGGGCCATGATACCCGTGCGTCCCTTAGAAATTGGCCCCAATGACCGCTACATTGCAGATCGACGTCACGAATCCATTTTCCCTCCCTTCTACATACATGTAGATACATGTACTAGCTCCCGCACCGGTAATGTCTGCCAATATATATCGTTTCTCCCAGCTTACTAACTGTGCCAACCAAACAGACACTAAATAAAAAAAATATCATTGGCTCCATTCCATTTGCAACCCCGAACACCGACCTCTTGGGGTCGGCAACCCACCCATTGCATGCTGAACACCCTCCTCTCCAGCATCCACACATCACTTCCGAGGCCTAGGTTCAATAGAGATAAGACATCTACCCGCTTAAGCATACACAGCTCCCCTCAGGAGAAATTCTCCCCCCATATTTATATAACATACATGTAATGATATATACACAGGCGATCCCCACCCTCCCCAGACTTGAGTAATATATGGGTTGATCAGGGTTTCGACCACCCCCACAAAGATACCCGTAGATACCCTCTAGGGTACTTTCAAGATGATACTTCCTACAGCACACTACCGCCATATATCTTCTCGCGCATGCTGTAGTCACGAAATCTGACTCGGAATTGTAGAGAGAGAAAGGTTACGGAAACCCTAACCCTGTATTTTCGGGGGTTTGAATGGGAGTTTCTTTGCGTGAAATTGCGCACCGTATGGGGTGTAGATTGGTGGGAGGGGAGAGAGGCTGCAAAACCTAACTATCATATACCTGATTTTAATTTGGGTTGGGTATCATTATGAAGATTGTATAATATACCTACCTAGATCCAGGCTTGTCAGATCTAGATCATCTGGTTTGCTTTATAATTTAGAATCTGGCTGATGTGGATATCCGGATCGAACGCGCAAAGAGCATAGGGATTTGGGATACTGTATCGGAATTGGTTCTTCGAAAGCATTTTGATATATCAGCTAGCTACAGTATAGTGGGAATGCATACCGACCTTCAGTGAAAACAGCTTTAAGAGTAGCAAAATCACTGACTAATACTCCCATCAATATCGATTATATAGCTGTGTAGGAAGGATCCGTATAATAAAGACTGGCATGCTCATGCATACCTCTTTATAGCTATAAAATAAGTACCTTTACGTTACGAGTAGCTAGATCTAGAGAGTACGATATATACCCATGGCCACAGAAAGGTTTGATCCCAGCACTCGGTCTTACCACTTGTCCTCTCCCACATAAATACGTGTTCCCTCAAGACTAACCTCATGTCTCGTGGACTACATTACATGCAAATACCAAACCAATCAGCTACACAGAACGAACAACACCACTCTGGGTTGAATAAATCCATGCAATATCGTCATAGCTGTAAGGCTGCATACGATTAATGAGTTGAACAAAACAAAACAAAGCAAAAAACACCACATGCACACCCGATGAATTATCAATCAATCAATCAACACCTGATTCATGTATTATCACTCGCAATCGTACTGGGAGCTATCTGCCATTGGCCCGGTTGCAGTTAGCCACCAATCTCTTGAGCGACTTAGACTTCGAGAGGGGGCGGGGCGGAAGGGTAGAAGATAGACAGGAAAGTGTGAGCTATACAACCGTTGGATTCTCCGCTCCCATTCGTACTAGAGTATCATGAGGTTGATGTTAATTGTGTCTCGAAGTAGGACCTCATAGTGAATAGCGGGAACATTCTTCCCGGGCCCTACTATTCATAGGACAGCCTCGATGCATACAAGGATACCAACTGGAACTTACCAGTGAGCTGTTTGCCGCGAGCACGTACTACTCAGTCCCGCCAACCCGGCTGTAACAATGGGATTACGGAGGTTAAGCTCTCCATGGGCCTGGCCTGGTCTGACCGGACCGGTATGGTCGTACATAAACTGGTAACGTACCCAAACCAGAACCCGACCGGGCATTCGAGAAATTGACTCGAGCAGAAGCCGATTGATGGGCTGTGGTTGCGATTATGGAGCATACGAGGAAGCTGCGCTGGGCAGAAAGATATTCGTGGTACCGGCATTCATAGCTAAGGCTGGGCGCACTGGCTAATTACAAGTTCACAGAATCACCGAAACCCCCAAAAGTGCAGCAGTAGGTATCTTATTTACAATATCTATCTACCATATCTACTACTACTTTCCCCCGCAATCACCACCCATCACTCGTCCATACATCTACTCCGCCACCCTTCCCTCCTTCTCCAACTCCCTAAACACCGCTCCGCCCGCCATCTCCCTCACAACGTCCCAGAACTCTCTCTCATTCACCCTCCCCTCCCCGCCGCCACCCACCATCCCCCTCTCCATCAACTCCGCCACCAAGTTCTTTGCCTCAAGCAGCAACTCCTTCCTCTCCATCGCCCGCAGAAAACTCATATAGGCCAGCAGCCCCAGTACCACATGCCGGTCCCTGATCCTCCCCAACCAAAGCTGCATCTTCCGCGCCTCCCGCGCATTCGCAAACCCCAGCACAATCTCGCGATACACCCTCGCATCCGCGGGCACCCTCTTCGCCTCCATCTCGGCAATCACACGCTCCGCCGACACGACATCCCCGCGCGTAAAATAGTGCTGCAGCAGCACCGTGTACGTCGTGCTGTTGCCGACGATGCCGCGGTCCTCCATGATGCCGAGGATGCCCATCGCCGCGGGCTCGTTGCCCTCCTTGAGGAGCGCGTGCAGGATGGTGGTAAAGGTGACGATGTTGATGATGATGCCGGCATCCTCGACGTACTGCAGGATGCCGAGGACGGCCTCGAGCTTGGGCGCGGGCGTGGCGTATTTGTACATGCCGTCGAGGATGAGGGTGACGGTTGTGATGTCGGGGACGATGCCGGAGGCCTGCATCTCGCGCGTGAGGGCGAGGATGGTGTTGAAGGTTCTGGTGTCGGTCTTTTGGCGTTTCATGAGCGTCTTGAGGATGGTGTTGTAGGTGACGAGGTCCTTCTCGATGCCGAGGCGGCTGGCAGTGTCCATGACGGCCATGGCCTCGTTGATGTAGCTGTGCTTGAGGAGGCCGTCGAGGGTAGCGTTTATGGTCGCTGTGGTGGGGGTTGTTCCGGAGGCCTGCATCTCGCGGAGGGCCGCGAGGCCCGCGGCGATCTTCTTGTTCTCCAGGAGGGCGTGGATGCGGGTTGTCCAGCAGTGGTGGTCGGGCTTGCAGCCCGAGCGGAGCATCATCTGCCATACGGGCTCGATGGGGAGCTTGTCCTGGCTGCGGGAGTAGGCGCGGAGCAGCTCGTTCCACTGCACGACGGTGGGGATGATGGCCGCGCGCGTCATGTCGGCCCAGCAGGTGATTGCCTCGGTGTTGCGGCCGAGCTCGAAGAAGGCGGTCATGAAGCGGGTGTAGACGTCGGGGGTGCGGGGGCTGGTGGAGACCATGCGCGTGTACAGTTCCTGCAGGGCCTCGGGCGACTTGGCCTGCGAGATCTCGAGCGAGAGCGTGTAGTAGTTTGTGAAGAGCGTGTCGGAGGCGTACTTTTCGAGCAGGCCCATGATGCGGGTTGTGTCCTCGGGGCTGAACTTGTGGTACTCCAGGAAGCGCTGGGCGTAGTGCGGCGACGGGTACGGTGAGTGGCGGATCACACGGTTGTAGCGCACCGTGGACTCCTCCATGACGCGGAGGCCGCAGGTGAGCACGAGATATGCGAAGAAGTACGGCGAGGCCATGTCTATCTTGGCCGAGTCTGGCTCCATCGTCTCAAGAACCGTGCCGTGCATGTCGTTCCTCAAGACGCTGAAGCCCACCGCGCGGTCAAACACGGGCAGGATCTCGTCCTTGCTGTTGTGGCGGCGGATGGTCTCTATGAGCAGCATGGAGTAGTACTCGGTCTTGCAGACGCCCATCTTCTCCATGCGCTCCAGCAGGCGGAGCGGGTGCGGGATGCCCTCGCCCCTCCAGTCGGCGGCCAGCAGCGCAGCCACAAGCTGCTCGAGCGCCGCCTGCAGCGCCGTGTCGGGCACATAGTCGCCCATGGACGTCTCTGGCTGCGCATAGGCCATCTTGATCTCCTCGGCCGACAGCATGGCAATGTCGATGCCCATAAAGTGGTCGCAGGCCGCGGCGAGGCTGCCGGCCTCCAGGTGCCCCTTCAGCGTGATGATGTCGGCGGGGGGGAGCTTGAACAGCGGCTCCACGACGGGCACCGAGGCGCCGATCGTGGCCAGGATGTCGTCGTCGACGGGCTGGCGGGTGATGTTTACGGCGGAGAGCGGCCGCGGGGTGGTGTGCAGGGGCGCGCGGCGGGGGAGCCGTAGCACGGCGGGGGGGGCGGCGGCGCGGCGGGAGCGAAGAGTGCTCCGGAGACAGGAGATGCAGACATTCTGGAGGGGGCGTTAGCAATTGGATGGTGTGGGCGGGGGAGGGATAGGCGGACAGACAGACCCTGAGTGCTGCAGACATCGTGGCGGGCGGCTGTCTGTCTGGGAGGGGGGGGGGGGGGGGGTTGTGGTCAAGGCAATGTGGGGCAGAGGTTTGCGGGATCTCGAGATATCAGAATTAACGATACTGAAACTCCTGCTTAGTCATGGTGGGGCTCTCAACCAGAATGCCAGTCCACGTGAAAGAGCCCATGCAAGTATTCTGGCAAGTACTTCTACATGTAGCTACACGTGACTCACCCCCAATCCTGGACCCACCATCCAACCTTGAGAATTTCACCAGCCATTCGAGCCTCGTCGAGCCTCGTGTAGCTACTCTGCATACAGGAAACTGCACCTACCTCGGATTCCTACGTGGAGGGCACTGGCACTGGCACTGGCACTGGCACTTGCGTACTGCTCCAGGCTGAAAGACACGAGAATACGGGCCTGGGAGAGAGACGAGTCAAGGTGTCCCGGTTGCTACACCACGTCCACGCCCTTCCATTGCTGTCGCTCCCAGGGTTAGGGTTCCGCATCAGGCAAACACACCCGGGTCCATCAGCCCCCCCCGCCCCCGGAGAACAGGACCCACACCACTCTCTACTCTCGCTCACTTTATCACCAACCACCATCACAATCACAACAATGACGTCCGACGCCCATCCCCCTCCCTCTGCACCCTCTGCCGCCGCCCTCCTCGAAGAAGACGGCGACGACGACTACCGCTCCTCCGAAGACGAGGACTTTGACCCCACCACTGCCGCCGCGGCTGCCGTCTCCGAGAACTCAGGCTCCGACTCAGACTCGGATTCAGACTCAGGCGCAAAATCGAAATCGAAACCGAAACCGAAGAAACGGGCCACAAAGAAGCGCCAGAGAGAACAATCCGACGACCCCGCCCCCACGCGCAAGATCAAGACCCGCGCGCACAGGCGCCTGCACGGCGACCACAACCCCGACGACGAGGAGTCCCACACCGCAGTACTGGCAGCAGCGAAGGCGCAGGACGCGACAGATGTGGATGCGCTTTGGGCGGCGATGAACTCGCCTGCTGTGGTGGTGGCCGAGAAAAAGGAGGAGGAGGAGGAGGAGGAGGAGGAGGCAGAGAAGACAGATGGAACAGAGGGAAAGACAGAGGGAGAGACGGAGAAGGCAGGAAAAGGCAAGATCCACGAGGAGGAGACAGTAACGATATCGCGCACCTACACGTTCGCCGGGCAGGAACACACAGAGCACAAGGTCGTCCCGCGGGACTCGCAGGAAGCGCAAGCCTATCTCGCCTCTCTCCCTGCACCCTCCTCTACCCCCTCTACCCCCACCACCGCCGCCAACACACAAGGAACCAAGCCGCGCCGCGCAGCGCCCAAAAAGCGCGTCTCGGCATTCGACTCCGCGGCGGCCGCGCGCAAGCCGCACACCCCGCCCGCGCAAAAGATGAACACGCTCGAAAAGTCGCGGCTGGACTGGGCGGGCTTCGTGGACAAGGAGGGTATCGGCGAGGAGCTGCGGCGCCACAAGATGGGCGAGAAGGCGTATCTGGAGCGGCAGGCCTTCCTGGGGCGCGTTGAGGAGAGGGGTGAGATGGTGCTGAAGGAGGGGAGGAGGAAGGGTCCGTAGTACAGTGCTGGAGGGGGGGGGAGTTTGGGGTTTTTTTTACCTCTTTTTTTTTTTTTTTTAGCTTGTTAGGCTTTTTTTATAGCTTCTGGGGGTATTTTTTCTTGTTTCGTTTGGTGTTGTAGCATGCATGGGCTTGTAGAAATTATATGGACGGACGCCTATCATTGATAGAATTGAATACACACGGTGTTTTACTCTTATCGCGCATCACATCTCAAACTTGCTTTTTTCTGTTTCTCCTGCTTCTTTACCTGTTTCTGCGGCTTCTATTCCTTCTTCTAGAACTCCAACAACACGCGCAGAAGAGCTCCACCCACCGCATATATACATGTGTACAACACACTATAAAAAGATCGCCCATGTCTCGATCCCCACCAAGCCTACTGACAACTGGTACGAAATCGCGGAATACGAATGTTGATATGATAGCTACACTACACCCCCGAATTTGCTTTTTTGCCCCTTCACGGGCTCTTTTATTTAGTAGGATCTACGACTCCTGATGTGAATACGATCTTTTATCCGTGCTGCCTCGCTAATCATTTGCTATCACTCGGCAGGGGGAGGCAGAGACGCCCTCGCCTTAATAAATCCTCAAACCAATGATGCACGCCTTCCTCCTCGCCAAAAATAGGGCCAACAGCACGTACAGACGGATTATTGCAATTGCACTTTGCTGGCCAATCCAATCCACCGTCCACTGTCTCTGTACAACCAGCGACGCCATCCCAGCCCCAAGGGCATTCCCAGCTCGACACGCGAAGTATGTACTCTACAAGTTCGCCACTCTGTCTCTACCGGCAAGTATATATCCCTTCCTTTCGCTCTCTCCCTTCACGATTCCTCCCTGCGCACTCCCAGATATCTCCCTATCTACAATCCCTATCAGCAATGGCGGCCCCCACATTCACCACAACCCGTCTGAACCCCACAACCTTCGCCATAACAACACCCACCCACCCCCCAACCTACCTCAAACGCTTCTCTGGGCCGCACCTCCTCCTGCACGCTGGGCACCCACACCCCGCCATTGCAACCTACCTCGAGACCGTCCCCGTCTCTGCAAACGGAAACCGCCCGCTCAACCCTCGTGGCGCCCACGAGTACATCCTCACGCTTCTGCGTCTCCCGCACACCGCGGCTAGCACAAAGCTCATGCCCTCCATGATACTCGCCTCCTCGAACGCGGCCCCGCCATACCCGCCACTACCCGTGGAGCACCTCGAGGACACGGCCACGTTCCCGCACGTGTCGCTGTGCGAGACACCGCTGACGGCGCTGCTGACGCCCGGGGTTGCGCCAGAGTCCCTGTGCGTGTATGATGCAGGGGAGGCTGTGCTGTTCGCTGAGGAGCTTGTGGGCGCTGTTGTATTTGGCCTGCAGTCGGAGGTGAGCGAGTACTGGCACAGCCTGGAGCGGGTGTCGGAGTTTCTGCGTGACGAGGCGGATGAGGGGGCGGCCATAATTGCCGGGGATGTGGTGAGGGTGGATGCGGTAGAGGTGGTGGAGGGCATGAAGGAGTTGCTGGGGAGGGTGTTGAGGGGTGAGGTGAAGGGGGTGGAGAGAGGTGGGGGGAGGGGAGGAAGGGTTCTGTTTTATGGTGGGAAAGAGGCGTCCTTTCTGGGGCCGGAGTGTGTATTTGATGTCGGGAGAAAGATGTTGAGTGGAGAGCTGTATTCGTAGGGTAGAAATCTGGAGAAAAGTAGCTTATAATTAGTTAGTTGTTGGGCAGCTGGGTCTGTAGTAATGTAGTTAGGAGTTTTTGGTTGTTCAACTTAAAATGAATTAGGATGAGCTAGACTTTCCATTATCAAAACTATATTAATATCCTTATTTATAACTCTCAAGTAATCATCTCTCTAGTGATAATATGCACGTTAATGATACTATTTCAAGACCGACATTCTTTACGGATGACAGAGTTCACCCCAATTGCAATTAGCAATCGTTTGTGCTGTGTTGTTAATATCAATCTCGATTAGAAATTGAAACACAGCCTAGTCCCGATAGTAGCATATTCGATAGTATGTGCCCTATCTTTAGCTAATCCCAAGCAGATCTGCGTGGGCAGGTTGTTATCTGATACAAGCATAAATTCCCGATAGTAACGCCAGATGCTGCTATTGAGACTCTATTGTGGCTGGATTTCCCTAAAACCGATTCGGTATTATATTTCCCCGATCTACCCTTGGTATAAATGACCGATAAAAAATATATCGCCGTGACCTATCAGGTCTTCCGCTAGTTCCATTTACAAGCAGTATAGCCCATAATCTCGAGCCGACCCAGCGTTTTGAGGACCGAAGCTCATAGGGCCCGACCTCTGCTATTGAAGGCCCGTAAAACAGCTCGACCCAGTAGTCAATGATCAAAACAACAAGATCTCCTTCTGCCAAGTGGCATAGTAGGGCGACAAGCCATCGGGAAAGCAGCCAGTAGACCGACGAAGAGAAATAGTTGAAATGGGCGTTCCAAAAGAGTAAAAGAGATTTTTTTTTTGATAACCCAGATCTCTCCTCCTCGTAGCTCCTTGAACTCGGTAAGAAGTTACATAGCTGTAGCTCGAGCCAGCTTGGAGATCTAGAAAAGGCTCAGGCTGGCTCAGGCTCGCTGGATGATGAGGCTCATTCCATGGACCTGCCTTAGTATTAGTATTTACAAATTGCCCTTCATGTCTGTAGTCATTGTAGGTGAACGTACTTGGAAAAGTTCTCGGCAAAGCTTTTAGTGTGCAGGCTTATAGTTACATGTATCCGCAATTGCTCAATTGCAATCTGGGGCGTTCTAATAGCTGGCCAGGCCCTATGAAGAAAATAGTTTGTAGGATGGACCTCATCGTGGGTAGATGCCAGTGGATGTTGTAGGCAGAGGGTACTGTTGTAGAGTGAAGAGAGGATGAGATGAAGGGGTTTAAGTTTAATAAAAAGGTGGCCTCTACCACTTTTATCACAAGGCTATTCTTAGCTATAGGTGGTATTATTTGTAACTACACAAGGAGACAGGCTTCAAAATAATCTAAATCAGAACATTCCGGAACAGTATATTTATATTGCATGAAAACAAAAGAATGAATCAGCCGGGAATCGAACCCGGGTCGGGCGCAAATCATCGTAAGATGGCAAGCGCCCGTGATACCACTACACCACTGAATCGTGCTGGCATATGACAATCAAATTTATTTAACCGTATGAATTTAATTACAAACAGTGCAATCATAGTCTCGTAGAAATTTGATGCGGTGGAGTTAGTAATCAACTAATATTTTCTCTCCAGGCTGAATATCGTTTATTAAATTTACCCAGATACACTCAGGCATTGGACCCAATCATAGTTCCCGGTTTCTTCAAAGAGCCCCGGTCTTGCAGTTGATTGGCGATCTACCAAAATTATAGTAGATCGCCCGCTGAAATAATCGCCCAATCATCTCGCCGCGCCGAAACCAAAATTCTCCCCGAGCCCGATCATAAGAAATCACCCTCCCCCGGAATCCTCATCGAAACCCGCCCCGTTCCCTGTCTTTTGCCCATCATGGCTATATAGGTCCCCAATTGACCTGCATAAATCATTCGCCGACAATGGCGTCAACACTCCCGCCCAGATACACTTTCAGCATGCTCTTTGTAACCTTCAACACCTTGCAATTGACTTCCTCCACCTGCGCGCGTCCATATGCCTGCAATCTATGACACCCGCCAAACGCGAAATAGAAGTCCTTCCCGGCGGGAGACTGGTAGTGCAGGATATCCACGGGTGGCAGTGTGCCGGGTTCGAATTCCGTATCTGCAGGAGGGTTTTTCTGAAGGGTACAGACCATGTTGTCGATTTTGCTGTCGTCGAGCACCGGGGGTATAGGCCGGAGAATCGATGCAAGGGGGAGGGTACGCGTTGCGTGGATATTGCGGGATTGAAGTGACATGTTGGAAAGTGTATTTTGAGGAGGGGGCGAAGTCACGTCGGAGTGGCCTGATAAAAGTTCTGTATGTATTCACCGGTTTGAGGAGGGTTGATATATCGGGGGCCCGACGGGGGGCATTTGTTTGAGAAGCTCCTTGACAGTGACGTATGTTTTGGAGGGGGACGGATTACTAATAAATCGGTAAATGGTTTCTCCGCCAGGGCCTGGATCTGGTGAAATTACGCAGCAGATTATGGCGACTTGTGAAGGGGCTAAAATTCTCCTGGTTCTGCCCTTGTCATAATTAACATGCGGACAGTACCCCGGGTTTCGGAGTAAATGCCAATGCGCACGGATGTTGTGTGCGAGTGAGATCTGATGATTTCAACCGACACCAGTGGAGGACATCTATACAACATTACGTTACAGTCAGCTTCTGGAAAAAATCCTTGAAAAGAAGATTCGACTTATTTACTAGGTTTTTATTACTCTGCCAAAAAGGTAGTCACCTCCTGGTGCGGGTGATTTTGCATGATTCAAACATTTGAGAATCCCAGTGATACGGTCTTGGTTTCTCGGCCGGGTACTACTGAACCGACAGTTATGTCGTGCGAAGGAACTTTCCATCAAATCCGATAGTTGTTTTTGTCTACCCCTCTCAAACGCGTAGTTATCCCTTGGCCTGGTGGGACATGCAGATTCGGGACCCTCCAAACTAGGCAGGTTTAGACTGTGGCCCAGTGCCTTTGCCTCCGTGGCAGCGAGCTCAGCCATATGATAATCCCATGGCAAAGTCACTGGGCCACAGTCTAAACCTGCTTAGTTTGGAGGGTCCCGCATATCTCACCAGGCCAAGGGATAAGCCCGTTCCATCACTTATTACCCACCGCTGTACATACACAACCGAAGAAAGAAAATATTCCTCGTGTTGAGCATCTGTGTGGTCGAAAGACCTCGAAATGGCAGCTGAAGGAGCCCAGTATAAAGAAATCCAGGCGAGCTGCAGAAAACCCTCCACAAGCTTCTTCATTTGCTCGCATGATACATGTGCTCGTGGCACTCTCCGGCGGCCCGATTCGGCAGGTATAATGTACGTGACGTATAGAGTACCCGGCGAAGAGGTTCAGCGGGAATTGCCAAGTGGTTTTTGTGGATCTGTATGTACACACTGCGCCCTATCAAGTCGGCATAACTTCATGATATGATGCGACAGCTAACAGTGCGATCCTGGGGGTTATATAATGCACTAATGATTTCAAACTCGTTTTCCAAACAGAGAACCCCGCCATAAAAGTACCTAGATCTTCCAGAGAGTCCCCTCGGGATTGTCGCAAAACGTGGCAATCATCAGCGTGCCTGAAACCCCTGTAGGGAAAACCAGCCTGGGATCGAGCGAGTGAGAACCAGTGATTGTATATGAGACACCAGCCGCACGACGGAATCTAAGACACTGCGCCAAGTGTCGGATGGACGGATACTCGTATATCAACGATTGGATATAGGTGAGGCTGGGCTTATATCATCGACATCTATGTACCGCTGAAGCCCACGGGAAACATGAATCGCTTCTACATGTAGGGTAGGGCTAGCAGTCACTCACAGCGCCCCCTTGGCTCCATATGCCATGGGGGTGAGTACGAGTACATACATGTACAGGTAGGTACTTAGCCCCTCATCCTATCGCATGTGCTTCCTCAAATCCGTGGTATCAGATGGTTTCATCTGCCTGCTCTTTCCCAGAAGGAGGGATATGGACCACTTTGTGGCGGTCTAAAACAAACGCCTGATTACCAGAGCTAGAGAGGATGGGGTCTCTGATCATTGACCGGCGTGACAAAACGCTTAAACAAACTGTGGCTTATCTAAAGCTCAGAAGACTGTTTGCCACTCGGAATTGGAAAAAGTATCTCCGTCGATAATCAACCAGCTATTGCCGGGGCATTGCTTATTTCAACCTCTTAGCGCCAGTTGGTGCGGTGCTAACTCCCTGTCCGATACGCCCCAGAGCAAGTCAGTAGGACTCCTATGTATGTTTTTGATCCCCGCACACCGTCATTTCTGAATGAATTCGAGGCTGGGCGTAGCGCGTCGAAGAAAAGCGGGGTAGCTTCAAGCCCTCTCTCAGCCTGTCTTCTATGGTTTTCTGATTAATATTCTTTGTCGAGGTCTAAAGACCTAAGATACCTGATAAGTTGGTTGGAATTCGGACCAATCAGCTCGAGAAAATTTGTTCAAGGCAGACAGCCCCCTCTTCTGGCTTGGGTCACGGGCAACAGTCTCGATCAATATGGAATACATCACCATGATAGCCGGTAAAGAATCTAGAGGTGACATGGACATGCCCCTCCTCCGGTTCAAATAAAGTTGCATGACTGAAGGAATATGCCATGCCTGCGGGGAGTGCCGCGTAATAGAGTTGTATCTACACACTTCATGAATTTATATTGTAGCCACCAACACTCTCTTCTGGATATATCTGCATAGAAGCCGATACCGACGTTTCTCGGAGCGCTGAAAACTTGAAATTCACATATGCAAGTTAGAATTTCCTGCACGCCTTCGTCGGAACTCGCTACCGACACCCTAGCTTGGGAGCTTCAAATCACCCAGCGTGGTAACTTTTGACGAGGTGGGAGAAGCACATCAGCCTCAGCCATTATGTAAAACAGGTACCTACTCCAGCTCTTGAGTGATGGGTTATGTGCCAGTACCTAGGTTTACCTCAGCCAATAGATAACGAAATCGTGCACCGCAGGTTACACTCTTGTGTAGTACAGCCTCGCGATTGGCCAGGATGGCACCTACGGCTAAAGATCTTTGCATAAAAATGAGCTTGGAGGTATAGGTGACCCTATGGATATCAACGATGGCGTATTGGATCATAGTACATCACTCGTTACCTGAGCAACCTGAGACTTGACGCAGTCATCTCACCCACGGGGGCATTTGAAATAACAATGATAGACATTGGTAACTGTTAGTCCCACTCCTTACTCAAAGCTTAATTGTTCTACTCTAATAACAAGTGGTACTCTTTTTATTATTGCATGTCTGAGCCAGGAAATTCTGGCCTTGCTACAAAACCAACAGCATGAAAAGATTTTGGAACCAGCGTTAATTATTTAACAGGTCCACAGGAAATAAACGATGTCCGAGGCCTTGAGATCCCATTTGAATACTTTGACCCTCATGATTCGGCCATAACCCAACCATGGCCATATTTGACCACGTAAAAGAATGCGGCGTATGTAGGTACTTTGGTTTCTGTAGTGGGGATATGATCACTTACGGCCGGATTACAGACACTAGAGCACCCTATTAGCAAACTAGTTCATCGGATTTGAGCGGACTCCACAAAAACACTGAGTGTATATATATGTACCTTTTTTTTATCACCCAACTCATGGCAGTGCAGCTCTCATTAATGGACACAACACATGTCCAGGGCACGCCTACCACGTGCAAACTCAAAACCAATACAGAGGTTCCCAACAAAATCCATATTCCTATTTGCTCGAGGCGCAAAAAACCGAACCAAAAGAGGTGCGGCGAAAAAAGAACCCCTGTCAATCAAAAATTTGCAATTTAGATCGAGATCGTGATCTATGGGTAGCGAGATCCGGGAAATGTCGCAGCTGATACGTACCCGCTCTACGGAGGGTATTAGTGGAGATTTGTATTTCATATACATGGATACCCTTTGCCCTGCCAGCTTGTTACAGGTGGACGGGTGTTGGCATAGTAGGCTTTGGAGTAAGTTTTCTCTAAAGTACGGAAACAGTGGTTATGTATAATCCTTGAAACAGTTTCGGGAGCTGAAATATTTGAAAACCGGGGACTGATATGTGAGTAGCCTTGACATTCGATCGTTAAGCCAGATTTCCTTTCTCCAAAGTGCTCAATCATTTTTCTTTTTTTGTTTTGAGGTCTGCTGATGTCGTGATGATAGAAGCCTAGAAGATATGAGTATTAATTGATGTACTCTGGAGTTTGACATACGCAAAGTATATTCGCTGTATATCATGCCAGCTTATCAGTTACATGTAGTTATCGGAATCTTAATGTGCTCATGTAAATATCCGCACGCGACGTGGTACGTACCTAGGACGTACGTTTCTATATCTCTGGAAATTAATACATTAATCTGGAACTATGGGGCTGTAAAATTTTATTGTTGGTCCGGGCCTGTAGGGCTGGTTGTAAGACAGTCCGTATATGCGCGCTCGCGTCTTTCGTCCAATACTATTGGTAAGCATTTGGCGAAACTTCTGATGTGTTCGAAGTCATCACCAGTAGTGGTGTGGTCAAAACTCAATCGTTTCGCCTATTTTTGTTTCCTTTTTTCTGTGCTTTTAGAAAAACCTTCTCGGACGATGCTTGTTTCTTTCCGACGTATTACACAGCTATGATTAAATATGAGGTTTTGAAGGATGCATTTTCTTTCTCTCGATCGATATCTGTCCCTTAAATTTGTTACTCGACACAGTCATGTGATATTGCTGGTATAGATCGTGTCACACGAACCGATATGTTTTCTCTGGCCTAGATACTCTGGATTACCCAGTATCAGGTTTTTGGAGAGTTTATTGTCGGCGCTGAAAATGCCGGCGAAGAAATATTGCAATGAGGCCATCCAAACGCCGATTCTACATCAATACTAGCTTCTAGAAGTATTAGCACCTATATCCCTACAAACGAATTTTGGGTAGTACACACACCATCGTGTAACGAGTATTTGCCGGAAGAGTACATATATATACTGAGTAGATACATACCATAACTATCGCTACTGATGGGATTTATATCAAATGTTTGAAGTGCCCGCCACATGTGGGATGTAAGGTCCTTATCCTGGTCACGATTACCATGATGCATACCAAGCTGAGATTGACGTGGGCTGAACTTGGCTTAAGACATGGCGGCGCCATTATCATCGGAGCCTCAATACCCACCGAGAAATATTCATGCATATTGTCATATTGCTTTTTCCCACCCACATTACCCCGCGCCGCATTGTGGGCCGCAAACAGCCGCAACCCCTCTTGCGAGCCCATTCACTTATCTAAGAGTCACCGAGATTTCGACTGCGTGTGATCGAAGTTGGAAGTGTTGAAGCGGCTAAGCCTCCAATCCACGCCGCATCAATGCCGCCTGGTCCACAGTGTAAACGAACGCATAGATGTTGTCAGATATGTAAATAAGATTTTTTTTAAGATTTAGTTAAGCTCTATAAGGTAGATCAGGAACTTCTCATGCTTAGTTGCGGCACAGAGGAATTCGTAACATTATGAAAGGACGGATGCCTGCCTAGGTATTGCGCCTAAGAGTAGGTGCTCTACTTACCTATCTTGCGCTAATATAATAATTAAGTGGGCTAGTGATGAATCATTGGTAACCCTATCAATATCAAAGGATTATTCGCCCTTGAGCCCTTGCGGCAAGCTTGATGAAAGTACCTACAATATTATGCAGAAGATACCGGCCCGACTTTGAATGTTGATATCCGGCGCCGCCGCAAGGAATGTGCATATCTCGGCCGCCCATCTTCGTTCCTTATAGTAAATTATCGTGGGGGACAAAATAAAAGTCGCAGCCGAAAAACGCTCTACAGAGCAAGGTATTCCTTACAACGAGGTTCCTTACGACTGCGTGTTATAGGTATTATCGGGTAAACAGGCAATCAGCCCGCGAGTGAAAAGGAGTACCTACAGTGTTAGTTACATGGAGATTCAAGATTTGAATTAAAAGGAGTTCAAGAAAAGGAGTAAGATAAGACTTACATCGTACCTGGCAAAAATAGTTAGAGTATACCCAGCTGCCAGATGTGGGGTTCGCGTGTGTTGTCAAATCCTTTTTTGCCTTGTCTGGCTATGGGTATCATAAGCATAAGCATCTTTCCTTCAAGTTTCAACGCCAAATGTGTCAGTCAAGGTTGGTGTGGTAACTACTAACGATCGTCCAAGCGCTGTAACAAACATGTCAAATGAAGCTAGACCCCAGAAACGACTGGACTACAAAAGCGGTGTGGAGTCCGAAGGATCCAAATATTAGTCGCTAAGACTTAACTAGTGATCATATCAATTGCTTGGTTCCTTCCAATTCTGTAACATTATCAAGTCCTGCTTTCGCGGGCTTTGATGTCGAATTTGATTTTGCTACCAGGATCCCAGCGGGCCGTAACCCCCCAGCGAAATTTCGGGGTTGCGTTAGAGTACCTTATTTTGCCGATTCGGGTATCTTGAATATAAAATTTGCATATACAGATTTCGTTCGGAATTAATCACGCAGATCGTCTGAATGGATGGACATTCGTAGAGTAGAAACTGTATGTCCATATCTGTGAACCACCAGAAATGGTGGAATGGATTTCAGCTAAGCTGGAATTCCGTCTCCAGACCTTAGAGGTCATTGGGTGTTAACTAGCGTAACTCAGCTAGACAGGGTGGTAGCAACCGAACAAAGCCACTCTCTAATCCTAGGTGAAACGCCGTTCGCTTTCGTAGAGACATTCCTAGATCAGTGCTCCATTGAGGATGCAGCTTCGCCATAGTCAAGCGCTTCTCAATGATTGATGGTGTGCTGCTTGAAATTTCGCCCCCAAGGCATATGCGAAATTCCATGTTATGCGATGCGACGCTTAATAGAGCACTCTAGAGTTCCTTGATATTGCTGAAATAGAGAAATAAATTGACCAATGAGTAGTTGTGGATCAGCTGTGACGTTTATTTTTGTAGTCCTGTTCAACCTTGATCTGATGGCTGTCGCTCGATGTCTTCCGGAGTTTCATTATTGAGTACCAAGGACTTGAGCTGGTTGAACTCGGTGGCTAGTTCACCAATCAAGGACCATTTTCTGGGTTACAGCAGCAGCAAGGGCCGCAGCCATGCTTTCATGGTAGGTACTAGATACAACACCGGCAATGTACGGATTGCAATCCCTGTCTGCTATTATGATTGCTACCAGGAGAGTGGAAACGAACAAGGCAGTAAACGTGAGGGCTACATACGCCTGGTTATGCCTGGTCAGTTACATCTCTAGCGAGAACTGGTATGGGTGGATTCCGAAACTGTGCATATATGTAATAGGAAGAAAAGAGGAAGGCGAGGTTGAGGTACAAGTACTTAGAGTTGCCCAGTATCCATTCTCTGCACAGATCTGTTCCCAAGCATTTTTTCTTTCTTCACTTTCTGTTCGGATTTTTCTTGGTTCCCCCACATACATACCGATATCATCAATATCTCAATAAGTGCTCCGGAGCGCAGCAGGACTCAAAAGTAAATCCTTCCTGGTTTGAGATAAGAAGAACGAGGTCTCGAGCGTTATAAGACAAGACACATCCACTCTTTGGCTGCTTCTTCCCGGGTGTTGCTGCTGCTTTGCGACGTCTGCATTTCGCCGCTACCGTTAGCTTTGATCGAGTGATAAGCTTCAGACCGCTAATGCGTGTCTATTAAACTACTCAACTACATACAACAACCCCGCCCTTCCATCCAGATCCTCCTACTCCTCAGTGTACTCACTGAAAAGCTATCTCACTGGCAATATAAACCCTTTAACACTGCGGGTAATTCTTTCTCAAGTTTACATAAAATCATGGCAACCCTCTCACCAGTACAGCCATCAAGTATCATGCACTCAGCAAAAAACACCGACTACGAGCGCAGAGAACCTCCCTCACCTGCACCAACAGACATGTCCTTTGGAACAGGAGACGATCGAGACAAACTAGAGTCACAGAAACCTCAAAACATGCGTGACATCGGCAGAGACACACCAGCTGCCCCAGGGCTGTTCAAAAAGGCATCCAAATCTGATTTCGGCAGGAAACGATCTATGAAGGGTGCTGGCTACTATGGAGAGGTCTTTGCTGTCCGGGAAACAGGGCCGGTAGTACCTACAAGTGCTGGAGTCTGGGTTGAGCTCAAGACTAATGTCATTGTAAGAATCTCTCAAGCTTCTTTCCTTTTTGGTTCTATCGCACGTTGTTCTTTATGTTTGCTTTTACTAGAGCCTCACATTATCTTCTCAGTATATCGTTACACCCGTTCCCGAAATCTCAGGCTGACATAAATGTGCGCTTATAGCTCGAAAACGAGTTTGAATTTGCTAAATCACTATCTGAAATGATTGCAAAACGTTATGGGAGGACAGAGGAGACTGTCTGCGTGTCGATCGACCACTCGGCATGCATGGTAATGGGAGGCACATTTGATGGTTCCTACATGCTCACCATAACTTCTCTGAGCATGATCTCACCTACTTGCAACAAACGTAATGCGGCACTGATTTCGGAGTGGATCAACAACAACCTTGGAGTTGTCGGGACCAGGGGATATATTAGATTCGTTGACCCTGATTTTGCAAACTACGCCACTGGCGGAACCACGATGCTCGATCTGATGGAGAGGGAGGAGTTGACCAGGACTGGAGCTGCTGAGAAGGCAGGCATAATTCGCGACAAAAGTGTCAAGAGATCCATGTCACGGCACAGATCAAAAAAAGAGCGAACAAGTTATGAAAGATCACTCCCGGACCCGATGCAGCGAGACGACGATGCACTTAGCGACTTGCCCTCGACGCGCGATTCAAACGAACCACGCCCAACAACTGCCGGGGGAAGGATGAGGAAGCGTAGTATGTTCAATCTATTCAGTAAGAGCAAAGTAGTTTAGTAAAGGGGGGGGGGTGCGGTGCGGGGTACAGGGTTTTAGTTGGTTGCACAGGGATTCTTTGCATTTTTGGCCGGAGTTGTTTGTTCCTGTTTGGGTACCTTTCCCTTCTTCATTCGTTTTTCGTAATACTTTTTTGGGCTGGTCTGGGGGTATTCTTATTTTTTTTATATGTATTATTGGTCTGTTTGGGGTTATGGGTACCGGTTCTTTCTGTTATTTTTTGTCGCTGCTACGAAGAAGTATTTTTCCTTTGTGTCTCACAGGTGGGGAAAGGGGAAGGTGAGCGGTCACTTACCGCGGTGATCAACTAGAAGTGTACCTTACCATATGTTTCAGAGGGCCAGTTTTTTTTATGACCTTCTTTTCTTTCTCATTCACGGCTAGCCGCCCTAAATTCTTTTTGTTTTTGATTTTGGGTTTTTTTGTCTATTTTCTACTGTACATTCAATTATTCGATCGGCATGTAAGATTTACGGGAAGTCAACACTGTCGCGGGTCGGTTTTGTGCACATATATTGCATTCATATACTTTAAGCTTCAGTACTTTAGATCACGGGAAATATAGAGGCCGGGCCATTATGGAGACCTGAGAATTAATGTACTACATACTTTTTCTTCTTTCTTTTCAGTGGAAGGGTATTTTTACCGGTTGGTGTATCATGATACTAGCCTGTCCTCCCCTGTGTCAAGCAGCTTTGCTGTATATGCAGAAATTCGGATAGGTAGAGTACAGTCGCAACTCGATATGCCGGATTGCCAAGATTCTAAGGATTTCGTACGGGATAGCAAAAATCCGGGATAGCAGATTGATTTTGCAGTAGGAAAAATAATATTCTCAGAGGATCTCGTACGGGACAGCAAGGGTCCGGTGTATTGAGTTCCGGCATATCGAGTTGCGACTGTAGCTAAGAGCGGGAACAAACTTAATATCGGACGGGTAGGGGCGCAGGGGCGGGACACACCGCAATATGTGAGGATTATGGAGATATCGATATAGTAGGGAATCGTATATTGTGACACCACGCTGCATTCTGTTCCTGTTTCTCTCGGGCATTCTATTCCTGTTCCTCTCGGGCTTCCCTGGCCATGGGTGGGCATGTGGGTGAGTGGGGAGGTTGAATGAAAAATTGTGGTGAAAGGATGATTGAAGGTGGGGGGGTAAGGGAGGTAGAGGATAATAGGATGCAGGTTACATGATATTATGATGATACTCGAAATAGAAACTAGATTTTACCACTTTAAGTCAGTTCTGGGGGGAGCCAATATCGACATCTGCCCCTTGAGGCTTGTTGTACCGTCGATCTGTCATTATGCTATGCGAGACTTAACCTACTCTAGACCTGGCATGTGTTAAGCGACATCACATCGGACGACGCGTCGACCTGGAGACATTTGGATCGTCAATTACAACTAAGAAAGAAAGTCTCTAAGGTACGACATACACGCCCCCCCGTAATTGACGCAGAATTCTACAAAGAAGGTGAGAGACACATTGCTAGAGCCTCCACTTGCCGTTCAACCAACATCCTAAAGTGCTTCACCGCAGTAATTAAACAGAGAAACATTCACGATCTCTACGATGCCTCCCCGAAAAGCTGCTGCTGCTGCTTCCAAGAACCCCCCATCACCACCGCCCCCAGCTCCACGTGAGGAGGAGGAGGAGGAGCAGGATGAGAGTACCGTGACGGTTCCCCCACAGCTGTTGCAGCGTATGCTCCAGGAGTTCTTCGAGGAGAAAAAGAAGACGAGAATCTCTCAGCCAGCGTTGAACGCGGCCGGGGAGTATACGAAAACATTTATTCGGGAGGCAATATGGAGGGCTGCTGCCATTAGGAAAGAGAGCGGGCAGGACCCTGGCGGGGTTAAGAATATGGGTGCTTTTTTGGAGGTGAGCGTCCTTTCTGTGCCTCCCCGGGAATTATCTCGGCTTGTGGAGCGAGATGTGATTAGAATTGGACGGGTGGGCTAATATATTTGTGGGGGCCAGGTTGAAGATCTAGAGAAATTGACGCCGCAGCTTTTGCTGGACTTTTGATCACAAGTGATCACAAGATGTACTATCTCGGTTCTATTAGTGCAAACCCGATATCAGCTTCTGGGGCCAAATGCGGATCTTAGGATCTGGGATCTGTCCACAAACAAGGATTTTATTCCTCAGTTCTAATATGGCTACAGAATTGTAAATAATTCATTTCTCAATGGTATTTTCATATTTTAAGTCAATGCTCTCTTACGTGTATCTTGTGCGGATATTATGCAGCCTAAAATGGATTATATAACTTTCCCAAATCCTTGGCAAATACCCGTAAAGTGTAAAAAAGGATGCGAGGCCAACGTCAATATGTACCAAATATCATTGACAGTGCTTGGCATATCACCGAAAGAGTAAGAACCAACTTCACTACCAATTACTACACATTAGTTGTAGTAAATCCAAGTTGAACAATACTGAATTTTTTGCAAATTATAGTCACTAGAATTTGACGCTCTAAATACATCATCACATAGGCGGTGATCTTAGAAACCTATGCTCTTGATACTCCACAAGCTCTTCCAAGCCCACGCATAATAGTATTTAAAAAATTGGATATCAACTACGCAGTGCTACCAGTGTAAGGAATACACCAACTGGTTATGGTATCGGGTATTCACCCCCAAGAGCCCTGGCCTCAATGACCTCGTTCTCGGCGCTGCTGCGATATATATAAACTTAGCTCATCAGCTATGGCTAATGCCTTAAACAATTCAGCGCATTGAGTCGAATTATTCACAAGTAATACGGATATATGAGAAGGGGATTCCGATTCATAATCCCGTGAGCTTCCAGAGCACGGGGATTGTCTTCTTGTAAAATTTAGTCATGTTGCGATGAATAAACGGCTCGAATAGGCCGGGTTGCTTGGTCTTGCGAGCTTCCGAGCAGGCACCGTGCAGATATATGCTTTCTGCTGCTTTGCATTTTTAATGTTAGATTTCATACTTTCGTCCCGCCCGCCCAACTTGCTCCTCCTCTCTCTGCTTGTGTTCTCCTCTCTTTGCTATTTGCTCTAGTTCTCCTCACCTTCTCCTCCTTCCTATATCCTTCTTCCCGGATCCCTCTTTCTCCTCTCCTTCTCCTCTCCTTCTACTCTCCTTCTACTCTCCTTCTACTCTCCTTCTCCTCTCCATTAATCCTGATCATTCATCTCTTCCTTCGCCCCATCTACTCTCACGTCCGATAATTTAAACTTCACTTACATTCTCGGATATAATACCCAATTTAATTTCAGAAAGATGTCTGATCATTCGTCATCTAATAACCGGCCTGACAAAAACGTTGCCAATATTAATCCGCCTGATGTGGATCCTAATACGAATATCTGGGGGGAAAATTCTCTAAAATCTTTCGCAGAGTCTAGGACTACTGGCCCTCACCATCAGGGGGCTGATGGTGAGGGTCCGCTTATGTGTGACTACCCTGATACCGACGAAGATTCCCCGACGAGTAGCCTGGAAAGCCCCCAAAAGGTAGGTTACTATTGCCTGATACAACCCTCTCTAATCTGTTTTCTCATTAGTTTATTACTTATTTTGATAAGATCATGTCCCTGCTGCTAATACCCCACTCCAAACACAGAGCACCTTTAATGATCGTGAAGGTCAAGCTCATAAACAAAATGGTCTTAGGACCTTTTATGATGATGATGATGATGATGATGATGTCAGCTCCGACGAGTTAGAGGTACGTTGCTTGGACTCTCTGATACGTTTCTCTTGAAGACGATCTTTTGAAATACCTCTTTGCTAATGCATTATCTCTATGTTTAGAGAAATGACAATGAGAACCTAGCTGGGCGTGCTGGGTCAGACCAGAATCTTTTGAAAGAAAACAAACCCGTGGGAGAGGTAAGTTTCTTTTCCGCTTCGACATTGAGACTCTGAGTTCGTTTGGGGTGTGATATTATGGTATATACGCGTGTTCCTTCTGCTAATATTTATCCTTTTGTTTAGATGTCGAAATTGGTCGATAAAGATATCGAAGAAGAGGAAATAGATAGCCTTTTAGACCCGAAGACTCCCGAGGGTGGGGATTGGGAACGTAGGTAACAATAAGTAACGAGGTTATATTCTGGGAAAACTGCTAATCTTTCTACAGCCACCGAGGAGTGTATGAAGAGAAGTCTAGATATTGTGAGCAAGAGGCTTAAAGAATGGAAGCGGTCTCGAAAAGTAAATCCCTACCTTTCCCATGGCTGTTTCTGAGTATCTCACAAGCACCGATTATCCTATGTATTCATAAGATTCGAACCCTTTGTATGCCCTTAATTAATCCATTACCTAGTACCGAAAGAAGAGAACCGTCCCAGAGAGATGTTTATTAACATAAGCGTCTCACAGGTTAAGAAGAGGACCTAATAATTCGACGATTCAAGAACTACACAAAACCAGCTTTCAGATCTGCCACATCAACTCATAAATCCTCAACAATCAACCGCCTCGTACATCGTTTTAATACATTTAGTTGCAGCGAGGATTTCTTAACCTCATTCTTATATTGCATTCTATACGTATGCTCATGCATATTTCTCTATACTTAAATTTTTCATTCCCGGATCCCCCCGCGCCCAGCTGGGCCGGCTAGCTAGCTCTCGTTTAGAATGTCGTCTCACATAACTGCAAATCTGCCATATATTCTTTTTTCTTTCTTTATTTTCTCCTCCCATATTGATACTTTTTCCTGCCGAGATATTTCTACTCATACGATCATGATGTTTTGTTTTTCAATGTTTCCTTTCTCTTGATCGCTCTGTTTTCAATTTTTCCGTTTCTCCTGATTGCTCTGTTTTTTCTATTTCTACTAGTTGCCGGCTCTGAGTAGTAGGCTATCGAAGGTATTTATTTTATGGGGCCGGGGAAGACGTACAGGAAGTGATAAGGAAGTCACTTGATCGGGTAAAGGGGCGAAAAGAAGGTGCAATTGTGGGATACGTAACTTTTGTATGATGGGACAAGATAGCAGTATGACAATCAAATAGTTCTGCTATCTACTATTAGGGTTCTATCTTTGACCCTGTAATTGGCTCTCGACCTTTTGAACTTATGATTACATGTAGTTCCTTTATAATCGTACGGTGGTGGGTATTTGACCAATGCAGTCATGAGTTCGGCTATCTTAGCTGACATATATATGTCTACATGTACCTACATGTATTAAAAAAGGTATTAGGCACGTCGTAAGCACTATGTGCGTTTCAAACGTGGGTTTATAATAAATATTGATATAGCTCGCCCCTGCTTTGGTCCCCTTCTTGGATAACTCGATTTGAGATAGAGGTTGGAAGCTGGTATATATATCATTAGCATGGAAACATCTACTTATGTAGCTTAAAAGAATTTACCACATGGCTATAAATGATCGATTCAGAGGCTAAATATATGGGTAAGTGCTCTCCCTTATAAGACAAGCTGGCCAAACCACCAATTAATGAAATAAACCAAAAAAAAAAAAAAAAGCTGGCCAAACCACGCTGATCGACGAGTGATAGTCTGTGATCTACCCGATATATCTTGGATGCCCTATTACTTACAGGTCAATTGCGAAGTACTGCTTGAGTGAATGGCGAAAGACCAACCACTAGAGACTTATATACCAACTGAGAGGGGCCAGTATACTGAGGATTGTGCTATTTTTGATAATCAGTAATTGCAAATCCGTCATTGAACTACATACATAGGTTAGACATTGACGCATGCGCAGGAATGGCTATAGAAATTTCGTCTAGTAAGAACGTTTAGGTAAAGAAATATCAAAATATTCTCAAAAACAACTAAACCAGGTGTCCATCCCTCAATCAAGCCCCAAAGGTCGGCCAAAATTTAAACATCAGGTTTAGGGCTACTCACAGAAACTTTTATAGATTCGATAACTAGCAAACTCTCTCTTTCTCTCCCGCAACTTTTGACTAGCCCTTTTTAATAATGAGTGGTTGTAATTCATGATATATCATTACTATTTCCACTGGGTAATTGTAGATAACGCCCATTTTTGAACGTAGGTTGCAGTCCATACTAGCTACTCGTAGGCACCAAACAACTAGCCACTAAAAATACATCTGTCATAATTAGGCTTTCCCGGGCCCGGAGTACGTAGTATCTCCTCATACCGTCTGGACACTCCGTCTCAAGACACCAGCTGGCAGTGAGAAGATAGCCTTATTTGGTTTCTTCATCTATAAACCCATGGCCCATTAACCACCAATATACCCGATCTTTACGACTAGATGGGGAAATACCCCCCCGCCCCCCCCCCTGCCCAAGACTCGGTCTGTCATATCTATTAGATTATACCGTTTTCCGAGAGACGATTTGTTTCAGGTCTATTATCTATCTGGCCGGCAGGACTGAGTTAAAGAGACAAGTCTGCCTAGTAATATGAGCATCATCACTTTTCCTACGTGTCGAATAGATGTAGCTAACACTGGATCTCGTACAGCGCAGCGAACACTTAACTGATAGCTAGGATCGAGCTAGTCTGACCCTTCTTATGGAATCCTCAGAAATACCCGCTTCACGGTCGTCCTCATCCACCCATGATCCGCATACCTGAGTTCGAGAGACGGAATAGGATCAACGCTTGCAATTGGTACTCTCTACACCGGGTGTTTTGCCGTTGCGAGGGTCTAGTCCCGGCGTTGCAGCCGAATCACGCACTATCACTCGATCATCCATCCCGTGGGCCCTGCCTATACGTGCGAACAGTTTCGTGACTTATGACGACTTGGTATCCTGAGCTACGAGGGGGGGGATGTCGGGGACCTTGCTATGAGGTGAAGTGGGTGTCTGCATATCCTCCTTTGGAACCTAATCATAGGCCTATTGTCATATCTATTTATAAGTAAATACCCAAGTGTTGGTAAGAATTAGTGCACTAGGAAAAGTACTTTCTGACATTATAACGGCGTAGTACCCTTATCTCGAGTGTGGACTGTAGTCTGTTGCTGTTGGGAGAGCTTCTACAGACCCATACACTTGGGACAAGCCAAATATGACCGGCTGGAACTGTGGAATATAGCTCAAGAGATTATCTTTGATATCTTCCTGCATGATTGGGAGCGGGGAGAACATGGTTCAAGGAGTATTCATACGTAAATCCGAACCCACAGTCATCGCTTAACAAAGGCTATTAGCTAAACCTTCCAATTACACCGTCGCACTTACAGCTCTTTGCTCCTCCACCGGATAACCTAGAAACACACTCCGTTATCTTTACAATTAATCACCCATCCACCAATCCGCAAGGGTCAGGATGAGTAATCTCCATCATACACTATCACTCGTGCAAGTCAGTCTCTTATACTGATCGACCTCTACCCCAGATAGTCCTCTCCTCTAGTCATGACAGTGGTAGAGAAAAAAGTCACGAGTAACTTCACCGCTCCCGTCCCCATGCTTCAGACCTTGAAGCACATCCGTATATGGTGTTCCCAAAATATTAAGGGATTACTACAATCGATCGGTTTTGTGATCAGCGGGCCTGTCGGCTCTTCCTAACTGCATTACACCAGTAAGTAGTTCGAGAGTAACTACCCACCCGCCTTTGAGTCATAAACCAGATCGCGTCCCTCCGATACCCTCTCATACCCCACTATCTTCTACCATCTTTACCTTGAACTGAACTAACTACCTTCTTAAAGCGGGGAAGCTACACAGTGTCTTGAGCGTACCTACAGCCCTTCTAGTTCACGGATCCGAAGGGGTGTACATACATAAAGCTTGAGGGTAGTATTTATTCATTCTGGAGGGATGGGCTTTCCTGGGATGAGGTGTGGATAGGGGTGAGCGTGGGGTGGTGCTTGTATTTCCGCTTGGATGGAAGGATGAATGTGATGTTGGTACCGATTTGTTAGTAAGTTGGCGACTTGGAGGGTGGGTGTGGTGGGTGTGCGGGTACGTCACATGAGATCACTCGGCTCTCTTTGCACCTGCCCAGGCCTAAGCCCAGACCCATAACCTCTACCCACTATTATCTACTCACCTCCAACCTAACCCTCATAAACCCACCAACTTTTCCCCACTCCCACACACCATCACACCACCCACCATCACACCACCAACCACAAGATTGTGCTATCTTATCTGATATATCTAGTACGACTAATGTTCGCTGCTTCTTATACGGTAACCCGCTTGTTGATTTTATTTGGAGCTGCCTATGGCCATGGCTAAACAAATTACACATCATACCAATCATAAATTGGGCCGTGCAGACAATACTCTGTTTTAATTGATCTGACACTATCCACCCCATAGTCGACTCTCACTACATGTATATTGATACTGACATTAGTCCGCCTTATAAGCTTATAAGGACATTACAGGTTTTCGGCTCAAACTGCATCCCCATATCGAGTGAGAGTGGATTGTACCACCACCGATCCACCCGCACCCAAGCTCGCGCACTACCTATCAGTCCCTACAGCACACAGCACATGCCACCAACCCACTTCTCCACACCACATCACTCGCCAACCCACCCCCCGCGGGTTACCTAAAATAGAACCCAGCCGTCACCCGCACTAAGTGAGAACCCTGGAGATCCCTAACCCTAAGCTTACCCACTAGCACTAGACTACAACCTCACCGTCTCTTCCTTCCTACGCCGGTGCCTGAGCGGGACCACCGCACCCTTGCACATCCTAGCTACTAGGCAATATACATATATTATCGCCACCAAACAGCGCGCCATCAAAAAAGCCACACGATAAGGGCGAGCATTTAGCGGTCAAAGAGCTACCTAGGTAGATCGAAGAAGCCAGATATCATTTCTCAATCATTACCAACAACCAACAACCATATTCCTCGTTCCGTTGACTAAGTACTGTAGGTGGAAATACTACATAGTATTCATTACGCCCCGGCTCCTGATCTTGGAGGGCCCCTCACTAAAAAATAAAATAAAAAATAGCAATAAAAAAGGTCCCTATAAAAATAAAAGCCAAACCCGGCGAAAAAAATAAAAATCCCAGCAAAGTAAAAAAAAAAGTCTATCATATCAAACCCCCCCCCCCCCCCCCCGCGCCAAAGTTCCAACCAGCAACCCCCCCCCCCCCCCCCCACTCCCACAGCGCCGTATCGTTAAAAACTCCGCTTTTTTTTTCTCCCCTCGTTATTAGGTAGGTAGGTTAGTTAGTAAAATTCAAGGTAGCAGCGCAACTCCCGTCCCGCAGCCACTTCCTTTCTTGTTTCTCTTCGTCAATTCATGGGTCCTTCGTTCGCATCCGTGTCTATGGGAGGTTTCTTTTTTTAACGTCCGACCTCGAATACCCGCTGCAGCGCATTCTGAAACACCTGCACGTTGAAGTCCACGAGCCCCTTCTTCTCGATGCCCTCTTTGCGCATCAGACAGATGAGCGCCAGATATCTATATTATCGTACGACAACAGTCAGCACACATGCAACACACACACAAGTTGTGAAATCGCCCGGAGCAAAAAAAAAAGAGATAATAAAACAGAATGAAAAAAAGTAAAAAGAGGAACTAGGACCCTGACTTGTTGATTTCCCTCAGATACAGCACCATGCCGTTCTGCAGGCGGATAATGCTCGACGCCTCCGCTGTCTGCTCCTCCTCATCCTCTGCGCCAGGGATGGTAGGGGGGTGGTGGGTATCGGTGATTTCGGCAGGTTGTTTGCGGTCGTAGCTAGTAACATCCGTCCCCACATGTCAGCCGCCACACACACACACACAGAAAAAAAATAAACGCCACTATCTACCACCACCACCACCACCACCACCAACCTCACCCGGGGACTCTCGGGGGCTTACCCATAAATCTCACTAACATCGACAATGACATCGATGTAGTCACTACAGATCTCGTAGCTCTGGACATCCACGGGGCTCGAGTCGGTCGCAATATAGATCTTGCTGAGCACGTCGAAGAGGAAGGCCTTCTCGATGCCGCTGTTGCTGCACAGCACGTTGAGCAGGTTCTCGAGCGTCTCGAGCTGCGGGATCAGCTTCTGGATGACCTTGCTGAAGGCCTCGAAGACGGAGTGGTCGTAGATGCTCGTGAGGTGGTACGACACCTGCACGTTGTCGAGCCCGTTGTCCGAGAGCTCGTCCTGCGTGCGCTGCATGATGTCGCGCTGCGTGTCGAGCTTGTACTCGTCCGAGAGCCCGTCGACCTTGTGGATGAACACCTCGATGTTGATGGCGGGGTACGAGCGCTGGATGGCGATGATGGTGGCGTGCAGCCGCGAGAGCGGGTCCAGGTACTCGTCCTGGGCGTCAATCACCCAGATGAGCGCGCCCAGCTCGCCAAAGATGTGGTCAAAGTCGAAGGTCGGGTCGAGGAAGTTGAGCTGGCCGGGGAAGTCCCACACTTGGAAGTCCATGAAGGAGCTATATGGGCCGAGTTTTAGATTAGCAATTGGGCCCCCTACCACCACCACCACCACCACCAATGCAGAGAGCCCTTACTGGATAGGATCCTTCTGTATGCGAGTCGTGGACTCGAGAAAGAGTGTTTCCGTGGGTGACATCTTATGGAACACCACCGAGCTAATCGACGATTTCCCACTCCTACAGCACACACACACACACCAGATATAAGCTTCCGCACTACCACACCCTCCCCTTTGCTTCTCTCCCCCGGCGGTCCACACAAACTCTCACCTTCTCTGCCCCATCAGCAGCAATCGCGGGCGTCTCCCGCCCCCCGCAAGGCCCGTGTAGCCCTGTATGCTCGATCCCGGACTCATTGTTCCGTACTTTCCATTCACACCGCCGCCGCCGCCGCCGCCGCCGCCGGCTCCTCCTCCAGTAGTGCTCGGGCTGCCCGGTTCCTGCAGAAAGCGTTCCAGTGAGTAACTATTCCTCCCGCGCACTTCTTCTTCGCCCTCGTGGTCGTGGTAGCCCTCCATTATGCCCTTGTGCTGTATGGGGATGTGGATGGAGCTGCACGAGTACTCGGGCGGCGTATGGGGGTGTGGGTATGGGAAATCGTCAGATGAGGACGAGGTGGATGAAGGAGGTAGTGGAGGCATTGGAGGGGGGGAGAGTAAAAAAGACTTGTGAGTGGGATTGATATAGGCTGTGTGTGGGGGGGGAAGCTAGCTGGGGTATATGTATATAGGTAGTTTGGGGTATTATGCAAGGGATGGAGGAGGGGGGTGGGGCGTGGTCTGAATGGCCTGTCTCTGTCCCTGTCTCTGCGCTGGTCTGTCTGGAAAAGGGAATTGAGGTAAAGCAGAATGGGTGGTTTGGTGAACCTTTGGGAATAGGTTGGTAGCAAAGCTGTCTCGAATTGAATTGAATCAAAAAGGGCAGGCAGACAAGCAAAGAAGGCAAAGTAAAGAAGCAGAAGAAGAAGAGAGAAATATATATATATATAATAAAATAAAAAAATTCGTGCTCACAAACACACGTCCGTATTGATTTATATATTGAGGGGGGGGGGGCTGTATGGACGGGGGTGGGTTGTAAAAAATTATTTTCTCTTAATTTCTTTTGTGAGGAGTAAAGTAGAATAATCCGAAGGGGAGTGAAAAAAAAATTTCCCAGGGTAAAGAGGAGGAGAGGGAGAGTGAAAAAAAAAAAAAGGATGCAGGTTTGATATCAAACCAACCAGCGGGCAGGAGCGTAAAGAAGCAAAATAAGCCTGCAGAAACCCGAGGGTCTGGTTTGAAACAGAAAAGAGCTGAGGGCAGAGAGAGGAACGGGATTGACCACAAAAGCTATATACCCTGGCCTGAGCTTGGACAACGACGACGACGATCAACAAGAAAAGTTTGGCACTGAATTGATGATTGACGCGCGCTGGCGGGTATGGGAAAGCTCAGTTTCGGGTGGGGGGGGCTTCCCGTTGGTGTGGGGTGGGGGGTGTGGGAAAGGGAAAAAAGCCCGGGAATGGAAGGGGCTGTGGAAGCTTCCTTCGGCAGGCCAGCCGGAGACAGGCAGATAGATAGTATGTAGACAGATAGACAGATGGGCACACGCAGAGACAGACGACAGACGACGGATGATAGATGATGATGGCAGATGACAGACAGACAGACAGCGGCAGCAGTAATGACAATAGCAGATATGTATGGGTAAACGCGATCAATGCTTTGGAGGATGGAGGAGGGGAGTGTGCAAGTGAAAAAGCCAATTGGGAATCCCACAGGGACAATGCAGAGAGTAAAAAAAACTCTCCGCCATCAACGGGCATAAAAGAACGAGATCCCCCGGGACCGAGGGCACAACACTATACGGCTGCCATTCGCGGAAACGGATGAGGGACGGGGGGATCGTGGAGGGAGGGGGGGGTGAGAGGGAGCTGAAGGGGGAGGGGGGGAGAGTTACCATGATTGATTGAATTTCTCGAACGACTTCCTGGTAATTGTAGCACTCTCTGTTCTCTCGTTTTTCAATGTCTGCACAGTATCAATTCCCTACCCGTGGAATGAGAAAAGCGGTGTGCGACAGAAACAATTCTTTTTTTTTTCTTTCGCGTGTGTGCCTCTCTTTCTACCAACCCTTCCAAAGGATTCTTTTCCTTCCTTTCTAACCCTAGCAAGCTCTTGAATTTGTCTGTCGGCTTATGATCCTCGCGGGTTAAGGGGGAAAGAAAACAAGCGTATGTTTATTTTTTCCCTTGGTCGATATGTATAACCCTCCTGTAACTCCCGAGGTCGCAGGAAGCTGTATGTAATTCAATTGCTGGGTCGTGATCCAATAAGCCGTCGGGTGGGACGGTAAATAGCTCACTCCTCAATCCAAACAACCCGGTCTGGCGCCTCTCACTCAGCCGTCAGTTGTATAGTAGCAGTCAGGGCAAGGTGTGGTAAGTCAATCAGGGCAGGTAGGGGGGGGGGGGGGGAGGGGAGGGTTGTAGTGGTTGTGGTTGTGGTGGTGGTGGTTGGGGGGGGGGGGGGGGGGTGGGTAGAGAGTATGTGTGAGTGAGTAGTGAGTGAGTGAGTGTGAGTGTGTGGGTGAGCGAGAGAGTGTGTGTGTAGTATAGACCCAGTTAACAGGACGAAGGAGAAAAGGTATGGTAGGTGCTGGTAGGTGTATGTATGCCTCGATAGATACGCCAGAAGGGCAAAGCAGGAGGTTGTACTGCGTGCGCGTGTATGTAGTATGTGGTAGTCCCCAGATCCTGGACTCTCAGTGGTGAATGATTCGAAGATGGAAGAGATGCTTGGGTTTCAAGCGGATCCTATGGACAGGACAACGGGAGCGACGGGGGTGACGGGATGACCAAAGTGATGGGATCGGGATGTGTGTGGACTGCACGGGGGAAAAAGGGCGAGCCAGTAGAGAGGTCGGCAGATTTCTTACAGGCACAATGAACCGGGGGGGGGGGGGGGGGGGTGCGATGACGGAGATGGATGGATGTTTGTCGGAGGTTGTGAGTGAGTGAGTTGTGGTGCCGGTGGTGGGGCTATTCGAGTACTGCTACCAACTACTGCTAGGTTGTTTGCTGTTGGGCTGGTCAGAAGGGACTTGTATGAAACGGGGGTACAACGGGAAAGGCCGGTAGCAACAGTAGTAATAGAGTGAGGAGGAGGAGGAGGAGGAGGAGGAGGAAGAAGAAGAGAAGGGGTTTCAGCAAGGGGCGAGTGCCATTATTTGACATGAGTTCGAGTTCAGATTGAGTGTTTGCGTAAGGTAGGTACTCTACGCTGGGCACATCCGCGGGGGTGAGTGAGCATGTAGTCTTAAGGTCTGTATGCATATGAGCAATCGTCAGTAATATCCCGCGATCACTACATAGTACTACTTGTAACAAATACCTCCCTCAGTTACCTACGCCCTCTCTTGTCACAGCTCAGCACTCTCCTCCCACATGCGGCAAGCACACGCCAACTGGGCCAGTGGCCAGTGATCCAATCAACAACCGCACATGATACCATCGACACTCTACAATATGCAAAACACGCAGAAGAAACAAAAAACTGCATGTATCTAGGAAAAAGCACAAAAGCAATAGCATTGACATTGGCAAATTCTCTTCTGATAATAGGAATGTGCAAAGCCATCAATGTGTCACTCGCCGGCGCAATGATCTGCAGCGACCCCCAACAGCAACTACATCGCATTACATACATGATTACCTTAGACACGACCTCCATGCGACAGTGACTGCAAGACCGCAACCGAAACCGCAACCGCCATCGACTGCGCTGAGTACTCCACATCCCCACGACTGCATACATCTGAGACCGCGCGACATTGATCAATTGACCTTAGACTGCGCCCATACTGTGTTCTACCGCGCCCATACTGCGTTCTACCGCGCCCATGGCCTCCTCCTCCGCCTGCACCGCGCTCCTCACCGAGCACCTCCGCTGCACGCCCCTCACCATCATCGACGACATCATCAACACCACCAACGAGCTCCTCTACCACTCCGTCGCCGCCGTCGAGACCTACCTCCTCACCTCCGCGCCCTCCAGCCTCGGCTTCGCCCCCCCGCCCGGCACAATCCGCGACACAAACAGCGATGGCACCGAGCTCTACAGCGACGCCGAGACCGAGGAGCTCGAGAAGGGCGTCCACTCCCTCGAGACCCTCCTCGAGAGCGCCGTCGATAGGAGCTTCGACAGGTTCGAGATCTATGTGCTGCGCAACATCCTCACGGTCCCGGAGGACCTGGTGCCGTGGGTGAGGCTGGCGCATCACAAGGTATTCCCCCCCCCCCCCCCCCCCCGCGGGCGCACCGGAGGTGCAACAGGAGGACTGGCGCTGATACGGGAGAGCGAGAATAGAACCTAGAATTCAAGACCCTTCCAGCGTCCACCACCCCCGCCCCCGCACCCGAGCAGGACAGCGCCGCGCCAAAGCCCGCCCCCCCCGCGCAAGAAGCGCAGACGCGCCTGCGCACGCTCCGGCAGACGCTGCTCGCATCGCACGCGCTCAACCAGACGCTGCGCAAGGAGGTAGCGGCCAACGAGCAGACGCTCGCGCAGCTGCGGCAGCTCGTGTCTGCGTCGAGCGGCGAGAACCCGTTCGCGTTCCTCACGCCCACGAAGGACGCGGCGGCGTTTGCCGTCTCGCAGGTCGACCTGATACGGCAGCTGGCGGGCGCGCTGCGGCCGAAGTATGAGGCGTTCCGGGCGCAGGCGCAGGCGTCGAAGATGGAGGTGGAGGGTGAGGAGGGGGGCGTGGTGGGGGTGACGCTGACGCCGGAGGAGGAGAGGAAGCGCTATATTGAGCAGATGACGAGGAGGCATATCGAGGCTTCGCGGGGCCTGCGGCTGAATGCGAGGGGGGAGGTGGTGGGGGGTGAGTTTGATGGGGTGGTGGTGAGGAAGGGGTTGGCGGAGGTGGAGGCGTTGGAGGCGGTGTTGGGGAAGGAGTAGGGGGTTTAGGCTAGTTTTTTTTTCTTCTCCTTTTGTTTCTCTCTTTTCTCTTGTTGTAATGAGGGAAGTGTAGAGCTTCTTCTCTTTTCTTGCGGTGACTTGGGTAAGGCTCCAGATGTAGTAATTTCCGGGTCCTTATAAGCAGGCTTGGCTAGGATATCTTCTTTGCCTTGACTTGGTTTGGCTTAATTAGGTAGATAGATGTATTTCTATAACTGCTCGGCGGGGTATCAATCCAGCATGTGTCATTCCCTGCTACTAAAGAAGAATCCAGCGCCCCGAGTGACACCCTATGACCCAACTTCACAAGGGGGCAATTCACCGCCAGCACTAGAAACGATAACGCCCATCAGAATACAGGAATCCTCTACCAGTGAGAGTCAATTGGTAGTCACTCTCCATATCCATATCCAAGCTGCTGCCCCGCCATAGATTAAGACCACCGTACTCCACCACGCAAGTATCCTTTGAAAGTTCATCCGCCGGGCGTGTCTAGTTGTGGCTATACACGATAGATGTTAAGTTTATATTCCACGAAGATATGGCATATAGTAAGTGAGATAAGGAAGGGTAGTGTGAACATAGGGTAACCATATCGAGTGAGATCCCATGACGCATTTTACACAAACGTACCCCGTTCACTTACTTGCCCATTTCTGCACATACCATGGCTAGCCAAGAATTCTATCTCGAGATTCCGAATTAAACCGCCACGCCTATAGACAGCCTTAGGAGTGAGCAGCTGAAGTTTTCTATGAGTTGGGAGTTAGCTAACATTGTCTGCTAAGGGAGTAAAGTAAGTTTGGTTATTCGGCTCGAAGCAGGTAGCTGACTACATGTAACTATCGAATAGATCGTCTCTTTATCAGCGCCAGCGCCAGCACCAGCACCATCATTACATAGTACTAGCTAGCACCATCATATAATCAGCATCACCGATCAGTTTCACCACGCCCCCGTCGACTCCCCACAGCATGAGCTTCGCTGCTTACTTCCTCTCCGACTCGAGGCGGTAATTCAATAGAGTCTCTTGACATATCGATAATCACGGCACTTGTCAAAAGCGGCCAACTTCACAGGCCGAAACCATGAGCATCGACGATTCATTTATGCCGACTCCTCATGATCAGAGGACGAATGCATTCTATCAATGACGCGAATTCATTTGTGCTTCTAGTTCCCAAAACACTGGCGAGCAATCACCCATTATCCAATCCACTCTCTATAGAACGCAGCACATACGCATCTAAGATAGTACACGCATGGGCACATTGGGTTTGAAACACGCAGAGCTGTGTGCTAATATACAGACAGGACACTAAACAGCGCCTAAAACAATAAGAATCTATACCGTCTTCGACCTTGAGTCGAGTGCCGTCATACCCAGCGCCTTCTCTATCAGTACTACAACCGGAAGTCTCCCTCTCCTCGACGCACAATCATGAACGCTCTTCCCGTCCTTCTTCCTCGCCGACGCATCGGCCCCCTTCTCGAGTAGCATCCGCACTACCTCCTCATGCCCCTCTAACGCCGCAACATGTAGCGGTGACTGGCCGAGGCTATCACGTGCCTCGATATCTGCACCGTTCTCCAGGAGCACTCTGAATACACCCCGGTTTCCAGCATATGCCGCTGTGTGCAATGGTGTTTTCCCGTCTTTGTCTCGGGCGTTGATGTCCGCGCCCTTCTCCAGTAATACTCGAACTGTGTTCTCATTCGCGTAGCCTTCGGAAACTGCGATGTGGAGAGCCGTGTTCCCGCCGTTGACTGGCGCTAGAACGTCAGCCCCGTTCTCTATCAGAGCTCGTAACGTTGCAGGCTTTCCGGCAAGGGCTGCCCGGTGGAATGCGGTCCATCCATAGCGGGTGGAGGCCGTGACATCCGCTCCATGCTGTATCAGCAACCGGACTACATTTTCCCTTCCAGCATACGCGGCATAAAACAACGGTGACCAGGCAAGCATGCTTCGTGCGTTGATATCAGCCCCGCGCTCGAGTAGAAGCCTAACGATGCCCTCATGCCCCCTGGATGCCGCTAGATGTAGTGGCACCTCTCCTCTATGGTCTGGAGTGGAGATGTCAGCCCCCTTCTCTATTAGCAGACAAACAATCCTCTCGTGCCCCCTAGAAACTGCTGTATTGATTGCCAGATTTCCTGCGGATTTGAAATCGTCCCCATTCTCAATCATCAACTGGGTCACGGACTCGGAACCTTCAGAGATCGCTAGGTACAAGGCCGAGCCTTCAAAGTCCGTTTTTGAGAAATATGCTCCGCTCTGCAATAATAACAGAGCTATATTCGCATGTCCTCCTGCCGCGGCCATGTGTAATGGTGTTTTGCCGTTCATATCAGCGATAGATGGATCTGCCCCTTGATCGAGTAGAAGCTTGACTACTGATTCATGACCCCGGAATACTGCAAGAAATAGTGCTGTCCGTCCGTTGAAGTCTCTCGCCGAAATATCAGCGCCATTTTCCAGTAGTAATCGGGCAGCCGTAACGTGTCCAATTGCACAAGCTATGTGCAAAGGCCTTTTTCTTCCCGCAAAGTCAAACCTTTCGGTTTTGCTGTCCAATTTGAAGAAGGAGTTCCAATAACAGTAGATGGAGCCTGGCCTCCCAAGAAAATCCATAACCATGTCCGTTGTCAAGTCCTCGCAAACCTCGTGCAGGTGAACGGACAGATTTTCGACAGCATAACAAAAGAAAGGGTGCGAATTGATCTCCGGGGTAAGATATTTAGAATTGGAAAACATATCGAAAGAAAGAAATGTAGTGCATGCCATGGCTACCATAAAGTCTGCGTTGTCTGGAATGATTAGTTTCTTTAGGAGGTATTCATGAACAGTATAGTGCGCAAGTTTGATAGAATTGCTCTGATCGACCACAATCAGACCGGCGCAAACATCTAGCAAAGTTGTGCAGTCTGGCAAATCGAACTGATCAAGCTCATATAAGCCTGGCTCTATGGATACGGCCACCCTGATGTCCTCAACTGTAAGCGTCCGCCTGGCTTTTACCAGCCAGGAAAGGACTTTTATTGCCAAAACCTCGCAACTTTTGGCTTGTTTGCGAACGTGCTGCATAGCTCTGTCATAAGTAGGATCCAACGGCCTCTCTCCAGAAGAAGAGCTTCTGATCTTATCAAGTTCGGCCAATAATCCTCTTGTTGTGGTTTGCTGGCAAAGATAATTGATATGGAAACGGACAAGCAAGAACCTACAGCAGCTCATTAAAGTAGTCCTGGATCAGCAAGAACCTACAAGAGCTCAGCCAAGCAGTAGTGAACGAGCAAAAGCCTACAGCAGTTTAATAAAGGCAGTTGGGTACTCACATTCCTTTTGCGCACTCTGCGAGTTCAGTGACGATTCTGTCCCTGCATCTGCCTTGATTTACGAGTCGTCTTGCCCGTGGATTCTCGTCGATTTTCTCCAGAATATACATTTCGACGTCTTCATCTTGGGCCGAGATTTCAATTTTTGCTGTGTCACAAAAAGAGTCTTGGATATCCTCTGGATATTGACGGCTAGTAAGAAACAGATGAATCTGGTCTGAGTCTTTTGCCATACGATGAAAAAGAGGGAGCAGCTCCTTGCGTTGACGTTCTGGGTGACATTCATCGAGTGCGTCAAAAACAAAGAACACACGGTTGAATAGCCTAGATACTGCCAAAAGAGCGTCATACAACTCCATAATATTGGGTCTCTTATCTTGCCGCTCCAGTCTTCGATGGAGAGTCTCGATTTCTGTGGGTAGATATGAGATCTGAGTTGCAAGTTGCTTGAGTAGGCTAGCAATAATAAGGGTAGGTTTTTGTTGGTTTTGCTCCTGGTAGTCGAAGTAGATATATGCCAGCCCATAATTCTCTGTCGTTGATTCGCATTCGATATAATTGATCACAGCAGAGCTTATGAATGTTTTCCCTGCCCCCGCTGTTGACAAAGGTCAGGTCAGCGTGTCCGGTAACGAGAATACTGAGCAATCTTAAGGGAGAAAGGTCAACATACGGATACCGTAGCCCCAAAGCAGTGAAGAAGGTAACTCTGCTTCGTACCATTGTCGGAATTCGGGCGCTTTCAAAAACCACTGACCCGTGTTTTTCTGCCTCAGATTACTAACTTCAAGGTGCTTTGTATCAAAGCTATCCTCATATAACCAGTAAAGAATCTTCTTGCGCTTCTCAGCTAAAGGTCAATGGCTATTAGTCCCGAATTCTGTGTATCTGATATGGGAAAGCTATAGTTACCTAATCTAACAGATTCATCTCTTTCTCTCCATCGCCTCTGAGCTACAGACTCTTCTTGCACATATGTCTTAATCTCTCGAGATACCAATCTATTTATCGGTCAGCTAAGCTTCCTCTAACCACGGCCGGTAAACCTCACATTTGGTCCGTATTCAACGCAAAAATAAAGAAGATCTTGTGTCTCTCGATCCTCTCCACCCATTGCGCAGTCTCCTTCTCTCTCAATGGCCATTTTAGCCGGTCGATAATCCCCTTCATCTTCAGCTTCTCCAGCAGCTCTTCCAGCTCCCTCGCACAAGTCTCCAGCGGCTTTTCCAACATATGCAGGACCGAGCCGGGGGTTTCGCTATTCTCGTCTGTGTGTACTTTTAGTGTAACTATCACATTGCTGAGAGCCTGGAGCTCGTTGGTGAGGTCCCGGAGGTCTTGTGGAGCTCTCTTGACACCACTAATGTAGCTATAGCTGATCGATACTGTCAGTCCTGCGAGCTGGATGATACCGATGAGACTGGCTGCAATCCCGATAGCTTCTGCCATGATTCTTCGGAGATTTAAGACGTATAGGGAGCTTGCGTAGATCTAAGGGTAACTGTGTGCTTTTCAGCAGCTAATTGCGGGGTTATCAGTTTGTGAAACCCTGCAATTTGTCTAATCTACATTGGAGCGACGATATATGATTGCGGCACATCCCGAATTACTAGCATTTTGAACCTTTCAGCGAGTGGTATAATAATTATGGGAATGTCTACGAGGAGAGGATTAATCTGATATTTATCACGTTCAGGTGAAATGTCTCATTTGATAAGGACCCTTGCCAGAAGCTGCAGGCTCAGAATTCCAGGTTTTCATTTTGCAAGAAGCATAATATTAGTAGATCAAACATCTCTTGTCTCAAAAGCAATCTCAAATTCCATTCAAGTGCCAGATTTTATTAAAACCCGTTATCATAGCAAATCCTAAAGAAGAAAACATAATAGAGGAACACAACCTTAACCATACGCTATTGGCCACAATGTGTTCTTCTCTGACCATCGTCTAAGGCTTCTTCTGTTTCTGGCAGAGCTCTCTGATCGGCTCTCCGCTTATATCTGGATGTGTGACGATTCCAACATAGAAATACTTGTCGTGGTTCCTAAAGAACTGATCCCAATGGGCAATCGACTTGACGACTTTTTCCCAAGCATCGACTCGTCTTTTCTCCCTTCTTCTTGTGAGATATCTCGCCCTGCCTGCCATGGAGCCACCCGCCTCGAGCCTTTCAATTTCAGCCTTCTCAGCCAGGTCGGTCTCGAGCTCAGCACCCTTAATGTACATCTCCTCGAGTCCACGCATATCCCAAGTCAAATCCTCGCGGAAACAGCCAGACACGAAAGCACGTGCCGCGTCACGTCCAGAGAAAAAATGGTACCCGCCGCCAGGGCCATAGGTAGCCGGGTTCGCGGTGACATCGAAGACGCTTCCGTTGACAGCAACATAGATTGGGAGTTTGGGGTCTTTGCCATCATAACGCGCGAGCTCGGCATCAGTGAGATTTAGGGGAGTGCGCTGTACTGAGTTAGTACCTATAATGTTCAGACCGAAGGAATAAGAGAACTTACAAACATCATCTTGACATTGTTCCATCTCAAAGCAGCTGGCTTATAACCCCATGTCAAGCTCTCGCCGTCGGTCACGAACCAACTCATGACACCGCTAAGTACTATAATTCCGGAGATAACGCGAAGGACATCGAGGAATGAGATTCCGCTTTGGACCTCAGACTTAATCTTTCGCTTGGTAGAGCCTCCAACGCCAGGCATGCCAGCGGTGGTATCGGTAGGTAGCGGTTTACGGTTACGAATTGCAGGGTCTTCGGATACCATATTTGCAGATTGATTGTGGATGAGGTGTGTTTACCTGTTGAGACCCGACTTTGTGGAAGAGAGGTGAGTTCTATGAGGACAGATGTTCAGATGAGGCACACGGGTTTAACTGGATTCGATACAACGGGTCTCTCCGGGGTTAGAGCTTGAATTATGGGGAGATGTCTGTCTCCCTTACTAAAAATAATCTATCTCAAGCTTCAAGCTCAAAGTATTCAAGGAACGCGGTGTTCGGGCCAATCTAAATCACGAATGCGACCACGAAACGGATGGCCGGCCTCGGGATGCCGCCAATATATTAAAAAGTCAGGGGTGTGAACACCACAACCTCGTTGAAACCACAAAATTGGGAACTCATCAGACATCAGAAAAACCAGCATAATTAGGGGCAAGAAGACAATAAAAGCTATGATCACGGATATTCTTCAAAGTAAGGGAAAGTAAGGCGGCCCCCTAACACCCATCACCATTCACTATTTGACGTAGACCCAGACGCGAGCCTGAAGCTTTCTTAAATCACAAATCCCAGACAGTTGTAAACTGCAAACTTCGAGTCACAGGTTCCAAGTTCCCCATACCATTCCAGATACCCATGAACGAACTTGTACGCATAACTTGTTTGTGTTGATCTTGTCGAACCTGACACCGATCCAGAAATCCCATTGAAATAGTACGGAACAAGAAACGCAACCCGAAAAAAAAATTGAAATTTATTTTACTTTTATTGGACCCATCCTCGTTATTATCCTACTTATTCGGCCGCGGCGACAGCACGGGCTATTGTCATCGTTAGCAAATGTCCGCCCGGTTAACCATCTCCCGGATATTCTGCCTCCATATGCCATAATCCGCAAAAGCAAGGGACCGCAAGAGGAACTCACTGTAGATTGACAACTTGGAGTGACCGACAACCTTCTTGATCACGCCCTTCTCCTCCAAGTCGGCGAGAGCCTTCCTGGCCAATGATCCGTTGATCTTCAAACGGTCGACGAGAACGGCGACAGTGATCAGACGGTATGTCTGCACATCCTTATTGAGTCTGTCCTGGATGGTCTTGTCGGCAACGACGGCGTGCTGGGCCTTGTCCTTAACTATTTTTCGGTGGGCGATTCATTTAGTGTTCGTTCAAGATAGTATTTCCGGAAAGTGAGCTGTGAATGTACCCTTTCCCTTGGACCACTTCTTCTTCTGCTTCTTTCCTCCTTGGGCAGCTGCTGGGGCCTATATTGCGAGTCTCCATCAGCTATCTATCGCCACACATCGCCACAAAGCCCCCTCTCCGCCTCCTTCTCCTCCTCCTCCAGATACCCTCCGTCGACGCTGGAAGAGATAGCGACGTACCATGATTACTGACTATATCCGGTTCGTTCGTGAAAACTTGTGTCGTGAGGAACGAAGCGCGTAGTAGGTTGCGTTGTCGTTGGTCGTTGGTCGTATTTCCTCGCTTTCGCTAGGCTGAGAGAGTAAACTTGCGGCGTAGGTGGGGAGATGGTGGTGTGGTGTGACGGTTTGCGCCAAGACACACAGTCAGGGTTCAACCCCAAAATTCTTGTTATCAGATAGATAAGATTGAGTTTTATTAAAAGTTCATTTTGGGTAAGGTTTATTATCGCTGGATTACTACAAACTTATGAGGAATAGGACACATTATTACATGCACCAATGTAATAAAGAAACAATCATCTTAAATCAGAATCAAAGCAGCAACAAAAACCCCCACTAACCAGGAAAATAACAGGAAACCCGGAACGACAGAAGCATACTTCCCCCCACTAGCTTCTACCGCCAATTGACTTGGAGCGTTGGTCCTAGTAGAGTCCTTCAAAACACCCGAAATGTCTCCTTGTGCAATACCAGAAGCCGGAGGTCTTTGCGTTTTTGTTGCCCGTGGCCCCTGAGAAGTTGTAGGCCGCTGCGAAGTCTTTGACTTTGGGGGTGCACATTGCTTTGTAGTTCCCTGCCACTTAAGGGCTCTATTTATTTCCCATTTCTTAACACAGTTGAAGCATGTATCGACCATATTCTTATATCCTTCACGGCATATGCACGGGAAGGTATCGTTATCTACCCCGGCTATGCCTATAGGCGGAGGGAGATATCTAGGGTCGGGCGGGGGAGCGCCAGCTTTGTGAGCTCCATCGATTCCGTCGCAGTAAGTAATTAGGGAAGGGATAGGAGCACAGTATCTAGGACAAGGGATAACATTATATTCATCCACACACGCCTCAATCATCGCCAGTAACATTGAGCGGTGGGTAATATCTTTATCTGGATGTTCAAACAAACATTGGATGCACCCCGGAGCGTCTTGCAGGAATCCGCCACTATTACACAGGCATTGTGGATCAAAGGCTGCATTAGAGGCCCTGTTAAGAACAATATCTTCTCCCAAACCACAAGTAACTAATGATGGCAGCAAGATATTAGCCTCGTATGTACTGGCACAGAACGCTTTATTGTAAGAAATACTTACATGCCCTCTTATAGGCACCATCACAATCACTGCTACATTCCATAGGCGGTGAAGTCAGATTAAAGACATTTCTTTGAACAAGTACATTTGGTACAAAATCAACAGTGGGGCTGTTGCTTTTATCCTGCTGGAAGGTTACAGCTGTAGCCAGGGCCGTGACGGAGAGAGAGTAAATAAAGCCGTTGAAATACATGGTGGTAGTTCTGGTATCCTCTTGCTATTTGTGTTGTAATGTTTATGAAGTATCGGTACTAAGCTTTGAGATTTATGTACATGCATGCAAACACCAAAGAGAAACCTGTCCCGAGCCATTACATCATCTAGACACCTATCCACGAGCACCACCCCCAGTCATTTAATTATTAAGTCCCATCATGTCATCAAATATAAATTCCTACTCGTAGCCGTGAGATATTAAGGAATTTGGTATGTGATAGTGATACATGCAAGTTTGATCTCAGTATAAAAACCTTAAACAGTGTGGTAATATATGAGTTGAGCCGGCTGATAGGACATGCTGCACAATATGGAGTCTCGGGGTTTCTCATGTGCATATAATAGAGAAGGGGAGGGGGTTGGATATGGAAATACCAATAATGGTAGTAGCCGTACCGGTAGCGGTCAGTACGATGATTCATCATGATATTGACGCTGAGGATGATGATATCAATAATGATAGCTTAGTAACATTACCTGAGTACGCCTTGTGCTCATCTCTTATACCGTACCTACATAAGCTTAAGGGTCCCGGGTACTGGATGTACTGCTACACGTCCTCATACATGTATCCTATGTACAAGGGGGTATCAAATAGACGTGTAGCTCTAGCTCAAAAGAATAATTTGATAAACGGGCATTACATAATGAAGCATCTCCGTGCCGGGTACGAATACTGATAGTAGGCCGGATCCAGCTGTGGCTGTGACCCCCATAGATATTCAACCCCCAAGACCAGGCTGCTGTAATCAATTCTGCCGTGGTAATACCGCTTTCTTAAATTGGGTATAATCAGTACCAATGAAGGGCCCATGCATGGTTAGGAGTAGTGCCGGCTCCTACCAAACGAGTATTGGTAATAATGCTGTAGTACTCCAATATTGAATTGATTAAGTACATGTATGTATACAGCACTATGCAGTATTCACATCTCTACATGTAGTTGCCCATCCTTGTATTCCCGTACCCTAGTAGACCGACAGAAGATATGAATAGTGTAAAACGAACGAATTTATTGACTCCTAAATCAGAGATTCTATGCTATCCTTTCATATTTCCCCAGAATCCTCTTAAGCGTCGTCCAATCTTGCAGAGCAGCCGTCACAGCATCCCTTCCACCTCACCTCAGATTCCGCACTGCTGTGTATTAAGATACCATCCTGCCTTAAGACCTTCGACATCTTCACCTCCTCCTCCCATGCTCTCCAATTGGCGCGTGAACTATCGCGATCGAAGTATTTGAACCACAGTTGCGACTCAAAATCCATCCATCCAGCGTACTTTTCCGTATCGTGAGTGTGCCATTTCCAGGGACGAGTGCAATCTCCAATCCAGATCCATCTGTGTCCCTCGGGAATCAACGGTCCCATACCGGCCTTTCCACTTATAAAATCTCGCCCCCAGGTATTTGCTACCATTACTGCAACTGCAGTAGTCTGGACATCGTAAAGGTGGCCAAGATGAATGCCGAAAGTTGATCCGAAGATTGGCCATGGAAAACTCCTTTCAGCGATTTCTTTATTGCATCTGCGACTAAACAGGCGCAATGCTTTCAAGTTCTGGAAAGCTGACAAAAACTGACTAATTTCTTCCCAGGGACCCCAGACATTAACGGCGAGTTCACGCAACTTCCCTCCACGCTCTTTCCACCCCTCAATTGAATTAATATCTTCACTTGTGCCGCCTGATCGGGGTGCGCAAATGACTTCTTCCACTACTAAAACCTCAAGTGTAAGTAAGTGACGCTTAGATATAGTGTCAAAAACCTTATGGATGCCCCCAATATCGATTCTATCAGATATTGATGATGAGTCCGTTCTATCAGGATCAAGAACATATAGTTCTTTCAGCCCACGACAATGATCGAGGAATTCGTTTAAATAACCGATCCCACATTCAACCACGAAAACCTTTAAGTGTTGCGGTTGACGCAACCTGAATTTTTCTGCTAATATATCGATAGCTTCAAAGGTATATGTTGTACAGAGCCCTTGTAAGTCTAAGGCGGTGATGTTCTCCCAGTAGGGGTAAGGGCTCGTTTTATCATAGTTAAATTGCCATTTTGTTGGACCAAACTCGAGAATGACGTTTATGTCCACAAGACCCAACCTGCGGACCCTCCTTCTGAACTCTTCCGAACGTGGAAAACATGTATCCCACATATCACTGACACTGGACAGAAGTTCAGGTGCACCAAATGGGACTTGCTCATTTTCTAAAAAGTCCCACCATCCAGTATGGGCTCTCATTTCTATCCGTTTCAATCTCCTTCCAGGCTTATTAGAGAGGAGACAATCTTTGACGACGCGTTCTATTTCGTCTAACCTGTCTCCAATCATAATTCCTAATACGACAAGTTCCTCCAGATTCTTGAAACCAACCAGACCATGTAGATGGGGCTTGTATTCACTGCTGGATTCAACGGCTTGGCTAGGACCGTAGTTGCCAGGGTCAAAAGGGTCCCAATCCTCAAAGTTAATTGTCAAACTAGTTAAGTTTGGCATGTTTTTCAGGGCATCTAGTAATGATGCCTTCATACCCTGCGCGAGATTAAGGCTTAGATGACATGAAACCTTTTTTTGACGTATAGTGATATCGGATCCACAATAAAGAGTGTTATAGCGTTGAGGATTGTAGCTATATGTATTTAAAAATTGAAATAGCAGGGCGTGGTAAATTATTAGCTTTGTTCTAAATTTTCGGCCAGTTGGACCAAACAAAAGAGATAGGGTGGAGATTTTGTATACCTAAATTTCTCGAGCATTGGCATGCTTTTTAACAGATCAACGAGAGTTTCACTTAACGAGTGGTAGGTCAAACACCCCTCCGGCCTCCACACAAGGTCTTTAACTCCCTCGGGGCCAAATTCCCCAGCCTCATACACATTGAATCCCTTTTTAAATCGAGGGAGAGGGTCGGAGGTGAAGACTACTCTCTGAGCTTCCCATTTCTCAACCCTTAGCTTCCTCACGTAACGGAGAAGATGCGGCTTTTGATACATGGCCATCGTTGAAGATGGCTCACAACGATCATGATGAGCGCCGGGAGGTTCGATTCTGCGTCTTTTCGCAGACGGTGGTTCAAATTCAATTTTATTTGGGATGTCGACGGGGGACGGAGAGATTGGTAATAGGTGGTCGATGGGGATGAGCTTTTCGTTGGTTGTAGCCTCATGTGCGAAGTGCGGCGAACGAATAGAAATTGCTTTGTAGAGATGGGGGAGCGCCAGATTATAAAGGGTTCGGGAGGTCAGAGCCAGTGAGTATAGATCGCTAGGTGACTCTACGTAGTCGAGGATGTCATCCCAGGTATCTATCGAAAACTCTCCGAAAGATTTTGATTCGAGTGTATGCAAATCATCTGCGTCTTCATGATTTGGTGGAATTAAGGCCGGCTCCTTGGGGATGCTGCCAGAGGTATGCTGTTTTGAAGCCATTCCTGAAGTCACGTTTGAAATGTGTAGAGAAGTGGGGTGGGTGAGGACGAGCTGCAAATGTGTGGACCTTAACCGATAAACACGAGACAGTTTAGGGTTATGTGGGGGAATAAAACAGTCGCTCTAGGGCAAAACCTACAAATTATTTATGTAGCCGTGTACATACCGGTAGGATGTATACATGTAGTGCGTTAGTGGATACATACATGTATCGATCCCCGAGTGACGATACGTGTGGTAGTAGGCTCATGTTACGCGTACGATGATGAACCATTATGGCCGTAGGTCCAGCTTACATGTAACGGATAACCGGAGGTACCCCTCTCTTTACGGTGGGCTTAGAATCCCTATGCCATCCCCGCGAGTGAGTGTGCTATCAAACCCTGACTTGAAAGCTACAGGTGAGTTTGTATAAATCACCTACTTATATCTGTCGTATATTTGAAGATGAATTCGAATCCTAAATATGTCCAAGTTGAGGTGATTAGCCATAGTTAGTGTGATTCACGAGGCTACTCGAGGCAAGTAGAGGAATGTGTCTCAAGGTTTCTCTGCCTCGTATAGTCCATGCCTTTGAGTGCTGAATATATGCCACTAACACTATGATTACCTAAACCTCGAGGAGTTCGAGGCGAGCAAGAGGGTTTGCCTCAAATATGCTAACCTCATCGACCTTAATGCCTTAAGCTTCCTCGAGGCGAATCAATGCTTCGCGGACCACAGTAGCCATGGTACAATCCAGTGGTGTATCTATATGTATTTAGCACAAGACTGTGGTTAACCGTTAGATTTAGATATTTGTACTTATATGCACGCATGTAGCTGCAAATCAGTCTTGTAAGGTTTCTGTGGCTCAGACTTGCTCTATGAGTGCTATAGCTGAAGCCTTTCAACTGATAGCTAAACACGGACCGCTGGACTGACCTTGGTTTAGATGCTAAAGAGCGTTGTTAATAATCAAGAGAGTAATGTAAGAAAGTGAAGAATTATAACGGCTTGGGTTTGCAACACCCCGCTTTCGGGAGTGTCCGTTGAGTTAGATTTGCCCTCCGGTGCTAGGGCTCTGCTGTATTGTTAGCAATCTCCCGCGCATTGATGTTTCTTGAATGTTTCATACGCGTGTATAAGAGTAGTGCATACTAAGTAGCTAAACACTTCACATCTGCATAATAAACATAAGAACATTGTTTGAGCTCTAGCTAGCTGTGTATGTGTATATCGTAAGTCGTTAAGTACCCGGAAACCCGAGGTTTTGGAAACCTTGGTTGATCACGGGAGATCACTCATGCACGACGGTTGCTCCACAGGGTTAGGTCTGAGGGGCGCCGGGCTAGACATGGCATCTGGGTCATCTCTCACATGCAAGCGGACAAGCGTTACTTGGCGCCAAGAAAGGCTTGAACGTTGCGTGAACACTTGGGCTGGGCGTAGATGAAGCGCGGCTTAATGCTACCGATCATCACCAGACCGGACAGACATGGACACAAGCCCGGGGGATCACAGACACGGAGAGCTAGGTACATACCTCTTACGGTGAAGTTGAGAAAGCGAATACAATAATATTCAAACCATCCTTCAAATCTATTTACCTACCACACATATACATACAACACCGGAGAAAGGGATCTCAACAAAGGGAGAAGGAAGGAACTGTGAGAAGGTGTCTCCAAGGTGCCTGGTAAGCTAGCCTCGAAGTTATTCTCACCCATATTCTGCCCCCCACCCCCCTCAATATACTAACACTCTGTCCTCACCCCTACAAGATCTACCAATCCAAATGGCCATCCCATACACGCGACGAACGCCCTCCCTCCCGTCAACTGAGTCCACCCTGGCCCCTTCGCAAGTACAACATCAACCCTCCTCCTCCACGCTCGCAAACTCCCACACATCTCCCCTAAGAGCATCCCCTGGATCATCGTCACGGAGTAGAACCATATCGAGCGCTTTCTCACTCGGAAGGAAACCTACAAAATCTCGGAAAGCAGGCGGATTCCTTCTCGATACTTCTACCGCGAATGATGGGGGTGAACGGGAGACACATAAAGATGCGAGGGAGTTTCAGGGAGGCTATGGACATCGGAGATTAGGAACTGGAATATCCAGTCCGGAGCCGTCAATGAGAGGCTATAGGGAATCGATGGCACAGGCGAACGAAGAGATAGTGACGGAAGATAGCGATACAGCGAGAATAGTCTCACTTGCTTTAGCGAGTGGGGCTACTCGGAAGGTTGAGTCCAGCAGAATAGCGGCACAACACAGGAATACTTCTAACAATATGTGGGCTCCTGAAATTGGTAACGGTGTAGGTGATGGGAGGGATCGGTGGCTCAGCGCGTCTTCGACAATGTTTGAACAGCCAATACATCAAGGAAATATCCATGGGAAAGACCGTGCAGTTTCTCCGAATCGTGGGTTCTTAATGACCAGCAGTATAGATACACGGCGCTCCGTCTCAATCGGCGGCCACAGTTCTGGAAATGGTTCCCGAAGATTGTCACCTTTAAATCCTTCATCCTCACCCCCACCTGCACCAGGGCCAATGAATCCGCGACAAAGTTATCCTAGCCCGCTATCGCCTTTACCATCAGGTTTCCCATATCAGCAGTTGCAAAAACAACGAGGTTTGCAGGAACAGCAGGAGCTTCGCGAACTACAAAGACAATATAAATTCACCGAAGCTACAATCCAGCGGACTTTAAAGGCGAAGCGACAACTAGAACTCTCAGATCTCTACAAGAGACTACTAGAAATCTATCCGTCCACTGATAGTCCACAAACAGGCTCGGCAAGGTACGGTAGCGTGGGCTTGAGCACCGGAAGAGTCTATAACCCTCTCATGTCAATAAGAAATAAAAGAATTAGGAACCGAGAACGGATTCAACTAGATCTTTCTTCATGGGAAGATCCGGGTGCGGTTGGTCAGTGGGTTGAGGATGTAGCGGTGGCCGTTCACGACTCGATGGAGGCTGGACACGTGAGACCACCGAGACTACCGCCTCCGCCGCAGCCAAGTATGAGTGTTACAAAAACGAAAAGGTCACGGTTAGATTGGGTTATAACTCCGCAAGAATTGCTCGCAGAGTTCTATTGGATCGAAGAAGCGGATCGATTGCGGCGGGAGGAGATGCAAAGGAGTGATGAAAGAGCAGAGAAAATACGTAAAGAACAAGTTAAAGGCAGTGAGAGCCATACGAGTCTCAAGAGCTTACTCGAGAAGGAGCATAAGAAGCATAGAGGCTCATTCGAGCTCACTCTTAAGAAGCGGAGTTTGCGGAACTTAGAGGATGAGGGTGTAGACGGTCCTACTAAAAAAGACAGTAAGAGAAAGCCGAAACAATCTGGAGAGTTCCATCGTTCATTACTACAACTTGGATCCCATCGCGATGGGAGTGAGGACCTTGCGTATTCAAACCCGCCCAGTTCATCTGATGAAAGTGGACATAGTAGTGAGAGTGAGGTCGATTATACTTCGGAATATTCAGACTTGGAGGTCGACACATCTGGGCCTGAGATTGACGCTAAGGCAAAACGAAAACACCATCGTCGCCGTCGAAAGCTAGGAGACATCATAACCGGTGGGAAACATAGCAAGAAAAAGGCGAAAAAGAAACGGGGCGATACATATATCTTAGATGCCGATGAACGGCGGAGACGGCAAGAGCAGGAAGAGCTGGAATGGATGGCAGAAATGGGAGGAAGGATGCAGGATCCTATTGTAAGGACTTATTCTGCAGATGAGGAGTATGACTCTACTACTGGGAGGAATGGAGATCCAAGGAAACAAGATCATTCAAGGATGGCGGCAACAATGACGGGAATGAGCCTACCGACTACACTTGGGGGTAGCAAGAGTTCATTAGAGAGATATGGGAACATCACAGCACTGTCTGTAGCAGGGAGGAAAAGTGTCGACTTTGCTGAGGTTGTTGTACCAAGCATTGCAATTTCTTTAAGCCCACCAAGAATCAAGGTCAGGGATGAAGGGTATGACACTGATGGAAGGGGGAGGGCCAAGAAGAAAGAAGATGAGGGCGGGAAAGAAGAGAAAAGAAAGACAAGCCCGGCCAAAAAGCTCTTGGAGAGGGGCCAGGAGGCACTCGTGAAAGCACGAGAGGGCAGTCTAGATCGGCGCAGGGAAAGTTTGGATATAGACGGTCCAGTGCACAAAGGAACCCTCAAAGACAAAGAGAAGGAAAGCAGAAAAAATCGTCTAAAGGGCCGTGTTGAAAAGATCCGAAATGAGGTGGGCACAAAAGTTGACCACTTTATCTTCAAACGAGACCCGGGCGGATCGGCACAACCTAGCCCTACAGGCTCCATATTTGCAGAAAGTGTTGGCTCCAGGAGTGACGACGATAGATTTCGCCTGTCCAGGGAAAATACAATTTCAGCATCGGAACCGGAAGACGAAGGAAGGAGGTCTGGGAGACCATGGGGGAGATCCTCGCTTGAAGTTCCAGATACGAGGAAGCCCACAAGGACGACGACCAAATATAAAAGTTCATTTTCTCTGAGTGCGATGCCCAGTATAGCATCGCCTGGTATTCCTTCTTCTCCCATTCTCGCGAAATGGGCAAGCAAGTCTAGACTTATGCAGGATGACTTTGCAACATCAGACGTGGATACCGATGACGACCGAACTTCAAGACCTTCCAGATTATCACCACCGGCTCAAGAGTTCTCAAGAGATGCATCCCCAGTAGGATCAGTCATCTTCCAAGCAAGCGATAGAAGACGCATGCCCCCAATCGATCGTTTCAGATCAATAGCACTTGAAGCCATCAAGACACTACCCAAACCACCAGTTCTCGCAACGGATGACATCCCCGGCCGCAACGGCACTCCAGAAAGCGTGGAAGAACCAGTGTTCGCGACACGCAAGGAGCTTATGATGGCAAAGGCTCACCTGACCCGTTCGGGCATCTTTGCACGTGGCATCACCACGAAACGGGCACGGGATGTGGGCACGGCCACTATCGTTGCTACTGCAAAGGAACATATGCTTTCCTCTGTTGCTGTATCACGGGATATTAGCGCCGCAGAACAAGTATTTGTGTGCAAAGCGAGATCCTTCGCAGATAGCACAGTTTCGGATCTGCGAAAATTAATTGATCGTATCAGGGACGATATTGAAACCAAATTAGTGCCGAGTTTGACGAATGTCGCTGAATCAGCTGACGAGTTGAACGAGGAAATGACAACAACATGTACATTGGCTGTTAAGGGGATCAATGATCAGGTTGCTGCGATGGCTAGGAGGAAACGGCGGCAGTTGAGATGGATAAGAAGGGGGGGCTACGTACTATTAGAGTGGGTAGTTCTGGGAGTGATGTGGTGGGTATGGCTAGTTGTAGTCGTGTTGAATATCTTCAGAGGTGTTTTTAGAGGAACTATTGGGGCTATTAGATGGATCCTTTGGATTTGAACTTGGCCGGGTAATGGATCTGGATGTTGGGAATTCCTTTTGTCGTTTTTCATTTGTATTTGGTTTATTTGCTTTGTGGGGGGCGTTCGGAAAGGGTGTTATTATACCTGTTTTTGTTTTTGTTTATCACTTTCTTTTGTTTTGGGTATTAGCTAGCCAGCTGTTCCCAATGTTTAATACAAAGGGTGGGAATTGTAGTGTAGATGGGCGAGTTGTAGATAGATGCGTTACCAGTAATAGCTATGCCAGGTGCTTAGCTGAGAATTACACAAGAGGTATAACTAGATGTGTACTTTGGGGCCACAAAATTCAGTAACGGATCATCAATACAGTCGTTCGCCGATATAACGAATGCCAAAAAATCCACAAATTTGCTATAACGAACGGGTTTTGGTGATCCGAATCTAAATTTCACATAGAAACTTGCCTGCTATACCGAATAATCTGCTGTATCGAACGGAAAACTTTGGAATATGCACGTTCGTTATATCGGCGGACGACTGTACATTGGCCCTCTTAAACAAGACTAGGGCCGAACATCAAAGTTGCGTAAAAGTTTATAAATTCTTGGCAAAATTTCCTCTTTCCCCTAGGTATTATTAGTCGATAGACTGTGCACCTAGCATGCTATTTGGCTGCTCGAGGCCTTCGTTCGTTTGGTTGCTACTGGTTTTAGTAGGCACGATAAATCAAAGTCATTTGGACCTTTTTGTGATCAGGCAACACGAAAAAAGTCTTATGTAGTTGTAGCAGTCCCTACCACTGGGCCCTTAGAGATTCGTAGAAAGAGGTAAAAACACATTTATAAAAACCTGTGGCTGGAATAGCGGGGCTGGAACACTGTCTCAGCCACTCTCATCACGCATCACCACCCCTCTTCTTCTTGTGTTGGCAACCCCAAAACCAACCTGAACAGAAGGAGTGAAGTGTGTGTGTGTCTAACTTTGTCCTGCAGACGAGTGACAAGTCCCTTCCTCCCCCCCCCCCCCCCCCCATTTCAGTAATCTCGCCAATCACTCTCCGCCTCCCCCCGTCCTCCACCCCACACACCACACACCTTCCTCGTGGAGTCCCTCCTCTTCATACCCCTCCCCCGAAATGCCCCTCCACGGCCTCCACCACCGCTCAAATTCTAACACCAACTCTCCTGAGGCTCCCGCTTCCTCTTCCCTAATACAAGCCGCCCAAGCCCTTGCTGGGATCGGCGCCCCCAAGTCCGCCGGCAATTTCCAACAGCCCCAGCAGCAGCAACATAGCCAACAACAACAGCAGCAGCAATCCTCTCGTGGAGGAGACACCTCACTCCGTGTACAGACTTCTTCAAGCAATCTCAACGTTAATACCTCCTCGAGCGGTGGTATTACACCTATCCACTCGGGTAGCACAGTCTCCGCCGGTGGTTTCTCTGCCCCGTCATCAGCTGGTGGTGTCGGCTTCGGTAACAGTGCTCCTCTTCCGCAGAGCAGCATAGACAAGCTTCCTGCGCCATTGCAAATCCAGCAGCAGCCGACAAAGAAGAACTTGTCATTTAATTTTCCATCCCCCACGAAGTTGCCGAACCAGGGAGATCTTTACTCTCCTATAGGCGAATACTCAGGTCATAGGCCGTCAGATCCTATACAGGCCCAACAACTCTCATCGGGCGGACAGCAACCTCAGTATCAGGCATATCACGCTGCTCAGCCGTCTTCAGCTACAGGTGGCAGACCGCAAATCCAAAGCATCACTACAGCACCGGGAGCAATCCCGCAGATAGCCACAAGCAGCGGGGGCGGCATCCCAGCACAACAGGGACAGCCGTCTATGCATAGGACCAATACAACGGGCGGACTATCGCATTCATCATCAAACAAATACTCCCCGAATATCAACACAAACTTACCACGAGAAGCGGATTCCAGTCCTTCTGCACCTGGATCGAGAAAGTATACACATCCGGGAGCATTGACACCTACATACACAAATTCATCCCAGCACAGTCATTCAGGTTCCACAAGTACCGGAATGGGATTGCCCGGAATGACTACAGGTAGCAGTGCCAGTACCAGGGAGAGAGAAGATGTGGTCGGCGGTATTGGGGCGGTTGGCAATGGACGATGGATGAGCCCGTACGCACTGTATGCGTTGGATTGGTGTAAATGGCCTGTTAGTAATGGAGGGTATGGAAGGGTTGCCATGTGCAGTTATGCAGAAGATAGCCATAATTACGTGAGCTCTCCCCTTCACACTTTTCTTCTTGTTGTTGCGCGGTATATGCGGGATAACCCGAGACAATGATATGGTGTTGGTCTTGCACACAAAACCAAATTCGACGAAGTGCACATTTAGTGTGGATTTGGTTGTGTAAAACTGCATCATGATTAGTATTGTCTCCGGTGATTAGTTGTTAAATAGTTTGCTGTATATTGTGGACCCTGGAGTTTGAAAATTATACAGCGGGTGAGCTAACGGTTATAGATCCAAATCCTTGATACCAGGCCCACTCCTGTAACTGTCAGCCACGGCGATACACCTCCTCCTGCCCCTTCTCTAGAATTCTCTAAACTCGCTGAAGCGTCCCATACATACCCAATCACCCGAATCCTTTGGGAACCTGCCAGCACCACTAAACCTCTCACTGACTTGATTGCTACCTCCGGTGACCATCTCCGTCTTTGGTCCATGCCAAATGCCCCATCAGGCACATCTTCCTCCTCGGCCACGCCTGCAGGTAACTCCATTACTCGTACCAACTCGCTCCGCGACCCACCCACACAGAAACTTACGCCTCTCGCGTTATTGTCGAACAGTAAAAGCACTGACTTTACTGCCCCTCTGACAAGTTTGGATTGGAATCCGATCAGTCCTAGCTTGATAATCACCAGTTCTATTGATACCACTTGCACTATCTGGGATATCCCGACACTAACGGCGAAGACTCAACTCATTGCCCACGATAAAGAGGTTTACGATGTACGGTTTATGAGTGGGTCCTTAGACGTGTTTGCCAGTTGCGGGGCCGACGGGAGTGTCCGCATGTTCGACCTTCGAAGTCTAGAACATAGTACTATCATCTATGAGCCCGGTGTCGGTAAAGGTGCCAGCGGCGATTCCTCAAAAGAAGATGGTGGATCGCCTGTTGGCGGCGGCGGATCTCCACCGCCATTGCTAAGACTAGCGGGTTTGTGCCCCCTGGCCTTTCAGGCTCCAAGTCATCTGTGATGTAGCTAACAAATTCCTCTATAGCTTCACCACATGACACTCACCTAATTGCAACATTTTCGCAAGACTCCAACATAGTCCGCATTCTCGACGTCCGCCAACCAGGTCAAGCCCTGATAGAGCTAAAGGGCCATCATAACAGCGTCAACTGTGTTGAATGGAATCCCACACGTCGCGGTATCATTGCTGCTGGAGCAGATGATTCTCAAGTTCTTATTTGGGACTTGATCAATAATCCAACTGGGCCAGCTAATACTACTCCCGGTGGTACTAGTGGTGCTGGTGGATTGGGACAGCCGAATCAAGAGAGGATACCAGTCGCGAGTTGGAGGTGCGATTACGAGGTCAACAACATCTCTTGGAGCCCAAGCGGAGCGAGTGGTGGTGGGGAATGGTTGGGTGTGCTCGGTGGGAGGGGGATTTGGGGAGTTAAGGTATAATCGGGTGCTGAACAGGACAATGATGACCAATGTTTTTATGGGCTGGTAGTACTGCTTTTTATATTGTTGGCTGGTAGGAAGTTAGCAGTTTTTTTTTTTTTTTTTTTCCCTTTCTTTATTTACTTTATTTATCGTAACATCGACATCACCACGTCCTTTTCCCACCTAGTTGGTTAAAAATTACGATAATGAGGAATGGCTCGGCTATTCTGTATTTGGTGTTTTGCTTGCCTTCTGGATTTTCCATTTGCGAGGTTATTTACGTGCATTTCATTCATTCCATCATATCTCTAGCGCGTTCGTGGTGGATTTTGGAGGATGGGGTTTAGGTTATTGTGGATGGAAGCGCTGGCGCACCTATAATTAACGAGAGTAAGGGTACGAGTATACAATAGATCCTAGATAAAATTCAAGCCGAAAATAATGTACCCTCGAGTATGTCCAGTATTGTACCGGGTGATGATATACACAAATGAAATCAATCAATAGGGGTGGTGATCACAGTTTATCACTCGACATAGACAGCTTCTTATCCAGTTGTGGTTTGTGTCATGGTAAATCACTCGGTATCGATAGATTTTGGTCAACGACCTGTTAACCGGAATTTCGATTTAGTCTATGTCTGATACTGAGTCAAACTATTGGTGCGTCCATCATTCTATTCAAAAGAATAAGGACCTCTTTTATAACCAAATCAGCACGGGAATCAGACCCGGACCGGGCGCAAATCATCGCGCTACCTAGCTGGTCGGTGCTCTGTAATACATCTTATACATATATGTATATAATATCTGCGTTAATACTATAGGGACAACTGATTTGATCCGCGATACTAGATCTTTCTAGATCTGTCCAGCCTTCTTAATAAGTTCCGGATTTTCTTAATATACCTGCAGCTCTTACCCAACAAAGAAGAACCCACACCTAAGCTATGGAAAAAGGTTGATCCTTATGATATGAGAACTACCGCGTTCTTTCCGCCGATTTGTACGGTCACTTGCACTATTTCCCCTCAAACACAACCCGGTTGCACTGAGAACCATATGATTCTGAGACCTTTTTTCGGGCAGACTTCATGTACGACCTAAGTGGCCACAACCCCTATCACGATCTTTTTTTATTTTTTATTTTTTCGAATCACCCCATGTTTTTTTTTTTGTTTGTTTGTTTCCGCGGTTCGTCTTACTGGACATTTTTGTTGGGGCACGCACGTGCTGATCTCACAGAAAAGGCTCCTCACAATTACGGGAATTCCGTGTTTTTTTTATGATTTGACGATCTATCTATGTCGACTTTCCGGAGATATATTGTTTTGCTTTTCTCTCTGTGTCTCGGAGGTGCGGGATCAACCAGAACTGATATATACACACGCAATTATTTAGTCTAGATTTCTTTATCTGTCAGTGAGGTTTTCGAGATAATTACGGGAAGGATTTGTTTGTATCACTTATCGAAAAATTCCAATAAGGAAAAAAAAAAAAGGAAAAAAAGAAATGGTGCTCTAGAGATGCAGGCGCATGCATGCATCATAATCATAATACCCATTTCCTGGATAGTCCTTCAATTGCGCAAGCGGCATGCGCATCAGTCCCGTATGGGCGAATACTTTTGGAATACCACCATATCAACTATGTCATCAACTGCATTATAGTTATTTTAATTAGCATATAAAATAAATGTAGATCGGCCCTTGCAGCTCCACCTCGGTACCCCTCATGTTTCAGTGCGCAAGACCCTCAACAGCTGGCCCGTGTGAGAAAATCTGTTAAAGATTGGATTAGGAAGACAATGTTGACTATCTCAAAGAATCTAAAATGCATTAGTTGTTATATACTATGTACGTATGGCTCGAGAAGCTATGGTGGGTAGGTGTGTAAACTTCGGCGTTTGTAGCCAATCAATCTATAGAAATTGGGAGATCTACTCCCATAATGGTACTAGCGCCTAGCCTAACGGTGGAATTTTCTCTAATTCCCATACAAAAAAGGTTCCTCTGAAGTTGACACACCCACCCCCTATGCCTTCTCGCGCCATAAGTCTCAAGAAATGCGTTGGACATGCAGATCAGATAGATATGTCATGATGAGTGATGACTCGTGATTAATCCAACTACGCTAGCCCAGAACCAATCAACGCGTCTTTAGTTCCCCCCAATCGAAAAACTGAAACAATTAAAAACCACACTATGGAGGCACAGATACATACATGTATTTAAGAATATCGTGGCTCTTTCGACCAAACAATTGTAACACATAAAAAGAACACAACGACTGATCATGATATCTCACTCACTAATGCACCATAGAGACAGCTTGGCCTTCTTGTGATAGGTCAACCTTCTTTCTCTTTGGAAAATAGACTCAATGGAGTTCATCCTACCCCTTGGGCCGGTGAGACACGCAGAATCCAGGACTTCCTATTCAAGCAAAGCCAAGTCACGTTTCCTCGAATAATAGAGCGTGGCTTAGTGATGAAGCATCAGGCTCAGTGACTTTGCCACTGAAAATCACTACTGAGATAGGAAGTCCTGGATTCTGTGTGTCTCACCGGCCCAAGGGATAGGTATATTAGTGCTTTAAAATCTCTCAGGTCATCTTCATACATAACGTGCTTCGCGTTTTCGGACTGCCTGCAGGATCATAGGAGGCACGCTCAAGGTGTAACGGAATTTCCAAAAATAACAGGATACCAGCCACAATACTGGAAGAACAAGCTTTCTGCAGTCCAATCTGGGGGCGTATCATCATAAGGTGCTGCACTGTGGTGGGACAAGATCACATGTGGATCTTTACAGAGGCTGATGCAGTCAAATCTTTGATCACGATTCGCACTAGAATTACCAGATGAACCGCTGCTGCTTGTGCTTCTGCAGATAATTGCGGCTGAATTACCTACATAAGTACAGCCTTCCTCGGAAACAAGCGTCTTGCATTAGCTCCTAAAAGCAAATCTCAATGTTGATAATCGTTCAACCTCATCACTTTTAGATCTAGAGGATTAGCCAGTCAAAGGATCACACCACGCAGGCAAGTCAGAATGGACAACTCATAAATTGGGTGGCTAGAGTTGCTTGACGCCAATTCGGCCAAAGCTCTAGACGCCTTTTATGCCAAGAGCGAAAAATTGATAATGAAGGTTGCAAGGCCATTTATAGAAAGACGGCCATCTCACCGTCGTCTGACGATAGTTCAGAGGTAGGCTTTGAGCGGACGGGTAGATGACCCTCTCAGTTGTTTACTTCAATCAAGAGACCTATAGCTGGCATTGCTTATTCCCATTTTTGGAATAGGTGGGTTGTGTCGCATCATCGTATGTAAATCATTCACTTTCCCCTGTGATTCCTCGTATCCTTCTTTACATTCCATTTAACAGGCGGGATCAAAAGGTTCGTTGTACTTATGTAGCCAGGTTCAACTTGCAAACTGGTCGGCGAGGTAATAGCTGCATACTTTGCCGTAAACATCCGATGTTGGTGATTGAAATATAGCCGTGAAGAATATTGGTTGAAAGTGCCAGCAACATCGCATTATGGTTGTTGTTGTGCATTACACGGGGAGCTGAAAGCATTTCCCCTCGGCATCCCCTGAGTCAATGCTATCCATGCGTCACGAACAGTAGTATGCATACAGACCATGAAAGTGTAAGATTTGAGCGTCAAACAATGATGATCCGTATAATAATTATCTCAGTGGCTTCTTACTTGTCGGGCGAAATGATTGTAGTTGCGCGCTTAATGTTGCACATTCTGATTTCCACTTCGCTCTTATTTCCTTGTTTCCTTCCTTCCTTATTTTTATTTTTTGTTTGGAATATCTGGCAGGGTGTTTAACGTAGGTACCTGTCTGGTGATGTTACCCTGCTGTTATTGGGCTCAAAACTGAGATTGAGAATCGTGCCACTCATGCATCCCTTCTGCACTCGTTGCTGTTCCTTTCGATTCATATGCCTGCTCATTCTGTTGTCCTCGTCTTCTGCCGTTCACCTACTCGCAAGGTGTACGTGTGTTTTTTCCCCTTTGGCCCCGCTCGGTAAATGGGGATTATATCAAGTGGCTCGTTGTACTTTACATCGCTGATGTTGCAGGAACTAAAATCAACACCAACTGTTGTCATTTTGTATAAAAAGGGGTATGTACTACGTACTGGTAGGCATCTGTCCAGATCCTGGATCGCTGGTGTGGCCAACTGCAGTCATCAGGGGAGATTTAATCTATGAAGACGGGAGCTGTAGTCGAGTATGTAGAAGTATGCATATGAATGATAGATATTTGAAAAAAGAAGGAGGCTCCTTCGGGAGTTCCCAAAAAGAAAAGAAAAGAAAAAGAAGAGAAGGGCGAAATCCCCCGAAATGCATGGCATGTGAATTAACGTGGGGTGTGTCTCGGATCCCTTAGTAAACTTAGCGACGTTAATCCGAACGACACCTCATCCTGACAACGGGATGCCAGCTTCCCCACACATTCCATACCACGACACACAAGGCTTCTTGCGATGGCTGTCTAACCAAATATGATCGTTGTCAGCAACTGTTGTCCAGAACTACGCGATGCAGACACGGTTTCATTTGCTTTCCAGATGTTGCGACATACGGGGGACCATTAAAGCTAGGATGATTCCTCGGCCTTATGAACCCCACGCCTAAAGGGTGCACAATCCCTCCCGCAGATCATTTGCACTTGGCCGGGGCTTAGTATCCACCGGCTATGATATTTGTCGATAAACGCGGCTCATAGATCATAGCTGGATCAAAAATCACGGCTGCATATGCATAGTGATCTGGAGACTGCACGCAGTATGATGGCAGATGTCAACGCTGGATAAGGCATCGTCACCATTAATTGCACTAGCATGCATGCAGAAATCGAGGAGGCTACTTTGTTTATTAATGTTTACCTGCTTGCAAGGCCGGCCAGTGTAAACCTTGCAATTGCAACGAAGTTCTAGGCCCGGCCGATCAGAATTCTTCATCAGAAGTTCTAGTTACAGTCAATGTACACCAAA